TTTTTGTGATTTCAATTTCACATTTTATGGTAAATGAAAACGCAGTTGGAAAATTCATATGATGTACAGCATCTAAGCCTTTGACTTTGAATAAAGTTATAAAAATTGCCTGAAAAAATTCTCTCACTATTCTGGTATGTAGCAAATAGAAAACATTTGGTAATTTATCTGAATCAGGAAAAATGTATTCTGGTTTCACCTCAGTGTGAAAAAAAAAGTTTGTATCTTGTGTGCGAACTTCTGGTTTGAACTTTGAGTTTACGCTTTAAAAACTTGGGGAGTCCCGTTTCCCTGTGGCTGCGTGTCGCCCCTGGGCCAGCGGCCGACCTGAGAGGCGGGTGCAGGTTGGGCGCAGGTTGGGTGCAGGGCGGGTGCAGGTTGGGTGCAGGGCGGGTGCAGGGCGGGTGCAGGTTGGGTGCAGGTTGGGCGCAGGTTGGGCGCAGGGCGGGTGCAGGTTGGGCGCAGGGCGGGTGCAGGGCGGGTGCAGGGCGGGCGCAGGGCGGGTGCAGGTTGGGCGCAGGGCGGGTGCAGGGCGGGTGCAGGGCGGGTGCAGGGCGGGCGCAGGGCGGGTGCAGGTTGGGTGCAGGTTGGGTGCAGGGCGGGTGCAGGGCGGGTGCAGGGCGGGCGCAGGGCGGGTGCAGGTTGGGTGCAGGTTGGGTGCAGGGCGGGTGCAGGGCGGGTGCAGGTTGGGCGCAGGGCGGGCGCAGGTTGGGTGCAGGTTGGGTGCAGGTTGGGTGCAGGGCGGGGCAGGGGTGGGTGCAGGGCGGGTGCAGGGCGGGCGCAGGGCGGGTGCAGGTTGGGTGCAGGTTGGGTGCAGGTTGGGTGCAGGGCGGGTGCAGGTTGGGCGCAGGGCGGGCGCAGGTTGGGTGCAGGTTGGGCGCAGGTTGGGTGCAGGTTGGGCGCAGGGCGGGTGCAGGCGGGCCTGGGCTGCGGTCGGGCCGCCGCCGCCCTCATGCCGTCCGGCGTGTTGTGAACCAGAGCGGCTCATTAATGACGCCTGGCTGGGCTCTGTGTGTGTGGGAGGCCTGCAGACGTTTAGCTGCTGTGAAAAACCTCTAAAGAGAAACAGAGGGGATTTTTTAGCTCTTTGTGCTATCAAAATATTTTTAGACGGGATATCAATTACTCTTCTGGAACAGAAAACATGTGGCACAAAGCCGGTTTGCATGGTTTCACAAAGACTTATGAAGACGAAAGGCAGCAAACACACGAACAAAAGCAGAACTGAGCAGAAGGTTTTACTGTGGAGATAAAATGTAAAAGAAAATGAACCGTAATTAACAGGAGTTACTATAATTCTGATTCATATGCTGGAAAAAAATAAGAGTTAAAAATCGAACATGATCTAATTTCCTGGTTTGAACCGAAGGATGTAGAAACTTCACTGAAACAGATGCAGAAACAAACTTTTCTAAGACGTTTTCAGCTGCAGGAAACAGAAATAATAATGAAAAACGTATTCTATATTTATGAATCTGTATGGTCCATTTATATTGGTAAAATATCAGCAGTTTTGAGCTTCGCAGCGTTACAAGTTTAAACCACTGTGTAGTTAAACTTAGAGGCTATTTTTTAAAAACTAATGATGAGATATGATCTCCATCGATTCTTGTATTTGTCAGTCCAGTCCGGTCCGATCCGATCCGGTCGGTCCGTTTATATGGCTAAAGCTACTAAAAGTTGTTAAAAATGCTAATTCAGTTTAAGACTGAAAAGAGAAATTGCTTCTAAAACTAATGGGTTGGCATTTATATTTATTGTTTTTATGTTGTGTCAAGTCATAAAAACTTGACTTGACACAATCCTGAACAGTTTGTGTCCAGGATGTGTGGGGTCTGCAGAGATATTAGCTCCCTTTTTCTGACCTTTGACCTGCACAAGTCCTGAGTGGAGCGAATTAAAGAGAACATTTCTTCATTTGGGCTTCTACTAATAGTTACTCTGAACTTTTAAACTTTTAAACATGAATAATAAAACAATTTTTGGCTCCATTCCCTCCACATTACAGAATCCTGTGGGTTTTACAGTCAGTAATCTGAGTAATTATCATGTGTTCCTGTTCCTGAACCGATCTGATGTTCTGACCGGGCCGCTCCGAGCCGCTGACGGTCCGGCTGCTGAAATGTGAGCGAGACACAACAGGAAGATTCTGGTTGCTGCAGAGCGGAGGGACTGTGGGCTAAATTTAGCCGGTTCCACACCAGCAGACACTCGGCTTCCTAAACCCTCTGGGACGGATTTACAGGGAAAACGGAACATTTTGATTCTCAGCATCGATGTTTCTGAACCGCAGCGATATTTCATATTTACATGAATACAGCAGCAGATGAAACAAACCCAGAGTCTCCAGGTTTAACACCGATGTCTTTGCTCCCCATAGATGCCCTGTTCCTGTTTCCAGAACCAACTGGATCCAACTGGACGCAACTGGACCCAGTTCCCTCAGGTTCTGAAAATTTGATCAACAGTCTGGTGAAGAGTTTGGTCCTTCAGACCCGGATTTGCCCTTTAATCTTGGAGAAACTTGAACTGGGACCAAACTTTGGTTTGTGGTTTTGGTTCGGATCCAGCAGAACATCCAGCAGGTTCTGTGGTCATGAATCTTCAGGAGAAGCTGTCCGGCCTCAAAGGCCTGGTGTCGCCCGGCCGGCGGCGCCATAAGGGCGACCTGACGGCGGAAATGATCAGCCCCCCGCTGGGCGACTTCCGCCACACCATGCATGTTGGACGCGGCGGCGACGTCTTCGGAGACACGTCCTTCCTGAGCAACCACGGCGGGTCGGCCAACGGCGGCAACGGCGACGCCGACTCCGTCTCCTCGCCCGACAATAAGATCGGGGCGTTTTTCTCCAGAACGCTGCGTCACATCCGGCGGGGCTCGGACAACCGACCGCGGGACGCAGCGAAGGAGCTGTCGCCGCCGCCGCCCGCCGTGTCGCCCATCATCAAGAACGCCATCTCCCTCCCGCGGCTGGACGTCGACGCGCCCAACGGCAGTCCCACCGCCAGGCCCACCGCCAGACCCACCGCCAGACCCACCGCCAGACTGTTCCCTGGATCCCCGCCAGACCAGGAGAAGAGCTCCTATGGTGAGTCTGAAAAACCTGCTGGTATTTAAACAATGGAGCCAAAAATATCTTCAGAGCCAGGGCCAGACGTACTGGGCGGGGGCCCCTGGGCGGGGGCCGCTGGGCGGGGGCCGTCCTGGCAGGGGCCCCTGTGCGGGGGCCCCTGTGCGGGGGCCCCTGGGCGGCAGACAGTTTGGTGAGAATCACAGAACATTAATAGGTCGTCTGATACATCAGTAGCTATGAAGTGATAGATGTAAATAATGAACTGTAAAGACAAATTCTTTTTAATTTTTAATTTGCTGCCCCCTGTGACCGACCTTACAGTCCCTTCCTTTATGAAGGGACACACACACGCACACACACACACACACACGCACGCACACACACACGCACGCACGCACGCACGCACGCACGCACACACACACACACACACACACAGACTCCTTGAGCCGTGTGTGTGAGGCCCAGCAGCTCCATCTCTGTTTTCACAACAAACAACAAACGCTGCTGATTGTGGGATTTATGAGGACATCTTGGACAAATCTGTCTCCAGAGGACTGAACTCAGCTAACCCAGACAGTAGCTTGTTGTCCATAGCGTTATCGTCGGTTGAGTCATCTGACCTTTGCCCTTGTTTTACTCTGTAACAGAGCTGCAGTTTCATCTGAAGGGAAAACATTTAAAGTTGAGGCTTGGGACAATTTTGGGATTAAGTGGCGCTCCCAGTCTTAATCCCAAAATAGCAGAGCAGACCCAGATGATGTCATGTTAACTTTCCAGCAGAGATGAACGGGGCGTTTGCAGAATCATAAAACTGCTCAAATAAAACATCATAAAACAAAATGTACTCAACACGAAGATCATCAAACTAACAGCAAACATGACAGGAAGAAATTATGATTTCACTTCTGAAGGTATCAAAAGTATCCAAACAAAGTTTGATTTCTTTATGGAAAAGAAATCAAACTTAATGACTCTGCAGAAACAGCTTCATCTAGCAGCTAAACCCTCATTTTTAAAATAGGAAAAAAAACATTTTGTTGCCTAAAAGTCAGAAACTTTAGTGAATATTTGATCATGTGTAACAAAGGATTCATCTCCAGCTAAAACTAATTTTAATAGCAACATATCTGGGCATTATTTTTGGATTAATTGAGAAGTAACTGGATGGATTTACAGACAAGTTTTTATTTTTCTCAAATGTAAAATATTTTCCTCTTCATCTTCAGTTTGGAGTTGAAATCTTGTGGGTTTCTAAAATATTCAAGCTGGTGGTTTTCAGCTCATGGCTTCATGATGCCACAGGCTGCAAAGGCCAACAGAAACATTTCCGCCCCTCGTTGGTACCAAAGCTGTCCAGGAAAGGCTGTGCTGCCCCCTGCTGGACCTGCGCGTCACAGCGCCTCATGAGGACGAGCAGTTACAGGTTTTATCTCAGGGAGAACAAATGGTTTATCAACTGGGCTAAAATTAGAGTCAAAATTACTAACAGGCCAAAAATATGTAAAAAATTAAGCTATTGTTTTGTTTATTTAAGTCAGGAAAATATACGTACTAAGCTTGGATAGAAAAAGATGGATCCTTTTTGTCGTATTGAATATTTTCCATTGTAAGAAAGTTATGCAGGTAATAATTTTATTCTGATTAGAAATAAAGCGCCTCCATCTGAACAGAAATCATTATTGAGAGACGTTTGTCCTTTTAGACGCAGAGCGAAACCTTTCACTTTGTCATGTTTCAACTACATTTTAAACGACAGACCAACAGGAAGTAGCGCCTGGCTGCCCAGGTTCAGTTCAACTGGATGAAGAACATCTGAGAACACAAGACTCAGAAGGATTTAGGTCTGCACTTTGACTAGGCCATTCTGCATGTGCTTTAAACTAAACTATCTCCAATATCTCTGCCTGCAATGAGACTAAATCCCCACACAGCAGGGGGGAGCGGTTAGCTGAACCTCATGCTACATTGTTGACGTATCGATGACATCACGTCTAGTTTGTTATTCTGCATGTTTCTGCAGGAAGTGAATCTTTGGAACAAACCTTCTCTCCTGCTTTCAGTTTTGTGGCCTTTGAGCTAATAACTTTAGCAGGAGCTAAGTGTGCTATCACAGTTAGCAATGACAGCTAAGTGAAGAATTAGCTCTACTGTTAGTAGTTTAGCATTCGTGATCCCAGCACTGGTGACTTCTGCTGTTTTTAGAGGTCAAACATTTAAAACCATTGGTTCTGATGTTTCTACTGGTTCTCTAGGTTCTACTGGTTCTATTGGTTCTACAGGTTCTATTGGTTCTGTTCTGCAGGTCCAGAGTCCGGGTTCGTCACTCTGCCTCGTCTGTCCCGGTTGGACCGCCAGCAGCCGTCCATCTCCTCTGGCGTTCACCGCGGCTCTCTCACCGACCAGACCGACGCCATCTTGTCCACCTGCTCCGCCGCCATCGTGACCTCTGAACCCAAATGGACGACCCGCGGTGCGTACTCCGACTCCTTGCCCTCCCTCGCCTCCCTGGACACCTTCACCTTTGACCTCGGCCCGTCCCTAATGAGCGAAGTGTTCGGGCTGATCGACGGGCGCCCAGAGGAGAGCGCCGCCGTGTGGCAGACGGGCGAAGCGGAGTCGGCGTGCGGGTCGGACGGTTCTGCCACCGTGTCCTTCGTGGACTCGCTGCTGCGTGAGGACGGTGGCGGCGGGACGAGTCCTCACCGGTGTGAGGAGGAAAACGCGGTAAGGGGATTCTCCGGGCAAGTACCGGACGTGCTGCTGGGTTCTGCTGAGCGGGTCGGGGTCCGGATGGACAGCCAGCGGTTTCAGAGCGCTACCGACATGCTAGCACGCCACTACGGCGTCGGCGTCTTAAAGGGACAGAACAAGATGGAGGAGCTCCAGAGTCAGCCCAGGAAGAAAATATCCTACAGCTTCATGGACGATGAGGACGAAATCAAAGTCTGACAGGAAGGAACCAAATGGACCTTCTTGACCTTCCTGGAAGAGGTCAAGACTCATCAACAACAAACATGTCTGTCAGTTTTTGCACAAAATCATGAGATTTTTTCTAAGAATGAGCTTTTTAGGGCGACTGTCACTTTTAATTCAAATAAGCTGCTTTTTATGAGAAAATGGCTGCAAAAAGATGCATAATAATACAACCATACATCTTAGAAAGGCAAAAGTGGCGCCTCCTGCGCAACCAACAAGAATGCAGCAAGTTATAAGGGCGTATTTTGGGCTATTATAGATTGAAAAAGAGAACATTTCCAATAGAAAATTCTGAAATTAATAAATGAAGAAATCAAACATGTTAAATTTTGAAACTCATTGATTTCCAAGTTTTTTCTAGAAAATTTCTGAAGTTAACCTGTTTTTTTTTCTAGCAAACCTTTGAAACTCCAAGTCACTTGGAGAACATTTCTGAGATTAATCTCTAAACTTGGCAAACAGGAACCATTCCTGTTTTATTTTCCCATCTTTGATGGCTCTAATGCGCCGTCGTAAAAAATGCTTTCTGGATGGTGAGTCAACAACAAAACTCATCTTTTCCTACCGACCATAGCACAGCGCACACATCGGGAAAACCAGCTGAGCAAACATGCTGGAGCTCTGCTGGAGTTGCTAGGTAACGGCGCAGTGTAACTCAACAATCGGGGGGATTTTGAAACGGCTCATTTTCCAGACACTAAAAACAAATTTATTGCCAAATAACATAGTTTTTTTAAGCTGTCTGTTTTCAGAAGCAGTAGAAACCAGAACGGAAATATAAAAACATGCTAAAGCTGAATTCTGTATAAAAGGTTCCTTTGAAACTGGGAGAATTGTTCCTTTTTAATTCCAGTCATGCTGCTCTGCAAACAGCAACACGGGTCCAATGTTAGCAGAGATCGGTTCTCCGGCTCCAACAGAAAGAGACCGAGGAGAAACTAAGACGTGGAAATCAGAGGCGAGCCAAAAAAGGCAGCTTAGATCACCTGCAGCAGGACTAAAACCACTTTATGTGGAAGTTACAGCCTGCTGTTCGCTTGGTTCCCCTTACACTTCCTGTTCTGCAGCAGCGACATTCTGGGCGAGAGGAAGTCCGAACCAAACTGCATCCCTACAAACCGATTTCACTCAGGAACAAATCGCACAAAACGGGAACAGAAGTGATTAACACGGCAGATCCAGAGTTTCTAGATGCAGAATGGAAACACTTGAAGGAGCATCGGCTGATTATCAGGATTCAATGTGACAAACCAGCAAAGTGGAACAAAATCCAAACCGACTTCTGAAGATTATTTGTGGATTTGGTTTTACCAGGAATGTCAGAGGAAAGGAAGTTAATTAAAATGCATTTTATTCCTTCAGCTTCTGTTCACCATTTGAAAAGTTACAGTCAGAAAATAACAGCAATAATTTGGGTTATTTAACCTGTTAGAGAAAAATGGGATTAATTTCTCAGTCATATTTTATCTTGTTCATTTGGAAACATCACAAACTGAACATTTAGATTTGTAAGCTACATATTAACTAAATAAATCCTGGGATTTTTAATCACAATGAGACACACCTGATTTAAAAATAATTGTTAAACTAAATATTTAGTATAACAACCAAATATTTAGTTAGCAAAATAAACTTTTAGGTTGGAGTAAATTATTTAGCTTCAAATTATATATTTAGTTCACAAGATAAATATTTAGTATCAATATAAATATTACGCAGTTTAAGATCTAAATATTTAGTTTGAAACCAACCCTAACCCTAATAATTGCTGTTAAGTTTTTACAGTGCAGCTTTTCTAATGTCCTTCATGTTGAAGCTGTTAGCTGTTGGCGGCCATGTTTGATGCTGCAGGCTAACCCTGCAGCTGCTCTTTATTGCTGCAGACCTTCTCTATGAACAAAGTGCACCTTCTTTATTGTTTTTATGAAGTTTTGCCTTTAAGGGACGAGTTTAAAAGTTTTTTATTACATTCCTGTACATGAAGATGACCTATGAATATGTAAGAGCACCTACAGTGCCGCTACACAGCATCACTTATAAAAGATGATTATATGAATGAGCAATAAAGACATTTTTAATTAGATCTGCATTCATTGACATGTTTTAGTTTGATGAACTGGATGATTTTATCAGTTTCCAGGTCTGCAGAGACCATCAGAGTGAGTAAATAATAAATAAATGACGTGTTGGGAGGAAAACGTTGCAATCGGTGGAGTGATGTGGAAGTGGGCCTGTGTGATGGCGCCTCACTGCGCCACTGAGGGAAACGGTTTGGGCTGCGACGGCGGCGGCAGAGGCGGCGGGCAGCTTGGTGCTCTGACTCCGCCCCTTTTTGGCGCAGGCTTTTTCACGCTGGTGGGCGGAGGGCCTGGCAGAGGGCCCGGCGGAGGGCCCGGCAGAGGGCCCGGCGGCGGCGTGGCGTCAGCGGCCGGGGCTGAAGTCGGAGGGAGCGGAGCCTGAGCCCTGGGCGGTACCGGTGCTTTGGGTTTGGAGAACTGGACGGATCCCACCGGCTCACTGGTCTGACTGGTTTTGGTCAGGTTGAAGGTTCGCTTCGCTGAAAAGGAAAACAAACGGACCTTCAAACCGAGTTCTGCTGCTCTGCTTTAGTTATATAATAATTACATCAAGGCTGGAACGATTACTCAGAATAAATCAGATTAATCAATAATTGGAACAATCAGCTAATTTTGTAATCTATTAATTGTTAAGAAGAGTAACAGAGCCAGTTTGCAAACTTTCACAGTGAAAAATTAACAATAATTTGGGCAATTTAACCTGTCAGAGTAAAAGGAAGCGTCTGAGCTATGCTAGCAATGCTAGCTTGACTTTGACAACCTTGACATGTAGATGTGCTGCAGAATTCTGTGTTTGGGTTCAATATAAAGAAGGCGACAGAAACACAGACTGACAGGTCATCAGGAGAGCAGGTGGTTAAATGAGCTGATCAACCATCTGTTGACTTGTAGACTGGACCAGAAATCATCAATACATTTCCCGATAGACACTTGATCAATATCAATCAATAAGATGTCTGATGGAATATTCAATAAATAGAACCGCACGGCATTCTGGGAGATGTTAGCCACTCAATCTGTCATCGCTAGCTCAGCTGGGTTGGTAGCATGAACCAACTCACTCTTTTGGTTCCCTCAGCATGCTGAGGAACCCATTTCCCACCATTCTTCAAACAGCTAAAAAATAAAAAAACTGGATAAAACAGGAACAGTCACACCCCAGTTTGGTGGCATTTCAAATATCTCAAACAAGAAACTAATAAATAATTATTGATATGGACTGATATGTTTGCATTATGACAGGTTTTTCAGCAACATTGTGAAACCAAACATACAGAGAGAAAGAGAGAACATGTGAACCCGATGCAGGACCTGCTTTCTGCAGGGCAGCAGTTCAAACCGCTCAGAAATACTGACCCAGGTACCTGCTGAGATTATTCATGCCTTTTTAAAGCCTCAGGGTCAGTTGTTGCCGGGTAAATAATTATTCTGTAGACTGGGTCACACAGATCCAGTTTTTTTGTTAAAGTGATCAGATTCTGGCCATTTGTAAGAAATAGCAGAGAGCAAATGTTTCCCTCTCTGCTGTGGAAATCGACCTGCTGACATTTTGGTCACTGGTGAGAGAAACTTCCTGTTTCCTGTGTACATCCTGGATGTTAAAAACCAGATCACTAGTGTCTGGTTTTAACTTCTGGCGCTGCTTTTAAAAACCACAAGAGGAAATAAACGATCAGGTACCAGATAAAAAAAAAGAAAAAATCCTCAAACTGAACAGCACAGATCAGGTCCCCAGGTGGAAAATCTTCAACCTTTAAAACTTGTTTACCTTTTATATACATACAGAATATATAAATATATGCTTTATATTTTAATAAAGTAAAAATGCCAGTCAGTAGTTCTGCATTGCTTACGTTTGCACAATGGTGTCATCGTTAGCGTCGCTTTGGGAGATTCAGGCGTTGCCTCCAGAATGGGCTCCAGCTGGTTCTGGTCCAAACTCTGCCTCTGGGTGAGATTCCTCACCTGCGGGACCGGGTTTGGCGCCGTCGCCCTGGGAGTCGGGATCTGGTCCGGCGTGGATCCGGATCCACAGGACGACCTGGGAGATGGAGTCGCACTGGACTCGGACGAACCGCTGGATGCCGCGTTCTGATTGGCTGCCGGGTCAGAGGCGGGGCTTCCCCATGTGGTGGTGCTGCTGCGGCTGCCAACGGAACCGGATTTGGACCGGAAGACACCGCCGCTGTCCTGGGAGGTCGAGCTAACGGGAGGAGAACCAGGAGAGTCTTAACGTGGCAACAAACTACTTTACATGCAAAAGTTAAACTTATAATCCAATAAGCTACACATTCAAAATGACACACAATCTAATCTACTAACAGGAGAGATAATAATTAGCTTAGCACTCTGCCGTTTTAGCTTCCCTAAATTTCTTTTTCCAGATGAATTCTAATGCTCAGGCTAACGTATTAGCATTAGCTTCTGCTAAAAACCATGGTGTCGTAGCACTTTAGCATTAGCAGAACAACTGTTTCTGAGTGATGCCTTATAGTTAGCACTATTAGTGCTTTCGTTAGCGGTATGATTCTTTGTGTTCCACCCTGATCTGTTCATGTCAGAATGTGGAGGAAATGTTCCTCCTGCCTTCAACCTGTTTGTTTTGGAGAGCGGGAGGTGGAAGGAGGAGCAGGAGGACGTGGACGAGGAGGACGACACGGTTCTGCTCAGTCGCTCCTTCTCTGAGAAGAAGGTCTGGGCAGCAGGAGCTGGAGCCTCCAGGGCTTCAGGAAGATCAGGGATCTCAAAGTCAACAGCTGGAAACAAAAGACCAACTCCATCAGACATTATTCCATCTGATGATTAGATAATTAGCTTTCTTGTTATTTATATTAGTTACCAAACCACAAATCTTATCTGGGCCCACAAAGCTAACGCTGCGGTTTCACTTTGACCTGCTGTGTTAGCTGTGGTTTGAGTTTGTAGAGCAACTGGAGGTTCAGAGAGCGTGCAGCAACTAGAGCAGCAGCAACTAGAGCAGCAGCAACAACAGGAGCAGCAACTAGAGCAGCAGCAACTAGAGCAGCAGCAACAACAGGAGCGGCAACTAGAGCAGCAACTAGAGCAGCAGCAACTAGAGCAGCAGCAACAACAGGAGCAGCAACTAGAGCAGCAGCAACAACAGGAGCAGCAACTAGAGTGTGCAGCAAGTAGAGCAGCAGCATCTAGAGCAGCAGCAACAGAAGCAGCACTCACTGATGTGGTTGCAAAGTTAAATTTGATAATATTCTGAATTATTTTGGTAAGTGGTGAGTTTACCTTCTGGGAACAGACTGGAGCTGTACTGAATCAGCGGCTCGATGACCATCACCACCTGGACCGAAGATGCTGCAGCCATGTCGAACAGAGCAGCTTCCCTGAACAGCAGCACAAACAAGAACCGCAAAACTCAAAGGATATAAAACCAAGAACTGCAGGCAGGAAACATGAAATTATGATAATATGAAACATAAACCCCCCATCCGGCTCTGTGGGTTTTCAATGCAGGTAAATAAGTTTAAAAACACTTTTTTGGCATAAAGAGTCTGAAGCTTGTTTTTTAAAAACGTTGAATTGAGCCCATTTGCTGCCAAACTAACCGAAGCAGAAACGTTTTTCGCTCTGTGGATTTAATCTCAATCCATAAAAACAGCTCAGGATTATCCAACAAGCAGCATCTGGTTTGCTGTCGTTGTTGCTATTGATGTCAGTAGAAAACGTCTCTGATCATAAACTGATTCATTTTGTTCCCTCCATGTTTAGCCAGCTTAATCTCGGAGCTAGCTAAATATTTGGCTAATATGCAAAAAGCGGAAGTGGCCTATCAAAATAAAAGCCGGGTGTTGAGAACTTCTATATAAATTGCCACAGAAACGGGAGGTTGCTCCGCACCCTTCGGCGCGCGGCCACAGCAGGTTGGGGCCCAGGACGATGGCGATGTTGCTGGGCGTCATCTTGTTGACGGCCTGCTGCTCCGACAGCAGGGACAGGAACTGGACCAGGTACCTGGACCGGCAGCAGAACGCGAAACAGGAAAAACAAGAGGACAAAGAGTTGTGTTTGTCAAGGTTTACATCTGAGCTGGAGGGGAACAACTGGATGCTAACATGCTAACGCTTAAGCTGTAAAAGTCATCCCCAACTCATCCAGTTAAACTTTCTGCTGGTTGTGTCTTCTAGATAAAATAATGAGATATATTGTTGTTACATGACTGAATTCATCTTTCAGAGCTGAATAAATCCATATAAAACAGTTTGCACCATTTTATCTCAGTAACCCCATAGATAACAGCAGTGACATGGCCTCAGGACGGCCACCATCTTGGTTCTGCTTTAGGCCAAATTAAACAAATTTACTCTAAAATGTCAAAATCTGCAGAGGAGCAAACCAGACAGTTAATCTGCACAAGGAGTCGATTAGGGGTTCTGTTGAGAGCTTGCTAACAATAACTATCTTACTTGAATTGTCATTTTTATGATGATGAAACAAAATTCAGATTCCCAGAAAATTCTTGAGTCAAAAAGAAAAGTTAACTTCCTTTACAATAAAACATCTGAACATAATATTTCACCAAATGTCAGAATGTTGTTCTATATTTATATGCAACACATTGCAAACTGTCTCTCAGCAGCCATTTTGAAATTCACCAGCGGTGTTACTGATGTTGGCTCGGTTCATTCGGCCTTCATGGTGCAACGGATCACAAAACGACAAGCACCTGAGGTTGTTGTAGTTTTCAGTCGGTAGTTTTGAACAGACCTGAGGTTGTTGTAGTTTTCAGGCTGTAGTTTTGAACAGACCTGAGGTTGTTGTAGTTTTCAGTCGGTAGTTTTGAACAGACCTGAGGTTGTTGTAGTTTTCAGTCGGTAGTTTTGAACAGACCTGAGGTTGTTGTAGTTTTCAGGCTGTAGTTTTGAACAGACCTGAGGTTGTTGTAGTTTTCAGGCTGTAGTTTTGAACAGACCTGAGGTTGTTGTAGTTTTCAGTCGGTAGTTTTGAACAGACCTGAGGTTGTTGTAGTTTTCAGTCGGTAGTTTTGAACAGACCTGAGGTTGTTGTAGTTTTCAGGCTGTAGTTTTGAACAGACCTGAGGTTGTTGTAGTTTTCAGGCGGTAGTTTCTGCAGCAGGTTCCTGAACTTCTCCAGCTTCACACTCAGATCTTTTTCTCTGCAGGTTTTAAGAAGCAAACTCATGAAACTGACAGCAGGAATAAGAAGAAGTGAAGCAAGTGATGCTCATGCTTCCCACCCTGCAGCTGAAAACCAATCACTGTACAGTTCAAAGGTCATCAGGGGTTCAGGGAGTTCCCGGAGGTAACACTTCAAGGCTCCTGTGAACAAAATCCGAGAAATGCATCGTTAGTTAATTCTGCTTTGCTCTGATTGGCCGACAGTTTCATTCTTTTGTTATTCTCCGCTGATGGCCACAGGCTGTTGTAAATGACAGGAAGTGACATCAGGCGGCTGCTGGAGTGGTCAGAGGAGGAACTGAGCCGAGGCGTACCTGCGACGGCGTGGGGGTCCATGCTGAACTCGCTGTGGTCCACCGCTCCCTGGTTCAAGCAGGTTTTTAGCCGCTTCACCACCGAGGCGGCGGCCGCCAGACGAAACAAGCCCTACACAACCAACACCACCAAATATTATTTCATTCAAACCGGCTTCATATTCAGCTCCTTCTGCAAAATGACCTTGCATTAAATGCTGGTTATCATAACGAGTTTCTGAGGAAATGAACCAGAACATCTGCATTTATTCAGCTGGTTGTTCTGCTTTTTATTTTGGGGTATCAGAATAAATTAGGGTGAATGTAAATCATGCTATAATTGTTTCTGCATCAGATAATTTCAGTTTCATTTCCTGGCTCTGAGCCGGTGTGAGTGGCTCGGCCCGCCCACCTCCTCCCGCATGGCCGTCCTCAGCAGCATGTGGATGCACTCCTGGATGGGCGCCGCGATCGCCCTGCCGCTCTGGCTCAAATGCGACAGCAGCGGCTCGCCGTAAACCTTCAGGCTGGAGAGACCCGCCGCCGGATCTGCAAACAGGAAGTCACAACACGTCGACAGGAAGTCAGAACGCCCGGCGGCCAATGGGAGGCCACTGGCCCCCCACAGAGTCAGCCGTGTCCCCAGGACTGCAAGCTGACTTTTTAAATATTTATACCTCAGAGTGCTCATCTTTCTATTATTCCTATTTCAATTGATACAGTAGGGGTCCCCACACTATTTACAAATGTTTAATCCATCATTAATGAGTCATAACCTTTAAACGCAACATGACCGCTAAGATGCCGGTGCCGGTTTTCACATGAAGGAGACATGATGCTGCTGCTGTGCACATCAGTATGTGCAAGAAACATGGCAGTAAAGCAGCAGAAAACTTCCCCCCCAAACCAACAGAGGGAGCTGATCAGTGCTGCTGGACGCAGATAATAAACGATGACCAGCTAATGATAATGTAACGCAATAAGCTTGTTGATATCTACAGGTGGGTCCAGGTAGTTGAGCAACATTTTTGGAAAAAAGGTTCTTATCAGAGAAGTTTCACTGCTCTGTATTTTATACTTTTACTTCAGTAATATGATGAACTAATCCTGCTTTAGTAGGACAACGGTACATAGAAAACAGAAAGAACAAATTATCAGATATTTTCTAAAAAGAAACCTTGAAAATTTATAGGAGATTTCTGAGATTCATCTAAAAATTTCTGGATTTTTCTAGCAATTTTTCAACTTTTGCTTCTTTCAAAATTTTAGAGCTTTTTTTAGCAGAAACATATTTATATTTTTTCTTTTTCTTTCTGCGACGGCCCTAATGCAGCGTTGCACTGACTTTAGCAGATTGATTTTGCATTGATAGAAATAGACAATTTATCTCACTTGTTGCAGAAACATGAGATAAAGTTTCTGCTAATCTGAACTCAGTATTTTCTACATCGCAGTTGATTATTTTGTATTAATAAACAACATGGTTATTTTATTTGAAAGGTTACATAAGTTTATGTATCTATATCCAGCTGAAAGCCGCTCACTGCGGGGCAGGAAGTGGACTGGGCCGCGCGGCGCAAACCTTTCTGGCTGTGGTTCTCTTTGAGCTCGCTGATGTTCCTGTCCAGGAACTCGTGGGATTTCTTGTGATAATCCGCCTGCAGTTCCAGAAGCTGCAGGAGATTAAACAGAGGTGAGCGGGCAGAGAGGAGTCCATCAGGGCTGCGTGTTCGAACCACAACTCACACGGATGAAGTAGTTAGCATAGTCATCTTCTTTAGTGGCGAAGTGATACAGGTCTGCAGAGTACTGGTCCTACAGAGGTCAGAGGTCAACACCAGACAGAGGGAGAGCTGGTTTTAAAGTTTTATCACAATATTTTGTGGAACTGTTATAAAAACTGGATATGGATTAAAAAACAAATCCAAATGAAATCAGGTTGTTTGGGTCACATGATTTGTTTCATTAAAGTCCAAACAAACTTAATTTAATTTTAAAATCTCATTGAACAAACAATGGAGGATCCCGACAATACGGGAGTTTTTCTTTAACACATAATTATTTTAAATTTATTCATAATAAATCAAAATTCTAAACTTGACAAGAAATTCATCACGATAAATGATAAACGATATGATAAATGCCCGAACCCAGACGGGGGTCTGATAATGATTTAATTAGACATAATTAGTCAATTTCTGCTAAAGAAATTCTGAAGTTTTGAGATTAATCTCACAAATATTCATACATTTCTGGGTTCAGAGTAAAATATTTAAGAAAAAAACTCAGAAATGTTTGGATTAATGTCAGAAATTTTCTGAGCTTGAAAGTAAAAACATTGTGAGAAAAAATTTAGAAATGAATCTAATTTCCTCGCCTTCCCATTTCTGTTGCTGCCCTGGGAAAGAGCCCATATTAAAAACCTATGATATAAAGAAAATGTCTAAAAGTCAATCATTTTCACTCTTTGAAACTCGAATACTGGAAATTCGACTTTTCAAGCTCAGAAATTAAATAAATAAGTTGCTGCACCTTGATGCTCTCCAGCCTCCTCCAGGCTTCTTCCACCTCCTCCCTGAGTCCGTCCTGCTTGGCCTGCGGCCCGCTGCTCGCCTGGCTCCTGTGGAAAAGCAGGAGGACGTTAACATCCGGCGCCTGCCGCGTCACGTCCAGGTGTTTACACACGGCTTCCTGGGACTCACCGGACCCGCGCGTTGTTCCAGTCTGTAGTGAGCTTCGCAAACTGCTTCTTGTTCTTCAGGATTTCAGGTAAATCCTCCTGGAGAGAAAAAAATATTCATCTGAAAGAGCAAAATCTGCTGTCTTAACATATTACTGCAACAAATTACTGAATCTATTTATTATACAGACGTATATTTATACATTTAAAGAGGCAGTATTATGTATTTTCCAGACACATAGCACAATCAAGTAGCTATGTTACCTTCAGTTATTATAAAAGTGCTTTACATATCAAATATGACCTGATTCAACGCCTTGAAATTGGGTCTCTGTTTCCTTAAGAAGCTCCTGCTCTTTCTGAAGCTCCGCCTCCAGAAAGTCGTCCCAACATGGCTCCTCTATTAACCCTTTAAAGTTTTGACCAGTGTTGCTCTGAGCAGCAGCTCCTATAATGACCTCAGCAGCTGTTTGCTAATTGCTGCTGGCTAGTCTGAAGGAGCGGAGTGGGGGAGGAGCTTTGGAGGCGTGGCTAGGTCCACCCAGGCGTTTTAACAGCTGGATGGTTGCCATGCAGATTAAAGGATTTGAAAGAATCAAAAGAATATTCCAGGATTAAAACATGATGGAAAGATTAAAAAAGTGCATTTTATATAAAATCGCTCCTTTAAATTGATAATTTAATGATGCATTTTCTAAAATCACGGTCCAAACTGCGTCTAGAACGCCGTCCAGCTGAAGCCGGCCGGCTGTTGACGTTAAAGAGTCAGTGCCAGGAGAAGCCGTGGAGCAGGACGCCCGCTCGGCGCCGGGAGGCTCCCTCACCTCGCTCAGCTTGTTGAGCGGCTCCAGGACTTCCTTCTCCACCGTCAGCTCGAAGTCGGCCAACATGGTGGCCAGCATCTTCTCCATGAAGCAGCACATCTCCAGCACTCGCCTGCAACACGCAGCAGAGGGTTAGCCTTTCACTGCAGGGTCAAATTAATCAGATTCATCTTGATTAATTGATTACTGAAATAATCAAAAAGGCCATTTACTGAAAGAATGATTCACTCAAAGCAGAAATTAAGCCACAACTGGACAATAAATAAATTTAGACCTGCCCATAACTGATTCAATAAAAACAACGTCTATTAATCACCTTTTCAAACATCCAGTTATTAATCAGTTTATCAATTTTAATCTCCAGAAATTGGTGTTCATCCTTTGAAATCTTAAATTTAAATGTTAAATAATTTAAATTTTTGAATTTATGATGAAACCATTAAATGAAATTTAGCAGCATTAATGATCTCAGTAAATAAATGTTACATTTATGTATCTGTGTTAAAATATGAGCATTTATGGCCCCTGAAGCCCTGGGGACCCGACGGAGACGCTGACTTAAACAGAATTGCAAATAATTGATTCATTTTAATTGTATTTTTTGATTTGTCGTTTTTAAGACTAGCTGTGGGTTTAGAAAGTGTTTCACTGATGATGTTTCCCTGTAACCTATAATTACCCAGTAATATTTTTACATTTCCTGTCAACTGAACATCTTTAATAGGAAAATACGGCGGACCGCCAGGCTGAGCGGGTTTCTGGGGGAAACCATCACCTGATGGAGGACTGAGCATCAAAGTCCTTCAGGCTCTCCGCCATGCTGATGGACAGCAGCATCAGAGGAAGTTTCTTCTGCAGAAACAGAAAAAACGTCGTTTTGCCCAGAAATCCATGAAAACCTGTTCAAACACGGAGTGAAAAATGGCGGCTACCATTCTCCTTTCAGCCTCCAGCCCTACAGGACTCTGCATGCAGGCCTGCAGCTTCTTATGGAGGGCCTGCGCCGCCTTCTTGGCCGGCTCCACCCGCTGCTCCACCTGAATTCAACCGGAGAAACACAGCATCAGAAAACTACCGGCAGGACGCTGAGATGGTTAGAGGGCAGATTCATTTACTGCAGATTTAACGCAAAATTATATATATATGTATATAAATATATAAATGTCCTGAAATGGAACCTTTGTGTTGGGTTTCTGGTACGGCTGTAAAATTTGGCGCACAAGCTAATTGTGCTAACAGCGATGGAGGACGAAGCCTTTGGTCCCACAGGGGTTCATTTCTGCTTCTAAACGATCTGATTGGATGCTGGAAAAGTTGATTGTTGTGTTGAAGTTGTGCTAAAAGCAGCTAGCTTATCAGTGAAGCTATGCTAGCCTAGAATAGCATCTCAATGCTAACAGCAGAACTTTGCTCCAGTCTGATGGTTGAAGAATCAGAAGATTAAAACCTAGAAACATCTCTGATGTTCAGATTATATCTGTATTTATTCAGTAATTTAACAGCAAAAAGAGATTCTGAATTGAAAATATTACAAAACAAGTTTAACATTTCAGAGCCAGAAAACCTGCAAATAAGAAGAGAGTGAAACTGAAATAAATCCCATCTGACCTTCCCTTTGTTTTAAAGCTGATTTGAAATTTGCTGTCTGTCAACAGGCCGGCCTGCTAAAGCCACAGCTCTGCTAAAAGAGGAAGTGAGACCCAAATATGGACGATGGCCATGGAGCTGCAGCGTTTCTGTCCTCCTTAAGCTGATAATAGTGAGCCTCTTTAGAGGAAGTCTGTTTTGGAAAAGCATTTTGATGAATCTTTGATTTAAGGAATGGAGCTCCAAACTCTGCGCTCCATGTAGCACAGATAGATCGAGCAGGAAGTTCGCAGCCAGAAGTTTATCAGACAGATAGATCACTCCTCATTTATCACAAAATGTCTCCAGATTAGGTTCAAGGAATCATTTTCTCCTCCAAACATTCCACCAGGACCCATAGCAGGATAATTATCTTTCTTTGTGTCGGAGCCAAATGAAGGAGAGTTTTTATGCTTCCTGCTGTGTTTCAGCTCGCAGATCAAGGAAGGCACGTTATTTATGCTCCGATCTGCATCACTTCCAAATGTACAACTAAATTGGATACATTCGGAAGAAATCATGCAATGGATGACAAATTATACCAATAATATTTTTGCATTTCAAATGATCGTTTTCCACCATATTGAGCAACAAACAAATTCAGTTTCTAGAAGGCTCTGCAGGGTGCTGGTTTGTTAGGTCTCCAAGCTCCTGATGCCATGAAAATCTCCACCTTATGAATCCAAATTGGTTGAATTTTCTATTTTGACTTTAGTTTGCAGTGAATTCAGCGTTAAACTGACTCAACCAGCGATAAAGTCAGAGAAACTTTCTCTCACCTGCACCAGATCCTCATGGAGAAGATCAGTGGCATCCTGCGACCTGACAGGATGAAAGTTTACAGATTATTTACAAAACAAGAATCAGCAAACATTTGATTTATTAACAGTGGTGAGCTGCAGGGTTTTCAAAAAGCCTCAATGGCTCAAAGAAAATATCAATCATAAATCCATGTCTGCAGCTTTAACTTGAAAAACAGCCACTCAGATTTAGATTTTCTCCTCCAGCTCAGGGTAAAATTAGAAATCATACAGAAAAGACTTAAAAGGAAAAACGATTTGACTTTTATCTCCGAATTCTGAGGAAGAAAAAAAATCTAAACTTTGAGAAATAAATAATCCTGAGATTAAAGTTATAATTTTAAAAAATCTGCATTTTTAAAAAATATTTTCCTAATTCTCTTCCGTATAATGATGATTATCAGACCTCACTGGAGATTTTCTACTGACATTTATTTACATTTTGTCAAGACAAATAAAAGACGCATGACGCTGAAGTTTGTGTGTCATTTTCAGCTTTTAGTCGTGAATTTGTTGTTTAGTTTCAGCAGGAGAAAACGACCTGGACTCGGTTCAGGCGGTTCTGGTTCCCATTAGAGATTCTCACACCTGGATCCGTTTAACATCAGCAATAAAAACGTTAACAACCAAAAAACACAACCAGGGAACAAAGATGGATTCCAGGAGTTAGTTTCATCTCATACGCATTTTTATGTTAATTATCACAGAAATTCAGTGTGTGTGTGTGTGTGTGTGTGTGTGTGTATGTCTCTGTGTGTGTGTGTGTGTGTGTGTGTGTGTGTGTCTGTGTGTGTGTGTGTGTCTCTGTGTGTGTGTGTGTGTGTGTGTGTCTCTCTGTGTGTGTGTGTGTATGTGTGTGTGTGTGTTTGCGTGTCTCTGTGTGTGTGTGTGTGCGTGTCTTTGTGTGTGTGTGTATGTGTGTGTGTAGGTGTGTGTGTGTATGTCTCTGTGTGTGTGTGTGAGTGTGTGTGTGTGTGTGTGTGTGTGTATGTCTCTGTGTGTGTGTGAGTGTGTGTGTGTGTGTGTGTGTGTGTGTATGTCTCTGTGTGTGTGTGTGTGAGTGTGTGTGTGTGTGTGTGTGTGTGTGTGTATGTCTCTGTGTGTGTGTGTATGTCTCTGTGTGTGTGTGTGTGAGTGTGTGTGTGTGTGTGTGTGTGTGTGTGTGTGTGTGTGTGTGTGTGTGTGTGTGTGTGTGTGTGTGTGAGTGTGTGTGTGTGAGTGAAATTAGCTTTGTTTCTGCTTGTCATCATGAAGCTGTCGTAATGTTTGGTTCAGGCTGAAGTGACAAAATAATGAATCACAAAATACAATCCAGGCAGAACCAGAGCAGAGCCAAAGACTCTCACACTGGTTACACTGGTTATACTGGTAGCTGCTGGTTACAAGGACTAAGACCGGTGACCAGACGAGGAGCCGACAAAAGAGACCGAGTGGATTTAAACGCACAGCTGGGCCTAGTCAAAGGCCGCCGGAACAACGAGACTCAGAAACCTGAGCAAACAGGAAAACGAATCGGTTCTGTTTCAGATTGAATTAAATGTTTGGCCCTGAAACTCATTCAATGCAAAAACTCATGAGATCAACTCCAAACACATGTCAAACTCGTGGCCCGGGGGCCGTATCCGGCCCGCCACATGCATTTTATATGGCCATCTACACTGTAAACAAAGACTTTCTTTTACATATTAAGTCAATCTGTTATTAATATTTTCTTTATTTTGCAGGAGTGTTTTGTTTTGCATTCCCTCCCAAAAGCTGCATTTTATCTTCATGCAGCTGTGAGTCTGTAAAAGCAGAACGGACGTCAGCATTTCAACCAGTTTCTGTTCTGTCTTTGTTCTGTTGTAACTCTGTAGTTTTATTCACATGTTTTCATTTCTGGCAATAATCTGGACTCAGAAATAAATTCATTCTCATCATTTGTTTGAAATCTTTGACATGGTGAAATGTTTACTCAGTTCTACATGTTTAAATGTAACTATAGTGTTAAAAAACAAATTGATCATAATTTACATTTAATAACTGATAAATATGAGTAATAATTGAGTCAGCTACTGGTAAACCTTCAGTTCTTGTCGGACACAAGCCTTTACAGAAACAGTTTGGTTTGTTTGGTTTATGATTCTGTAAAAACTAACCGTCCCACTGTAATCACTTTCTGCGTTAGTAATGATTACTCATTTGGTTTTACAGTGCAGAGTCTGCACTGTAAAAGTTTATTTTTTTCAAAAAGTCTGTTTTTTAAAGGAACATTTTGCACATTTCTTATATTATCCAACTCAGATAACTGAACTGTATATTATCTTTACTTTTATGTGTTAAACATGTTGGATATCATTTCAGATCTGTGGTCCTGCGGGCCTCGGTCGCCTGCTATGTTGCTGCTGCCAGTGTCTCGTTTTGCTGCGTACCTTGATGACGTCACGTTGTCAGGAAGTGATCTGGGTCACTAAGATTAGACGCTTCAAACCGTCAGCAGCTGAAGCGCCGAGCGACTTTCAGCTCTGCAGAGATTCAAACTGGTCGTTTTCTACATGATGTAGAAAATGTTCTGGTTCTGGTTCTAAACCTGTGATAAAAGTACAGCTGCTCCTCATTAATATCTAATAATCATCTTTCTTTTAACAACATAAAAAACAGCTAAACGCTGCTTTGTGTCATTCTGAAAATTGATTGAATGTAACATTTAGAAATATAAAAACATTATTCTGTGAAAAATAGAAAGAGATTAAAAGTTGCTGATGTTGAGTTTCTGCTTCCTAATATTTGAGTTACCAGATGTTGATTATTTTGTCCTCCACACTGAATTAAATTTGGAGAGTTTTCCTCATGCCACTCTGATAAGTTTTAATCTTGGAAAATTATTTTCTGAATCCTGTTTAAACATTTGTTCATTATTGTAGCAGCAAAGATGTTTAAATTTAAAGTATAAGTGGAGGAAGAAAATAAATGTGCTAAACTTTTGAATGAATGGAACCAGAAGTGCTTTTATTTTGATATTCTCAAAAGGAAGTCTCCTTGTAGCAGCTAGCTTACGTTAATTTTGTTCTGAAATGATGGAAATTCGCTTAATACCACATTTGGTTGGAGATAAATTTATATTATCATCATTATATAGCTCCAGCTAACATAAATAGAGTTTTATGAGCCATTAATAATCCACCTTAATAATCCACCTTAATAATCCACTTTAATAATCCACCAACATCTCTGGCTAACAACCAAGCTAACCGTTTCACAGTGAAGCAGTCTGCAGCTCACTCTTCATTACATCAGATAAAAACTGGCACTAAGACTGGAGTCCAAGTCAGATCAACAGCCAAGCAGCCTCTCCGCAGCATGATGCTGCCGCCACCGTGCTTTACAGAAGGGAAGATGCCCTTTAGCTTCACCCCAACCTGCTCCCACAGGCATCACTAACATTTCCACTTTCTTCATAACAATGTTGAGAAAATGACAGTTTTACCCTCCAACAGGCTGACAAACCAAACCTGCCTCAAGAAAGGCTGAAGGGCTAAAATAGGAGACGCTGTTGGTTATTTACTCTCATCAGCGGCGCACCGACACCAGATCTGGTGCTGAAGGCTGTTAGAGGAAGCCCAGCCCAGTTCCTGAAGAGGTCAGACAGGCTTCAGCTCCTCCAAGGTGTTCTTGGTTTCCTCCACTGAAACATCCGAAGAACAAAACACACAGCAGAGAAACTCCCAACTGCTGCACGTCTCGCATTGCACATTTACATCTGGCTGAAACTTAGAAGTTAGTTTCATCTTCATTCAAGTATAATAAAATATTTGCACCAGGAACTGTAGTGTCACCTTGATGGAGTGACACGACAGGAAGTAAAGAGCATCCCTGGCGGTGTGAATGTGTGAAACATGTCATTCCAGATCTCTTTGTTCATCACCTTATTTGCCTCTATGAAGGCTCATTCTGTTGGCCTTACTATGTACTGCTTAATGTGTACATTATGTAATCTGGATTTTTCGGTAAGATTTTGTGTTTTTACAGTGTGGTGTTTGCAATTTAATCAATAAAGCTCAACATCAGACAAACAGGCTATGTGAAATAACCAAATGTTTCAATATCACACTGCAAAAACAAAAACTTACTAAAGTGTTTTTGCTTCAGTTTCCATTGTAAATACTTTAAAACACTTGAAATAAGACAAAAATAATTTAAAAGTAACTTTAAAACAAAATACAGGAGCTTGTTTAAAGTAAATCAAACCAAATAATGATAAAAAAAAATCATTCAGAACTTTTTATAAATATTAAGAAACTATTTACTGAAACTTAAATATTTCATTGTGTTACGTCTGAGTTAGTTTTGTCTTCTGTTAAGTGTAATTATTACATATTTGCACTTGAAACTAGACCAACAATTCCTGGTAATATATATTTTTTTATATATATATTTTATTTTTACCAAGAATCTTACAAATTCTTTATAAAATTCTTTTCTATCAAAATCAAAGCACTTCTGGCTCCATTCGTTCAAAATAAAGGAACCTGAGCAGGTTCCTTTATTTTGAATCTCCATCATGCAAGTTGAGTTAAAATTCACATTTGAGCAAAAGTGAAAGGGAAAATGAATGTTTAGTTGTGTCAACAGCAGCAGCGTCAGAGCTGGCTGCCAGCAGCGCGGCTCTGCTGCAGATGCTTGCAGATGCATGCAGATGCACGCAGCGCAGGTTTATTATTAAACCAGAGAGGAGGCGGCGGTGCTACCTGCAGATACACCATCCGTCCTGCTGCAGCAGAAATAAGGTCTGTGTATCACCACCAACAGAAATAGGGAAGGTGTCAAGTTTGGTTACCCGCAGAGTTTTACAAAACTGAGTCAGTCGGTGGTTCTCTTGCTGTTTGGAGCCTGAATGTTGCAAGTCATTCTGCTGTATTTTATTATCGTTTTTTCAGGTAAAACAATAAGCATTAAAACATAAGTAGCAGCTGATTCCCTTTGTGTTCAACCCCCCCAAAAATCCCTTTTCAACCACATAAAACCAAACTGAGGTGTTCCCTGATGTGAAAAGGGAACCAGCAGTTACAGCTCAGCGTGTAAATAACAAGATAACAGCAGACAAACAGAAACAGCCGTCGTGCTGGCGAAACGGCGCCGAGCTGGACGGACAGAAATACAACCTGAAGACGCAGAGCAGATTAAAACCGATCATTAATATATGAAGACTGCACAGAAGAAAAAGAGACAAAAACTTACAGCCATTTGAAAAGTTACAAATTAAAAATAGTTTGAGTTAAAACAGGAAAATCTTTTTCCAAAGTCACATTTTCACCGTGTTATTTTATAAATGTCACAGTTTCAAGCTAATTATTGAGTTAGTTTGCTGACAGAGAGGAAGCAGCAACAGTTTATTCCTCAGAGCATCAAGAATAAAACTGACTGCAGCCTCACTTTCCGTTTAACATTCACTCCTATAATGTAAAATACCTTTTACCAAATACAAACACATTCCTATTTACTTTTATAAATATTTTATTCTCATGCCATAAGCACCATTATGAAACACCACAAACAAAAGCCCCGTTCCACGGCCTCTCCCAGAACCACTGAGCGGTTCCCGGGCCCCGGGGAAGTATCTGGTCCCTGCATCTCCACACTTTACAGATCACACACAAACATTTGCTCAAGTTTTACAAACCAGCAGCTCTGAATGATCCAATGATCCTGTTTCAGAGAACCTTCCTCTCCTCCATGAGGCGCGGCGGCGCAGAGCCCACAGGCTACATGCTAACCGCTAAACATGGTCAGCAAACAATTCAAACTTCCTGTGTACAAATTGATTCACAAATCTATTCTTAAAATTCAATGCTACGCAAAGGGCTTGTTTATAACTGCAAAAAGTGCTCTTAAAGTGCTACACAGTGACTAAAGTAAAAATATTAATGAAGTCATTACTGTTAGCATAAAGACTAAACAGCTGGATAAGTAAATATTTAGCTCAAAGCACATATTTAGTTAGCCAAACTTTCTTAGCTTCAAGCTAAATATCTATTGTATAGCTAAGTATGTAGTGAACAAACTAAACATTTATCCATTCATCCATCCATTTTCTTGCACCCTTCTCCCTAACGGGTTCGGGAGGTGCTGCTGCCTCTCCAGGTGCATTCCAGGCGAGAGGCGGGGTCACCTGGACAGGTCACCTGGACAGGTCACCAGTCTGTTGCAGGCCAACACAGAGACAAACAACCATGCACACACACACTCACACCTAGGGAGAATTTGGAAAGGCCAGTTAACCTGACAGTCATGTTTTTGGACTGTGGGATGAAGCCGGAGAACCCGGAGAGAACCCAGCATGCACAGGGAGAACATGCAGACTCCATGCAGAAAGACCCCGGGCCGGGAATCAAACCCAGGACCCTCTTGCTGCAAGGCAACAGCGCTACCCCCTGCTCCACTGTGCAGCCACTAAACATTTATATACTCACTAAATTGATGCAGTATTTAGTTTGCAATTTGACTTGCAGTTCACCAATAAATACTTAATTTAACTAAATATGTAGTTAGCAAGCCAATTATTTAGCTTCAAACTAAATATTTTGTTTACCAAGTATTTAGCTTGCCGACAAAATATTTTGTATGAAGCTAAGTATTTAGCTTATTTATTTAAAATATATAAATGAATGAATAACATGGTGAAAATATGATTTTCTCTCCTCTGTCAGGCTAAATAATTAAATTACTTTTTTAATTGCATAACTTTACAAACACCCCATACATATTAATCTCTACACACCAACTGAAACCTTATCTATCAAGATAAAACTCTTTAATCTGTATATTCATATCACACCTTGCAAAAGTTTCAACACCGCTCAAACTTTTTCATTTTTATCGCGTTACAAACGCAAACATTTAATGGGTCACAACATGGCGACGTGCTCTGCTCAGGTTAGACTAAAGTCAGAGACCATGTTTAACGCTGTTCTAACTGTTAAACATGGTGGTGGCAGCATCATGCTGTGGGGATTAGTGAGGCTGGTGAGAGCTGCTGCAGGTAAATCCAGAATAATCCAGGAGAATTATGGCTGCACCTACATCAAAATTTGATCCAATACTGATATTAATGTTAATGTTTTGGACAATAACCAATATTTACCAATATTATATATTTGTCAACTTCTTTAACACCTTTCTGGAAAAACCCGACCAAAAACAGACGGCAGTAGTTGTTTTTATCGGGCCGATCGGCAGATTTCAATGTTGGTGCCGATATATTGTGCATCCCTATGAGGCCTGATCAGCTGATTCATTTTTTAACAGTCTAGTCCAAGTCAGTTCTGGTTCTGGAAAGGTCTGCCTCGCATACTTATAGATTTTATGTCAAAAGAATTAATAATTTCCCTTCCACTTTCAGGTCTGCCATCACTTTGTGTTCATCTCAGTATCATTTCTGCAGAGTCAGGCAGTTACATTTACTCAGTTACATTTACTCAGTTACATTTACTCAGTTACATTTACTCAGTTACATTTACTTGAGTAACTATTTTTGAAAAAAGAAAGTCCTTTCAGGAGTATTTTTACTGCACTGTACTTCTTACTTTTCGTCAATAATTTGATTATGACGTTTTTCTGCTTGAGTAAAACTTCTGTTCACTGAATGAAAAACAAACATAATTAAACCAAAGATTCTCTAAACTCAGACAAACACCTTAAAGTTTCTGAAGTTTTTTTTAATTGGAAAAACGTATTTAGATTTTTTTTTGTTATTTATATGAATTGTTGTAATTTTAGTCCTTAAAATACCTACATTTGTACATAATTTTATTTTAGTCTGGATGAAATGATGTAATTTCTAAATATGAAGTGATTGATCATTTGATCAGTACTTGAGTAACTTTTTACTGATCAATTTCTTGGACGGATACTTTTTACTTTTACTTGAGTAAAAGTACTTTTTTAAGTTCTGCTACTCTTACATGAGTAATTCTTTTGTCTACCGAACCATCAGATCGAAAACACCATCAGGGCCTTCTCGGGTCCACGTGAGACCCGGAAAGCGGACCGGAACCACCATGAAGGTCCAACAGTCGGTTCTGATCGAACCTTTCTTACCTGGTTGCCGATCCGAACTGCTTCAAGATGCTGAGAGACTGCCGCAGCATGCTGGCGCTGGAGTCCGACCCGCTCCGCTTCCTGATCCGAACCGGTCCAGGCGCAGGTGAGCCGGGTCGCAGGGCGCGTTTCTGCGGCTGTTCGGTTTTCGTTCTTGTTTCAGCAAATGAGGAAGTTGCTCTGATGAAGCGTCAGCAGCGAAAGGGAACCAGATGTTTTCCCCCGGTTGTTGTTGTTTTTTTTTTTTTTTTTATTTATTTCGGGGTGTCACTCTGACCCCCCGCTGAGTCTGAGCAGTGGGGGGGGGTGTGCAGGTGAGGGCAGGTGAGTCAGGCTGCAGCTCCTAACGGCTTCAGCTGCTGCAGGATGTGAATGTCTGAAAGGGGAAACTCGGACTGATTGAGACATTTCTGTCCCAGTTTTCAAGCTTGTTCTGATTTTACTGCAGCGACTTTTCTCATGTTTTGCAGAACCAGGAATCACATTTCTGAGCCGGTTCGGTTTCACTGCAGATTGAGCCTCTGCTTCATCAAAGTTTCATTTCTTGTCACCTGTCCCCTATTTTTGAGGAACTTTGTGCATCAGAGCCACAAACTCATTTAAAATTTGTCGATCAAGGAAATTTGATCGACAAATTTTTCTTTATAATTTGTTACACCAAATTTTTGGTGTAACAAATTTTTTCTTTATAATTTGTTACATTCTCATTAATATTGTGACAATCTTTATAATTTTTCTTTATAATTTGTTACATTCTCATTAATATTGTGACAATCTGTAGGAATTTAAATGAAGGCGGTTTAGCCACCGCTAACGCCAGTGCCTGGCGGATGCTGCCGCCTAGTGGTGGGGCCGGCTAAATGCACACAAATGACTTTTCAGAAAGATTTTCCTCTCGAAAATAAAAGAAAGGTTTCTCTCGGTTATTTTTAGCTTTTTAAAAAATATTTTAACTCTATTAATATTTATATATGGAGGAAGCTGATACAGACTTCAGACCGGATCAAGTTTATTTTTTTTAGCATTTTTGTTAGCACCGCCATCTTGCTAACACCGGCTAACATTCGCTCGTGAACTTATTAGCGACATTTCAGACCGAAATAGGAAGATAGAGGCTGGAGTTACTCACGCAGAGTTCGCATGAATTAAATTAGAGCAATTTAATTATCTTGTTTAGCTTATTTGTTAACTTTACAGCGAAGCTACAGGAGTTTTAGCTAACTCGGAAGAAATTGCCTTAACCTGCTGTCTGAAGCAGCCAATCAGACGTCAAAGTTATGATACAAACAGCCAATCAGAGCTCAGTTTATATACATAAATTAGCATAATCCCACCTGAGTTTTGATGAAGGAAGTTAAATTTATTTAAAATGTATTTATATTCTAAATATAATACATTTATCATGTTTGTTTTAAAGCATTTATGAGATTTAAACAATTTCAGAAGACATTTATTTGTTGTAATTTGGCAGTTTTCATAAAAAGTTGTGAATACTTTTATAAGTGACTCTGTAGTGCAAACCAACTTGTTTCTGGGTGAGAAACAAGTTGAGGTTACCCTAAACCAAACATGTCATACCTCTCAGATGCTTTTCTGAGGAAGCCCAAAGTTTTTATGTAGTTGTTTTAAAATGAAGGAAATCCTCATGAAACAAAACCAGAATAATCTTGTTTTATTCAAAAAAAACTTAAAGCAACATTTTATAGTAACTGTTTATGAACTAGAAACCTATTTCATGACATTTAAACCAGCAATACAATGAACCGCAGACCGTTGTTTTAACAGTTTCCTGTTGTCTCTGCATCAGCGGCTTGACTTGGAAAACAAAACCATAAAAGTCCTCACTTTAAAACTTTAGTTAGATCAACAGGGAAATATTTGTGAATCCAAAGGAATGAAACTTTTAGCAGCTTTAGACGTAAAAACCCTGGTGAGAAATAAGGAAGAGACTGTGAAACACTCAAGAGGCTTTTCTCCAAATGTTGCATCCGTCCTCCTCCACCGTTGCTTCACCCGTTTTTCTGTCCATGCTCTCCCAGAAGTCCCTGTCCCTCCGGTCGGAGGACAGGGATGTTAAGGAGACGCTGGCTGTCAATCCACTTCCTCCGTTCCCCTGAGACTGAAATGTGTGACGCTCCAGGTGAGGTGCTAACGCTTAGCTTGGGCCTCTTCAGCTGCAGCAAAACAAGAAGCAGAGTTTACTGACAGGAAGCCATCACATCAAATTTAATACAAGCTTAACTTTTTGAATATGGCTGCAAACTTAACGATTATTTTAGCAATCGATTAACTGGAAGGTTCTGAAGATTTTTCATTTCAGACTTTATTTATGAAGCATATTTATTTCTCGGCTGACCAAAGAGTTTCACAACTTCGAAGGAGACAAACGACAAAACAATAATAAAAAATAATCAGACAATTAGAAAATCAGCAGAAAATACCTAAACCTATAATATTAGTAGAAATCAATACATTTATTTTCAGCTGCAGCAAGTTACCAAAGAAAAACAACAATAATCTTGGAATCAGTGAAGCAATAATATTCCCAATTTCTAAATTAAAACTATTTTTAACATTTCTAAAAATGTATTAATTTATTTTATTTAACCATTTAAATGATTTTATACAATATTACAAAATTATTAAAGAGAATCTAATCATTTAATTATATGTTTGAAAAAAAAATCAACATTTTCATTTTATTTTTTGATAGTTGCAGGCTACCTCTCTTCCTGGCGGCCTCCTCCCTCTGCTTCTTGATGATGGCCAGCCGGGCCAGGTCGGCCCTGGCCTGCTCCGTCTTCCCCTCCAGGTGGAGCTTCCTGTAGCGCTCCGCCGATTTCTGCTTCTCGATTTCCTCTCTGAGGAGCAGAAGGAGGGAAAGCGTCAGCGGCGCCTCAGTGGCGCCTCGGCGGCGCCTCAACGGCGGCGGCGCCTCAGAGCGACTCCAGGAACAGGAACGCGGCGCCTACCTCTCCCTGCGGCTCAGCTCTCTGGGCGCGCTCACGTCAACCTCTGTCACCTTTTTGCTCTTCTGAGAAACTCGGTTTGGATTCTCGATTTCTATGAGGCCCTCCACTCCGCTCCTCTTCCTCGACTGGGAGTGGAAAACAAACAGTTACAGCACAATATTGTGAAACAACTAATAAACTTTTTTACTCAAAATAAAACTTCTGGAAATCAGAAATGATTTAAGTTAAGAGAGCATAAATATATTTTTGAGGTTTGTTTATGTTTGAACATGCTAAAGAGAAAAGTCCAGTAAAGTTGAAGTTGTTGGATGAACTGAATGAAGAGCTCAAATTATGAGCTTCAAGGTGTAAAACGCTAAAAGCTCAAATTCTGTTATGGAAATATATCTGCATATATGTACATATTTAAATATAAATTAAATAAAGTTGGTAATTTACTAAAATAAAGTGAAGTGAATCGAAGTTTTCAGTGAGACCTGTGTGCTCACCTCAGACTCATCTTCACTGCTGCTCTCCTCCTCTGACTCTGAGCTCTCCTTCTCTGCTCCGCCGCTCTCCTCCTGTTGAACCATCTCATGTAAACGTCTCACCGCTGCAGACGAGCTTCACAGGAAATCTGGTTCTTTCTGCCACAGGATCGTCACTCACCTTCTCTCTCTGGAGTCTCATCTGTCGGTCGATCTCCTCCGGGTTGCTGAACTGCTTCCCTCGGCCCTTGTGGCCCTTTTTTCCTACAGGATTTAGAGAAAGTCATCACTGTGAATGAAGTCATGCTGCACGAACAAATGCTAGCTGAGCTTCAGCGCAGAAAATCTGAAAACGTTTCTATTATGACTTCTGTTTACTTTCTCTTCTCTAATATATTCACTTAAATTCTGCTTCCATAAAACTATTAATAGTTTTGCTTATTCCAGAGGTTCACTGAGCTTGTTAAAAATATTTATTTATAATATGTAAATAAATATTTCTGGACGATGCATTGTCCCAGAAGTTACTGCGATAAAGGATAATTTTCTAGTTTTGAGAATATTTTCCAGTAATATAACAGTAATGGTATAATAATAATGTAATAAAACATTGTCAAAGATCAATAAACTTAAAATTATAATGAACATTTAACACTGGAACTGGAAGACATTTTAAATCTACAAAATACACAAACAACAAAACAACAAATAAAATGAATTATGAAGACTCTGTAAACAAAACTGACCTTCATAAAAAGGCTGGTTGAGACTTTTTTTTTCATCAAGTTTTGGTGGAAAAACAATAAATTATAAAAATTGTTATTATTGAGCTCACTTTAATTTATCTTGTGATTAATCTATTTATTGCGACGAGTCTCATAATAATAAAACATTTTATTTCACGTGACTTCATCTGCACTGAAGGACATCTTCAAATATGCATAAAATTACAAAAGTGAGTGTCTTTAGTCAGAGTCTTCTGCAAGTTTACTGTAAGACTGACTGTTACAGAAGATCTTTCCTGATAACAGTCATCATCAATCACTGAAGACTTTAACTAGGCCTGTTGCAATAATCGCTGGATAAATTAAAACCAAAACAAATTATCAGAATTATAAAGTTTATTTAGCTTGGATCTGAAATCAGCTCAGTTTCACACAGGGTTTATAAAACTGGAGTGTTGCTGGCTGCAGATTACTGCTAACATCTCTGCTGTAAACACAGACAATTAATCCTGAAGTCGTTTGGATTAAATACAAGTTGAGACAACTTCACATTTAATCTGTGATTCATCATGCAATCCTACCGTTCGTCCACTAGGGGTCATCAACCTAAAATGTTCACGTAAGCTAATAGCGTTAAATCTACTCCTGCTAAAAGTAATTACACACATAAAATGGACAATTTCAAAAGGTTTAACATAACATCTATCTTGACTTTTTATGTCGGTTTCATCGGCGCATATTAGAAATTCTAATTTTATCTTAAATAATATCTGTGATCTGTTATTCACGTAGCATGCTAACAGCTAAACATGTGCGAGTTGAACGGATTTTATTAAACTTTTAGCAGTCGGAACAGAAGAAAATACTCACCACCGCGCGGCATTGTTTCCTGGTAAACACTATAAAGAAGAAAAAGTCAACAAACCATCCAAGGAGTCAAACAGAAGGCCGTAAAACCTGCGATTTAAGGTGCTGAAATAAAAGGCTAAGGAGTAACTACTTTGTCTCTCGCGCTGTCAGCCTACTCGATGGTATCGGCGCATGCGCAAAAGTGGGGACTGACCCAATCGCTGTCCAGACTGAGCTGAAAATCCTCCAATCAGATCAAGAGCCACCTCCTCAGCTGCCCATTCACAAAATATAGAGAAATATTGATTCAGATCAATACTGTGGGTCATTTACACAGAGCTATAAAGTAAAGTAAGTTTTTTTACTGTGTTGATTTCTCAGGTATCTGTATTTCACTTAAACATCTCTTTTTCTGACAAATTTTTACTTTAACTTCACACATTTTAAGACAAATATTTGACTTTCTACTCCTTACATTTTGCATAAAATTATCATTACTACAATGATAAAAAAAAATAATGACGTGGAGTCACATCAAATCGGGAGAAATCCTCTGTTCATACAAAAAAGTATATTACAGTGTCGGTATTCATTTGGCTTCAACCAAAGCAAACAGAGGAAAGAAAACACAGAACACACACACAACATGGATGGAAACTTTAATCTGAGTAAACAACAGAGGAATACACACAGAGACGCAGATATTCCCCATATGGATCATTATTTTTAAAAAAAAACGTGAAATATTTCTGCAAAAAGACTAACCCCACTGCTACACAGGCTGCGACTGGGTTAAATATTAAATTATTTATGTACACATTTATATATATATACCCACCAAAAAAGAAAAGATCACAGATTAAATTATATTTTATATTGAATATACATTTTATTTTGAAATCCAAACAGCATTCTACAAAAAGGAAACAGTGATATTGCAGCACAGGTAGCAGTGAACCTTCTAGATATTTATGATAAATAATGAAGGGGTTACTTTTATTATTATTAATTCTTGCAACAAAATGTGTGTTTTATTTAACAAAATCAAACATTTTTAATTTGTCTTGTTTCCAAAACTAAAAAAACAAAACAAAGAAAAAGCATCAAAACAGAATAATGATGACGTATTAAAATATTTGTCCAGCTTTTTAATTTAGAAGCTTTTTAATTTAGAATATAAAGAAAATTATAAGAGACAGTTTGTTATTTTTGAATGCGGTTTATAAAAAATAGGCTGCATGTGTAAATACTCAGATGAAAATAAATAAGATTTTATTAATATTTTAAAAATGGGACAAAACATGTTAAAAAATGACTTGTGGTTTTATTTTACTGCCTTTTATCTTTAAAGAAACTCTAAAAAAAAAAAATATCAAAAAATCTAGCTACACTGGATCGTCATTTTTTTCTTCGGTGTTGAGTTTTCATGTCTTCGATTTCTTTCTCCATCAGGTGGAACTCCACTGTAGTTTCTGTCAGCTTGAAAGAAGAAAGTAAATTACAGAATGTAATACTTTCATCAAAGTATTATTAACTTAACCAGAAAACATGGAAAGCAAAGTGCAAAACAGAATATAAAAAGTTTTACAGAGACAGTTTGGATAGCAACTAATAGGGGTTTGAAATTTATATGACTTTTATTATTATTTCATAGTGAGAAGACAGAATTAGGCATCACCATGTCCATCAGAACTTCAATCTTTGATTTTAAAAGGTTATTTTCTTCCTCCAGCTGCAGATTTCGTTTCTTAAGCCGCTGCACCTCCTTAGTAGAAGAATTTCCACCAGATTCTAGTTGAAGAAAAAGATTAAAATCACCTGATAACGACAACATTTGGAAGAATAAGTCTGAATAAAAGCCGTCCTCACCTGTTATCCACTGTCCGTCCTCAAATTTCCAGCTCTGGCCTCCTAAGCTCATGGCAGGAGGTCCCGACTCCAGGCCAAGCTCTATTTCTCTTGTCGAGCGATCCAACTGTAACGCAACCAAACAAATAATCAGCACAACTTATATGTTTCCAGATCCTTCCAGATGAAATCAACAAAATTACATTATTGGCACTGTGACAGAGGAGAGCAGAGCCCCAAAAACATAACTAAAGTAAGAGTAGAAATACTTCAACATACTCAAGTAAAATAAAAGGTAGCCATCAGAGTAAGAGTAAAAAAGTATTTGGTAAAAAGTCTACCCAACTGATCAAATTATCAATCAATTTATATTTAGAAATTACACCTATGGGAGGTGTTTTTGTTTCTCTTCCTTATCATATACTTATGTAATAAGACAACACAGTGTACAATGTTATATTTCCTATGTTTGTGAAACACAAAACTAATAAAAATGTTTAAACAAAAAAATCAAAAAAAAGAAATTACATCTATTTACAACAAAATATGTACAAATTTTGGTATTTTAATGACTAAAATTATAATAATTCACACAAAAAAAATAACAAAATCAAGCAAAGCATTTTTTTTCTAAATATCTTTCTTCCAAATAAAAACTTCTGAAATTTTAATAAAAACTGCAGGTGTGTGTTTTTCATTCAGTGGAAAGAGAATCCAGAAATGTTACTCAAATAAGAGTAGAAATACTTCATAATACAATTATTACTAAAGTTAAAAGTACAGCATGGTAAGAATTTACTTTATTCAACAGACTCATGGTCCACAAGATACACAACAACACAACATAAAAAAACAAGAGAAAATGAAAAATAAAATACAATAAGTAGTCATAAGAAATATAAATATAAATCTTATAGAAGACTTGTATACCAATGTTTCCAAAGAGCCGACTGGTATCTTAGCGCACTAACAGAAGGCTGTGAGAACATTACAAGAAGATTGTTCGGTGAGTTACCCAAACGACACATAAACTTGTATATCAGATTCTCAAAAGGGCCTGAAATGTTCTGACATGTGCGTTACAGAACATTTGACTTGCACTGCTGAACCTGGGTTTCTTGATCAAAATTCTCAAAGAGTCATTATAAGCAACCTTAAGCTTCTGCATACTAGTTTTTTTAAATTTGCACCACAAAGGAGCTGTATACAAGGATGTACAGTAAGCTTTAAACAGGCTTATTTTTACCTCATCAGAGCACATATGAAATTTCCTCCCCAAAACGTTTGCCTGGGCGTATAACATGCGACACTGCCTATAGATGTCATCATCATCAGAGAGCTGGTCTGTGATGTAGTGACCCAGATACTTAGTTTTGGAACAAACATCTAACTTTTGCCCTGATAGAAAAAAATCAGGGAAAGAGAGTTGTTTGTCATCTTTAGTTCTACAAACTAGTACAACAGTTTTCTTAGCATTATACTGCACATCAAATCTCAACCCATAATCAGAGCAGATATTCAATAACTGCTGAAAACCAGCACTACTGGGTGAGAGAACAGCCAGGTCATCAGCATACATAAAGTGATTGACCAAAGTATCACCAATCATACACCTGGTTTTACAGAGGTTCATTTCTTTTGATAGGTCATCCATATACAAGTTAAACAGGGCAGGTGAAAGAAGCCCACCCTGCCGCACACCATTACTAACACCAAAGGAAGCAGAGATGTTATCTCCCCATTTTACATGCATTTTCTGGTTAGAGTACCAGTAAACTAAAATTCGTATAATAATATCTGAAACACCTCTTTTTTTTAATTTGTCAAATAACTTATTGTGGTTAACACGATCAAAGGCCTTAGAGGCATCAATAAACCCAAGTAACACAGATGAATTTTTCCTTAAGTATGTTCTTACAGCTTCTTTCAGGCCGTAAATACAGAAATCCGTTCCCAGCTTGGCTTTAAACCAAATTGATTATCTGTTGTACTAATAAACTGATTAAGCCGACCAAGCAAAATTTTTTCTAATACTTTAGATAACACACTAGCCAAAGCTATGGGTCTGTAGTTATCAAGGCTGCCAACCTTATTAGTTTTGTCCTTAATTACTGGCACAAGGGTAACAGATAGTAAGGAATCAGGCAACTGCCCATGGGTCATAAACCCAGAAAAACACATTGCAAGCAGCACAGACACTTGTTGGCTAGCATATTTCAAATGTTCTGCTGCAATGCCATCAGAACCTGTTGCTTTATTCTCACACAAATTTACTATAGCCTGCTGAATTTCACTAGGGGTTATTATAACCACATCATTCTTAGCAATGTTTCCCAGTCCATAGGGTTCATTTTGTACACAGTTAAATAAGGCAGAATAGTGCTGTCTCCATAGATCAGCTATATTATGAGCCCCAGACATGCCCTCTATGGTATTGGGGAGTAATGCAGCAGACCTGTTTAAGGCTCTAACATCATTCCAAAAGCCAGTGGTGTCATTACAAAGCAGTTTTTCAGCCATGGAGTCTGCTCTCATATTCTGTTCACATTTGGAGATGTATCGAATGGCATATTTAAACTTTGCACTGGTGAGTTTTTTATAATCTAAGATAGTCCCATGTCTTGGTTTACCTGCCTGTACCACATTTTATGCCTGTTTAGCTTCTGCACGGCATCCTGACACATGTTTATTCCAGCCTGGCCTGATGCTATTAGTCCTTCTGTATGTAAGGTATGGTCTTGGGCTCTGGTACAAAGCATCCACAATGCCATCATACATAGTATGGAGGTCAGTACAGTGAGAAATATCACTGCAATTAACATCTGAGCACGTAATAGCTGGAAGAGGAAGATTTATTTTACTCAAAAGAAGATCAGTTTCATACGATATACGAGTAAGTCATCTTTAGAAAGTGTGGACCAGTTAATTTTAAATGTAGGAGCACTATTTGCCCCCCGTATAAACTCTGGGAGATTTTTAATATCCAACATCATTAAAAATGGGACATGATCCGACATTGAATACTCATATAGGATTTCTAATGATTTTACAACAGTATGGGCATCAGCAGAGCTAATGCAATGGTCAAGCCATGACGTTGTATGCCAAGCTTCACTTATATATGTATAGCTTTCTGCAGGTAGCAGGAGCTGACTGGACAATAATAAACTATTATCATCACAAAACTGATGCATATGTTTGGCAAATGAGGAATGTTCATCAGATACATCTGCATTCATATCACCTACTACATACACAGAGGTAAAACAATGGACATCAATAAAAGAGCTCAAGAAAGCAAGTCTATTCAAATAAATGTCTTCATTCTGAGGACACTCATATGGTGTATAAACATTAATAATGATAAATTCTTTGTTTTCGATTTTAAAATGAACAGCAATACACCAGTCAACACCGGTTCTGATGACATTTAAAACTGGATCCAGCTTTTTGTGCCATAGAATGGCTACTCCTCCTGCGATTCAACCCCTCACTATACCCATAGAAAGATCCACAGTAGATTCACCAGCTCCACAGAAACAATCATTAATACAGTTCAAACTTCCCAAGTCTTGTTTTGATAAAAAGGTCTCTTGTAAACAAAGAACGTCACATTCTTGCAACAGTTTATCCACAACCAGACGTCGTGCTTTATCTCCAGCTGTATTACCGACACGCAGTCCCCGGCAATTGTAAGAAATAACACGCATGAATTGGTCTATGAGAAAGTAACTGCAGCCATCCCTCGATCCTTCTGGAATCACTAGAGGTGCTCACCCCAGGTCCTTCAGACGTTGTAGGTTTATTCCGTGGCTCATAGTAGCGGCGCACCACCGCACCCTCTGGCCACAGCTCTGGGTTATACACTTCTGCAACGTTCTGACACTCCACACTGACTTTAAAAGAACTATATCTTGTGTTCCCAGTGACAATACGCCGGCACTCAACATCACGCCCAAGCTTTTCTTTAAGGTAGTTCGTTAGTGTCTCGTCATCTAGATCTGGCACAAATCTAGTTGCAAAGATAGTGGCAAGCTTCATTTTTACCACTTTTATGGTGCTTTGTGCGCCAGTGCCAATAATAAGCGCTGGTCTTTTGCGCTCAGGTTTAGTTTGGCGATTTGATGAGCTGGATGGCTCTCGGTTCTCTTACGTCGGCCTTGTTTCACCACCAAGTTCCATGTGGGTGAGCTGGCAGGCTCATCTACAGCAGAGCTTAGCTTATCACTCACCGCAACAGGCTCGTCAGTAGTCCTGGAACAGTTGGTGTAGGTCCCATTCACGGGCAAAGCCGCATTATCGGCGGTAACATAGTTTGTTGCAACAGAATCCATGCATGCCACCACCTCCTCAGAAACGTTCACAGCCAATTTCATGTCTCCAGCGTTGGGCATTCCTAGAGCAGGCGCATCGACACTGCTGGATCCTCCACCGCCAGACACCAAATGCAGTTCCATTGCAGCAACTCTGCGGTCAATGGTAGCGGTAACTTCACGCAACTTCTCTTCAACATCCACTTGGCGTGATACTGTATGCTTTAGGGCACAAACCTCGCTCTGCAAGCGCTCTATCTTGCTGAGTAAGTTGGAGACGTCTAGGCTGTTGAACGTCACAGGTGGCAGCTCATCCAGGAAGTGAGAGACAAAGCGTGGAATAGCTTCCCCACACTCATTCAGAACTTTTAAACAGCTTTTATGGCATTTGCAGCTTTCTGGTTTCCTTTGAAGGCCGTATATCGCTGCTTAGAGTTGGAACACAGTTCAACAGTACTTTTCTAGAGGACTCAATCCACTCAAAGTCAAATGTGTTTGATGCAAGCAGCACAAGCTCTTCCTGACACATAGTCTTGATTTTGACCACAAGAAAATTTAAAAACTCATCCTCTACTATAAGTTTTCCATCAGTGGTTTTGTAGATCTGCGGTTTAGTTCGGGGAGGAATGGAGAAGGAAGCGCCCGAGCCGGACTCCGCACCGTCCGCCATCTTTGAATGATACTGCTAATAGTATCATTAGGCAAATTATGCCTAATAGTAAATAAATAAAACTTATGCAAGTAAATGTAGTTTTATAAATACCCAGCTGTGGTTGCAAACTGATTCAGTTTCTTTGGGTTTTATGTGAGAAAGCAAAACAAAAAGCAGAAATATGAAGCTCTGAAATATTTCACAAATAAAGTTCAAAACTTCCCAGTTAACAAAACATTTCAGTCACTTTAAATAAGGTTTCTGAATCAACTGAACTTAATAACAGGTGACGTATTTCCTGGCATATCATCCAAACTCTCCATGAAACACTCTTCATAATGACGGTTCGAACTATGAGAAGCTTGGAAGTGAAACATTTTGGGTCGGTACCGTGTGAAGGCTGGACAGGGACGCAGATTTGCGGGGCGGAGTCTTCTTCGGGCTGAAGGTGTTTCCAAACAGCGGCATCAGGGATTTTCTAAAGTCCTAAGAGACAGAGGAGGAAGATGAGGATGAGGAAGATGGAGGAGGAGGAGGAGGATGATGATGATGAAGGATGAGGGTGATGATGAAGGAGTTTAACTCAGAAGCCTCGTTGCTATCGCCTGGTTCTGACGCTGCTAACGACACCAAGTTACTCCAGCAGGTGATCAACAGAGACGTCCTGAGAGAAACACTAATTCCTGACAATAAACCTGAGCACAAAAATGACTAAAAGAACTTTAAATGTTACCTACAATATTTACCTCCATGGAGAAAATGTATTTAACGCGCTAACGTCAAATTCTCTTCTCTCAAGACAAGGATCCTAATACGCAGGCGCGGAACTTACCATCACTCTAAACAAGGAGAAGCTGCATTAATGTGACCTAATTTTACCCCCAACTTAAAATTCAGCTACCAATCGTTTCTTATGTTTCTTTAATAAATAATATTTTAAGAGCACTTCATAAAATAATAATAGTAATAATAATAATAATAATAATGTAAAATATAGATAGAAATACTTTGCATCTTGACATCCGAATAACCCCCGTGATAATGGTTCCGCCCAAAATCCTAACGGGACTCTAAACAGCAAAACCGTGAACGTGACTAATTCAAATGTTTAAGTTCCTCTTTGTTATGTTAATAAATCGTATGAGAAAAAAGGACTCCATATGCGTGACAAAATTAAACTCCACTCTGCACTGGTCCTAACAAAAAGTATCACGCAGGTGGGTCTTCTGGCGAAGCCCCAGTGGCCTAATGGATAAGGCACTGGCCTCCTAAGCCAGGGATTGTGGGTTCGAGTCCCATCTGGGGTGGTTGCAATTTTTTTTTATCCTTACTTCAACATTTTGCTTTTAGACATTTAACAAACAATCTGGGAAGTATTTATCCGCCGACTATCATCATGAATTCTTATCCGCACTAATTTTCGGTGCTACTCTCCGATCAGAACCTGCGATTCTTCATGATGAGGAAACCGAGCATCTGTTCGTGCGTCCTGCTGTGCTCTGTGGCTGCATCGCTGCATGAAGTTGGAAGACAAGTTAGCAAGGTGCAAACTTACCGTGAGTATTGCACTTAATGTATGGTTGTATTTCTAACTGTTGTGATTAATAAATATTGTTTTAGACGCAGTTATTGAATATTTTTGGATGGGAATTAACAGGAAGGTTTTTTCTACTTCCATATAGTTTTGCCATTAACATTGAAAATTGTGTTTAGAGAAGATTAGTAATCACTAGAAATATTACTTTGCATCACAAAAAATACTTTTGATTTAATCATATAAAACTATATTTTATCTGTAAATTAAATCAGAATATTTTTTTTATTACAACTTACATGTACCCATGTTAAATCCAGCTTTCAAAAGTATTAAAAGTATATATTTATATCTATAAAAAAACAAATAAAATCAATATATCTTTCTTTAAAATGGTGCCATGACATTATATTACATAATGTGTTATCTAACCCCAACCCTGTAACCCTGTCCATCCTGGTACAATGGTAAATCTCCTAGAGGCCACGGTGAACTGGGATGCTGCCCAGAAGAGCGTGACCCTGCAGGAGGGGGTGATGGCGCGGGACGGGGGCGCCTGCGGATTCTTCAACGACTCTCTGCTGCTCTCTGGATGGGGCGTCTTGGAGATCCAGGCCGGCTTTGGAGGAGCGCCGCAGGACGATGAAACCACATTTTACCTGGCTGGTTACCTGGAGGGCTACCTGACTGCCGGGTGAGCCACAGTATATATTTATACATAGATATAAATATAAATATATTCATACATAGAAAAATAAAAATGTTGCTGGAACACAGTTAACAGCTGACTTTTTTTTCTGACATTACACCAGTTTCACCAACATTTTTTCTAATGTTGACTAAATGACAAAACTGTCTTTTTTCTATTTAAATTCTGAAGTTTCCATCCATCTGAGCATCTGAATTGTATTATTTGTCCAGATCTGTCACAACAAACCCTCTGGATGATAAATCATCCCTGAAGTTATTGCGATAAATGATATTAATGTTGTTTTGACACCATTTTCCTGTAACATAATAATAATGCCAGAACACATTCTGAAAGATCAATAAGCTTAAAATGCTAATGAAGATGTAACCCTGGAACTGGAAGACATTTTAAATATTTTTAATAAAACAACAAATAAAATCAATTATGAACTCAGAGAATTCAGTTTGTAAAGAGTTCATGTTTCCTTTTCCTGCAGACAGATGTTCAGCCATTACACCAACATGTTTCCTCAACTGGTAAAGGATGAGCGCGTTTTAATCCCCTTAAAACACTTCATGAGGTATGATAACTTTCAATCACTGATCAATAATTTAGGATATCATGAGATAAGGTCATTTTATAGCAGATTTTCAGCAACAAGACAATTCAAAGTGTTTTACATTTTGTAGGTAGAAAATAAGAAAACAAAGAGAACTAAAATTCTGGCTTTGAAAAGTCATATATGTGGTATAAAAATGATATTAATCTCAAGTTGAAAACTTTGAAAAGTGGAAAATGTTTAACCTTTCAAAAGCAAAAACTTCCAATATTTTCCTGGAAAATTTCCGATGTTAATTTAAAAAAAAAATTCCTAACAAATTTAAAATTTTCTGTCTCAGAAATTTTTCTGATTAACCTCAGAAATTTACTAGAAGAAACCTGGATATTTCTTAGGTTTAAAAGTTAAACATTTGCTCAAAAAAAACAAGAAGATTTTGAGATTAAATTGGAATATTTTCTAGAAAAAATCGGAAATTTCTGAGTTGAAATTTTGTTTCAAAAATGGGCTGCCTAAAATTTAGAAATTAATCTCAGAAATTTTTACAGAAAAAACCCCTAGAAATTCATATGTTTGAAAAATTGAAACTTTACTGAAAAAAATCAGAAATTTTGAGATGAATCTCAAGTTGAAAAGTACAAAATGTTTCACTTTTCAATCTCAGAAATTTCTGTTTTTTTCTAGAAACATTTTGAAGTTGTTAATTTGCGCCTCCTTTTCTTTCAATCTATAATGTCCCTAACAGGCCTTCGTAGTGAATGATAAACGTTCCGCATTTATTTCTGCTGGATCCGCAGCGAACAGGACAGTTGGGCCCGAGAGCAGGCGGCTCAGAGGAGGAAACAGCGACCCCCTGTGGAAGCATGTGGGACTGATCCTGGCCCAGCTGGACGGGCTGCACGCTGGAGCTGCAGAGTGGGCCAAAAGCAGACACAGGGAGGTGTGTGTGTGTGTGTGTGTGTGTGTGTGTGTGTGTGTGTGTGTGTGTGTGTGTGTGTGTGTGTTTGCTGGCGGCCTGTCAGACTATCACTTCATTAATCGGTGCCTCTTGCCCAGGCCCTGCCGCTGTTCGCGCTCCAGTTCCTGAATGGTGTGGGTGACCTCCTGGACCTGGTCCCGGCTCTGACGCCTCGCTCCAACTCCACGGCGGGCTCGGCCGCCTTCAGGAGGCCCGGGATGGGCCTCTGCACGGCCCTCATCAAGGTCAGGCTGAGCCGCTTTGGACCGTCCAGCAGCTCTGGCTGCTTTTATGAGCAAAATGTCAGAGAGAAAACCGGGTCAGCGGAGCGTTGGTCTGAGCTTCTCTCTTTACTTTCCTCCTTCTAAAGAACTTGTGTTAAACATAAGGCTTGGGGGCCAAATCCAGGCCACCACAGTTTTTTTGTGGCCCTCTAAACTCCACTTGGACACACAAGTATAACAAATATAACCACAAGTTAACAGTTGTGTGTTTAAATGCTTTTTAATCAAATCAAAGCCATTTCTATTTATATGCTGACAAGTTGCAAGTAGAGGCGCATCCAAAGTGTGGCCCGGGGGCCATTTATGGCCCTTGAAATGATTTTAGGAGGCCCTTGATCAGAATTCAATATTATTCTATGTGCTTATTAACTTTATGTTGGCAGTGGATACAGATTTAAAAACAATGTTTGGGGATCAGCCTTTCAAAAAACGGTAGACAATTTAAAATCTTAAAATGGGAAAGTTTTTTTTTATGAAATATGATTTATAAACTCAGCCATTAACATTCAGTAACCTCTAATAAAATGCAGACTTTGGCATTCCCTTTTAATAAACATTTAAAAAAAAAAAAACAGAAAATGTAGAAAAATATGATCAACTGAAGCATTTCTGTTTGTTTTTCTTTTAATCTGGCAAAACTTCAAAACATTTTAATATTGTTAATCTGCAATAATTGATAGATTGATGAGAGAACTGTGAGTGCTGTCATGTTTAGTTTACGGTTGATCAGGAAAAACGGAAAACAAAACAAGCAATAGTTTTTATAATTAATTAATTTAAAAGTTTGGCTGTTTTAGAAGCAGGAAACGTATAAAACCATAGAAAACGAGTGAAGTCAAACCAAGCTGATTAAACTGGTTGTGTTTGAAAACCTGCTGCTCTCTGTCGTTTGCTCAGGTGCTGCCCGGGTATGAAAACCTGCTACTGGGCCACTCCAGCTGGTACAGCTACGCCGCCACCATGCGGATCTACAAACACTGGGACTTCAGGGTTTCCGACTCGCGCGTTCACACCGGCCAGATGTCCTTCAGCAGCTACCCGGGTACCAAAGCCCGGCTCAGCTCAGCCACAGTACAAACACCTGCAGGTTTTACTGCTGCAGCGCTGACGCTGCGCTGAGTCAGTGGACAGGAGCTGAAATGCTGCTGGTGCCATCAGACGAGACTCAGGTGTTCATGCCAAAGATTTGTCAAGTAAAAAATCCTCTTATGGGCTCCAGTCCATCAGAACCAAAGTGGTTTTAAGGAGCTATTTATAGAGCGCAGCAGCCGAGGTTTTCACTTTACTTTATTAAACTGAAGCAGTGAAACGGCCTGGAATCCAGCAGGATCCGCCATCTTGTTACTCCGTTTATTGGTTGTTTGTAGTAACTTTAAGGTCGTGGCTGTTTATTCTTTTATTTGGCACGGTGTTTGTTTCCTGACATTTCAGGACTTATTATTGTCAGTAATGTCTTGCCATATTCTGTGTTGTTCGTTATTATCGTTAAGGTCTTGCCATCTCGTTTTATTCCTGTTTTTAGTCTTTTAGATCAGTTTTAGTCTTTTTCCACATTTGGTTTGTAGATTTTGTTGTGTTTTTAGCCAGGGGTGTCCAAAGTCTGGTTCGAGGGCCGGTTGTGGCCCTTTGACTGAATTTTTTGCGGCCCCCAAACTGCAAATCAATAATATAATAAGGATAAAATTATTTCCAACATAATTTTCATAAAATATAAAATGTTAACACAAAGTATTTTTATAACCATACAGAATCAAGTTTATCCAGATTTTTACTGAAAATTTGAATTTACTGAACCCAAACCAGCTTTTATTTATCAAACTTTCCAAATATTAGCAAACATTGAGAAAGAAAGTGACCCGAATCCTTTTCTTATATTGACTACACATTTATTTGTATTTTTAATTTATCCAATTAATTGTCAGAAAAATAAATTACTAAGGTAATCATCAGTTGCAGATCATCCTGGGTGACTGCCCATGTCAAAAGCTGCCAGTAGGTGGCAGTGTAAACCCAGTTTACTTCTCTCTTTTGTTTGAAAATGTTGCAGTGAATGTCAGACTGACTCCTCCTCCTGCAGGGTTCCTCATGTCTCTGGATGACTTCTACCTGCTGGGCAGCGGCCTGCTGATGACGCAGACCTCCATCGGCGTCTTCAACGCTTCGCTGTTCAGGCGGCTCAGCCCACAGCGCCTGCTGGCCTGGCAGCGGGTCCGGCTGGCCAACGGCCTGGCCCGCAACGGAGAGCAGTGGGCGCAGCTCTTCTCCAGATATAACTCAGGTGGGATCTGAGCCACAACCAGACACTTTTTTGCTTCATCTGAATGAATAAACCATGTTTAAAATCACAATCTGCAGCGTTTCCACCCTGCAACAGGCTGTGAGTATTGATCAGACTCGGCCTGCAGCTTCCCGTCTTTACAGTTAAAATATGAAACTTGCCATTGTACAGCACAATTAATAGAAATGTAAATTATATATATTTAAATTTGAGTTAGGCTATATAAACTTTCTTTTAAAAAAATAACATTTCTGAGTTTGAAGAATCAAAACTTTGCAGGAAAAAAGTTCAGAAATTTTCTTGAAATTTTTCATTTTTACTTTTAAAATTCCAATATTTTTCTAGAAAATAGATTGACCTAAAAATTTTTTGTTTTTTTTCTGCAAATTTCTGACTTTTCAAACACAAAAAATATTTTTTCTAGAAAATGTTCATCTAAAATTTTCTTGTTTTTTTGAGAAAATTCCTAAATATTTAAAATTTGTTTTCTATCTACAATGTCGGAGAAATGGCTCCTGGTCTTCATCCAAACACTAAAGAGAAATCACTAAACTCTGACGCCTCCATCTTGTTTCATCTGGTGAAACAGGAAGTTGCTCTCAGTGTCTTCAGAGCTTTTAGTGTCGTTTCCTTCAGTGGTTGTTGGTGCAGCGCCCCCACAGGCCAGGAGGGGAACAGGTTGGTTTGGGTCAGAACCACAGAAGCTGGAAGTGGAGCAGATATTCTGGTTCCGATAGAACCAAGTCGACTGGACTGTCAGGAGGAAACAGATTGAGTGTTTAGGAGTCTTCTCATCTCCACCGTTTCCCTCACTGAACATGATGGGGCTTGTTGCTCTGTTGGGAAAGTCTGATGCAAGAATCAACTAGACGCCTACATTAGTTTCATGATTTCTTCAGGTGAATCAGAAAATTCATCGATTTTCAGTTAGGGGCCCAATAGTCGGCTAGGGGCCCAATAGTCGGCTAGGGGCCCAATAGTCGGCTAGGGGCCCAATAGTCGGCTAGGGGCCCAATAGTCGGTTAGGGCACCAATAGTCAGTTGGGGCACCAATAGTCAGTTGGGAGCCCAATAGTCAGTTAGGGGCCCAATAGTCGGTTAGGGGACCAATAGTCAGTTGGGGCACCAATAGTCAGTTGGGGGCCCAACAGTCAGTTAGGGGCCCAACAGTCTTTTAGGGGACCAATAGTCAGTTGGGGGACCAATAGTCGGTTAGGGGCCCAACAGTCTTTTAGGGGACCAATAGTCAGTTGGGGGACCAATAGTCGGTTCATGCACCGCCAGCCTCTGGAGGATCCTCCACCTTGAGGCTCCAGCAGTTTTAATAACCGTTTGCTGCTTTAAGGGCATTTCAGCAGCTGATCTCTTGATCCCATGAATCTAACATAAACTTTCTTTAGCCTTTGTCTGTAAACCATCTTTGTTCTCAATCAGCCACAAATCTCTTCACAGTACGATGATAACGCTTCAGTTTCCCTTAAATATCTCATGTTTTCATGTCTTTTCTCTGATGATCTTCATCAGCAGAGATTCTTTCTCTTTGTCATGTTGCTGGAATCCTGCGGCTTGCTGAATAATGTGGAACATCCTTCTGAAGTAGATTTCCTTTAATTAAGCTAAACTGATCAACCAGCTCTCTGAAAGTAATTATAGTGATTCAAAGATCCCAGACACACACCATCAATACCATCTATAAGTTTAATAGCACAACAAAAAATGTTATTTTTATGACACTTCAGTCCAATTTGCATAATAATTTGGAATATGGTGTAAATTCGTACAAATATATTCCAGAATTAGAAAAAGGTTCATTAGTATTGATGGACCTTGAATTTTACTTGAATTTTGATTTTGTTTCCTTGTGATTTTATGTGAAAGCCCAAAACGATGAGTAGTTTTAAACGACTTTACAAATTAAATCTGAAAGGTCTGAATTATGTTCATAGAAAACATCTGTAAAGACCTTCACCATATTTTACTAACTTGACATTTTAGTTGATTGTTTGGAGTATCTTTTGTTGGTTTGCTGTATTTTCCGTAGAGGCCAACACGCAGCAAGTTTTCATGTTAGAGAAACTTTAACCCACAGCAGAACCACTGCAGTGGGTCAAACCATCGTGGGTCCGACTTGATTCTATTCAGGGTTGTTCCATTTTGAGCCAGAACAGATTATTTTTATGACTCGCAACTTTCTAACCAGTTTGTGTTTGTTGGTTGGTTGGTATTTTCTGTTTGTGTCAACAGCAAGAAACAACAGAGAATGGATGGATGGATGGATGGATGGATGGATGGTGGATGGATGGATGGATGGATGGATGGATGGATGGATGGATGGATGGATGGATGGATGGATGGATGGATGGATGGATGGATGGATGGATGGATGGATGGATGGATGGATGGATGGATGGATGGATGGATGGATGGATGGATGGATGGATGGATGGATGGATGGATGGATGGATGGATGGATGGACTTTTTGGGATCCAACTTATTGTAACATTTTCTTTTCTTTGACATTTTTGTAAATTTGATAAAAGCTAGTTGAATCTTAAATAGAAAAGCCCACCACACTTTTCAGATTAGTACAGGTATTCCGTTGTAAACCTTTTGGAATCCATTTCCTTGCTGTGCTGAGGCGCTCTGGGTTTCAGGAACCTACAACAGCCAGTACCTGGTTCTGGACCTGAGCAGGGTTCTGCTGCGGCGCAGCATCCGGGCCGGAGCGCTGACGGTGGTGGAGCAGATTCCCGGGAACGTCGTCCACTCCGACCAGACTCCGGCTTTACAGAGGTGGGCGGCCGTCTCCTTCTCTGATTCTCGGGTCGCTCGGTCTGGGGGATTCACCTGCCCTCCCGCATTCGGCAGGTTACTGGCCGTCCTACAACGTCCCGTTCCACGCCGAGATCTACGCCCAGAGCGGGTACGCCACCATGTGGAGGCGCTACGGAGAAGACTTCTCCTACGACCTTTGCCCCCGAGCCAAAATCCTCCGCAGGGACCAGGCCAACGTGTCCGACCTCAGCTCCCTCAAATACATCATGAGATACAACAGTAGGTCTAACAAAGACGAATTGTTTTATTGACCATGCAGACGTTCAGAACTGTAAACTGGACAACTAAAACCCAATCTGGTTCTGGTCCAGACTATAAGAGAGATCCCTACTCCAAGGGACATCCATGTAAAACCATCTGTTGCCGTAACGACCTGAGACCAAGGAGGCCACGCCCAGGAGGTTGCTATGACACCAAGGTCAGAGCTTTTGTTTCAATTATGGCCGGAACTCCTTATATAGGAATTTTAAATGTCCATATGTTATTTTCCCTACTGATAGTCCAATAGACTCTCTTCTATTGGGACCAAAACTGCTACATTTGTTGCAAAACATCCAAAACAAAGCGCTAGCCGAGTGTAATAAATTGAGACTGTTTCACTAGTTACAGTGGGACTCCGATTAAAGAGGTGACATGGAAGCAGAGCTCTTATTTTAGCACAGTTTAATGAGGTTTGCACTTTCCATCCAAATTACAGAACTTGTGTCAGAACACCTAGCGTTAGCTGGAGAAATAGCTTGTAATATTTTACCAAAGACTAAAGAGAAATCCTCCATCACTAAAATCTGACGCCTCCATCTTGTTTCCATCTGGTGAAGAAGGAAGTTGCTCTCAGTGTCTTCAAAGGTTTTAGTGTCGTTTCCTGCAGTGGTTGTTGGTGCAGCGCCCCCACAGGCCAGGAGGGGAACAGGTTGGTTTGACTCAGAGCCACAGCAGGTGGAGGTGGAGCAGAAGTTCTGGTTCCAAATGAAACTGAATCTACAGTTTCAGGTGTCAAACATCCATAGGGAGTCGTGGCTGATCTGATGAAGGTTGACGATTCAAAAGACTTTGTCCCTTCTCTGAAGTGATGTTGCGCTGACGCTGCATCACAGTAAATCAGTTTTGGCAGAGTAAGAGTGTTTACAGTGAATCAAGTCAGAGGACCAGAGCTGTCACAACAAATTCTGGTTACAGATCGTCTGCAGACTTTGTGATTTATATGAAGCTTTCTGTAGCAGATGACCTCACAGCTGGGCACTAGAAACTTCCACTGAGGAGAGTTACTTTCTGTCCAGGTGACAGACTACCAGATGGCCCTGCAGCTGACCGCCGAGGCCGTAAACGGGCCCACCACCCAGGGTGGACTGCCCCCTTACTCCTGGAGGTCCTTCAACCTCACGGCTCATCAGGGTCTCCCAGAAACCTACACGTTTCCCTTCGTCACCATGAGGCCCACGCTGCGCCGGCCCTGAGATGTCAGCCTGGGAGCTAGCTACAGCCAGCTAACATCTCCGCCTGTTAGCTAGCTACAGCCAGCTAACATTGCTGCCTGTTAGCTAGCTACAGCCAGCTAACATTGCCGCCTGTTAGTTAGCTACAGCCAGCTAACATCTCCGCCTGTTAGCTAGCTATAACTAGGTTCTGATGTTAAGCTTTTTTCAGTAAACTGGTAAAACGTAGTCTTTGTTATTCTTCAACCATAAGAAGTCTCTATCTCTGTGTCTTTTCATGAAGTTACTTCTGTAAAAAAATTATTTAAAATTTTTCAACTACATTGAAAATAATTTTTCCAGAACACAGAGACCAAGTGTCTTAACAGTGACGACTCTGTTTTAATAAACGCTAAAGGTTTTGTTTCCTTCCTGAGCTGCTAATCTTCTTGAGTTTCTGACCCAGAAAATTTATTAAATAAGAGTAAAAAGTATATGGTAAAAATGAGGCTCAAGTATAGAGTAACTTGATCAAAATGAATAATATATACAGTTTATTTAATTTGTTGTTTAGTTACTCTACAAAGCTTATTAAAAAATATATAGTCTAAGAATTTAATAATTGAGAGCTTTTCCCTATTCAACAACCCCCACAATTAGTTTTTCTTTATCGCCCTTTAAACAATAAGATACAGTCAAGTTTGCAGGTTTTTTTAAAATTCCTTTGAGATGATTTTGCAACGTGATTGCAGAACCTGCAGGTGATACATGACAGAACTTGTTAGCTTCTCTGTGGTCGATCAGGGAGGAAGAAGAAAAAGTTCAACTGCATGTTTATCATTTTACCATCATGGAGCAAAAACATAAAACTGTAACCATATGGAATGTAAAATAAGTGTTTATCAGCCTACTACTCAGTTACATTTATTTGAGTATTTTTTTAAATGTACTTTTAGGAGTATTTTTACCATGCTGTACTTTTTACTTATTTTCTTTGCTTGATTGTTGTTTTTGTTATTTATATGACTTATTGTCATTTTCATCCTTAATATGCCACAATTTCCACTTTATATTTTGGACTGCCTATGTAATTTTTAAATGTTAAATGAGTGATAAGTTAATCAGTAACTCAATATTGAGTTGATTTTTTTTCACCAAATACTTTTCTACTTGTGTAAAACTATGTTAAAGTACTGCCACTTTTAGCTAATCTCTGTTTTCAATTAAATCACCATTCCAGTATTAAAATGTAAACGTCTAATGTTGAACATCGTGTTTTCATTGGCTGGAAGCAGAACGTCATCACAGTGAAACACGTCGTTTGGTTACGATCTAAAACCGGAAATGAGGCTCTTATTGTGAAAGAGCATTTCGGAAGTAGAATGTGTGCCTGGCATGGCTGAGCCAGTGCGGCGTGGGGGCGGGGCTTGCGCTGACGTTGGCGGACCGAAGGAGCGGAGCCAGCATTCGGGTTCGTCCGCCTGAGCGTCGCGAGTCTCCGGGTTTCCAACAAATGGCAACGACCGCAGAAGACGTGCGGGAACCGGCGGACGCCGCCGCGCCGTCCACGCACCTCGGCGGGACCCAGCAGCACAACAGCAACAACAACAACAACAACAACAACAAAGACAAAGAGGCGGGGGAGAGCGCGACCTCCGCCGCCTCCGAACCCGGCGGGACGGCGGCGCAGAGCCTCGGCAACGGCTCGGTCATCAACCCCAACGGGGGCGACAACGGCAAGTGGGTCCGGCTGAACGTGGGCGGAACGGTGTTCCTCACGACGCGGCAGACCTTGCTCAAGGAGCAAACTTCGTTCCTGTACCGGCTGTGCCAGCAGCAGGACCTGCACTCCGACACGGTGAGTCCGGAACCGGGGCTGAGGCGCAGTACTTACCGAACAACAACAACAACAAGGAGTTCTGGAGAGAAAGCATGGAGAGTTCAATGACCTCCCACAGGAGGTAGAGGTGGTGTGTTCAGGTCCTGTGGGACATTTACATGTTACATCCATCAATATGTGGAGTGTTTATCGGCTTTGAGTGGTTTTATCACCACATCTCTATCAGCTGTTGCTTTCACTCTCTTAGTAAAACAGTTATTACAGTTATGAACAGTTATTATGTTGTGACCACGCAGCTGGTTCACCTGCAGCTGAGAAGCACCAACAGAAGACTAGAGGTTAAAAGGTTAAAGATGCCGCCCGGCAGCGCATTTCGTTTTCACTAACTGATGTAGAGCGACAGCAGAAACAAAGCTGGAAAACTGGATTTGACAAAAAAAAGTTTTTAAAATGTGACGTTAAAGAATAAAGCCCCCAGCTAATGTGGTGGTGCCTGTGTGAGACGATGACATCACAAAGGGTTCAGGAATGGAGCCGATCAGCTGGTTTGATTAAACTTTGGAGAAAATGTTTTTGTATGCAACCTGAACTCTTAGTCACAGTACGAATCACAGGAAAGACACTGACTTTCCCTCAGCTGTGCAGACCCTTCACTCACATCAGCATGCTTGATAGCTAAAAGGGAAACTGACAGGTTGACCTACCTTTGTCTGATTATTTATTGCTCACAATAAGCAATAAATAAGTCAATAAATTGCATAATAAATTTAAATGAGCTCCATTTTCAGTTGCATAATTGATCATTTTTCTCTTCCTACCAAAAACTGGTGTTTTGGTCTCAACAAGCCCTTATTCTGAAGGACAATTTTGTTTACAGAGACTTTATCATTCATATTGTCTGTTGTTTTGTTTATTCTGGGTATTTAAAGTCTCTTCCAAATGTTCATTAGAATTTAAAATTTCTTGATCTTTGAGAATGTGAGAATAGTCACAAAATTATAATATCATTTATCACAATAACTTCTGGGAGAGCTTATCGTCCATTTGACACTGGAGCTGGAAGACATTTTAAATATTCAAAATAAACAAACAGAAATAACACATAAAATTATTTCTGGTCTCTGTAAACACAAATGTCCTTCAAAATAAGTCAAAGACTTTAGTCATTCAGCTCTTGGTAGAAAAAAAGAACAAGAATAAATCATGCAAATGGAAATTGATCTGGTTTTAATTGTTAAATGTTTTTCGATGTGCAGCATCCAGCAGCTTTGCTCGTCCTGCTGGTTGACTGGAACGATGGGAAGCTACTGGCTGAGCTCCAGTTTTACGCCTGGTGGCACCAACTGGTGGAATTGGTGGAGATTTCCCGTTTTCTGCAGAGATGCTCGGCTGGTGTTGTGTTGGCTGAATGTGAGCTAATAATGTGTGTACAGTCTGTTTCCCTCTCCTCTGTGTGTGTGTGTGTGTGTGTGTGTGTGTGCGTGCCTGTGTGTGTGTGTGTGTGTGTGTGTGTGTGTGTGTGTGTGTGTGTGTGTGTGTGTGTGTGTGTGTAAGTCGCTGGGCTCAGATGGATGAACACGTGCTGCAGGGAGCTGCACAGTCGGTATCCGTGCAGCTGGCATCTTATGGGGACATTGAGGGAAACCTATTATGCGTCTGCCAGTCACATGGAAGCTGAACGCGCTGAAAAGGCTGCAGCATCTCATTAATGCTGCACGTTTCCTTTATGCTGCAGCCTTTGATGTGGACGAGGCTCAGAGAGCGCGACATGTCTCTACTGAAGGTGAAAACCTTCGCAGTCTGGGCTCTAGACGTTGCAGATGAACGACCTGATGATCTGAAGTTCACAGAGCACAGCAGCAGGAAATCTGATAATTAGTGACATTTAGTGAAGATCTATAAAGAAACTCAAACATCTTAAACTCATGAATCATTGAGGAGCTTCACAAGCCGGCAGGAACCGCATCAGAACCGCAGGGAGACGGTTAGTTTGTTGTGACCTTCCTGGTTTCTGAATAATGATGATGATGATGATAATGATGATAATGGAAGTTAAACTTTCCGTTAAAACTCAGGATGTTGTTTCATGATCATCTTTAAACATTTTCTACCTCCAGCTTGCCAAACAAAAACTGCAGCAGGACTAATTTCATTGAAGCATGGATTAATATTAAAACTTAGGAAATGAGAACAAAACACTTTAAAGTCTATTTTTTGTTCTGCTTTGGAGCAACAGATCAGAACGGAAATCATAAATCAAATCATTATATAGTGCAATATTCCCACCCCTAGTTTTCATCCTGACAATATTTCTAATGGCTGCAGGAAACACATTAACATGAAAATGAATTTGCTTGAACTAAAGTTTTCAGCAATTTCAGAACTTGTTCTTGTTTGGCTGCATTTTCAGCCTGATGATGAAAATCAACAATTAAAAGAGAAATAAAAACTGAAAAGTTTCGTTTTTCAAAAATTCCTGCATTAAGAAATTTCCTCTTCTCGACATTTACACAGATTTGCTCCAATGTTTTGATTTAATGATAAATGTGGCAGCAGAACCGGCAGCAGAACCGGGCCTGGTGCTGCTCAGTGGAAACAGAACCCGGGCGTCCTCCACCCTCAGCTCCATCTGCTCAACCTGAAGACGCAGCAAAACTCAGAAACACCAACATGTCACAGAAACAGCAGCTGCTGTGCTAAAACAAAGTCAGAGCTGCAGATCGATCACATCCAGGATGTTTTTCTCAGGCACAAACATTCAGACACATTTTGTACGTTAAACTGATGCAAGTTAACGATTTGAGTTCATCTAAAGTGGATTTTTCTCTTGTATCAAGAATCTTTTTATAACAGAACACTCTGTTTTTAATCTGCTAGATTTAAAATGAAAATACCCCATGTTTCTTGTTTGTTTGCTCATTTTAATTTGTGTAAAAAGTAAAACAATAAAACTTATTTCTATGTAGTTCAACGTGACCCCACCAGGATTTTGCAATTCTTATATGATTTTTGCGATTGAAATCAAAGATTTTCTGGTGCTTTAAAAATATTCTTCATCAGTATTTGCAAGGATTATTATTATTTATTTTTTTATCATGTTGTTTTTCTGAATTCCTGATTTCTAGTCAGTTTTTCTGCGTGTATCAGAGAAACGCCATGTGAAGCGGGAGGCTGCAGCGCTCGTCTTTGCAGGGATTTAGTGATTTTATTGTGTAGTTTTGCTGAATGTGGCAGAAGTTCAGATGGTTTAATGCTCGTATTTCCCTGGTGGATGTTCCTGGAGACTTTTCCTCCTGCTGGGACGGAAACTGAGCTCCAAACCCAAATCGAGTTTGGTTTGATATGGGCTCTGCTTTGACTGAAACCTGTTTCATTCTGAGCATTAACCTCTGAATGAACCGTGAACACTTTGGATCCGGAGCTGCCTGTGGATGCGTGAGTCAGCAGGACCAGAGGAGTGTTTACATTTAGCAAAGCTGATGCATGCAGCTGCAGTTTGTGCCACTCAGCAACCAGGAAGCCTGAGACGTTAACCTCAGTCACCAGGAAGGTCCGATCTGCAGCTACTATTAGCTTCTGCTAACAGCTACCATTAGCTTCTGCTAACAGCTACTATTAGCTTCTGCTAACAGCTACTATTAGCTTCTGTTAACAGGAAGGATTTAACTAGGCTTGACAGGATAACAAATGTTCCTGGAAGAAAGATTGTCCCAGACGTTCCAGCAGTGAGCAACATCATTATTGTTTTAGTATCAATTTCCAGTAATATAAAGGTGATAATATTAGAATAGAATTCAACTTTATTGTCATTGCACTGTCACATGTACAAAGCAACGAAATGTAGTTTGCATCTGTCCAGAAGTACTATACAAGATATCAATATTTATAATAAATATATAAGCAGAATATTGATGTGCTATAAATAAAATGTTTTTGAGAACACAATCTAAAAGATCAATGAACTTTAAATTCTAACCAACATTTAACACTGGACCTGGAAGACGTTTTAAATATCCATAAATAAATTAAATGAATCATGAAGTTTATAAACAAAACTTCAAAACAATTATTTAGTTGAGACCAAAACAGCCGTGAATATATGAAGAATCGTTCATTATTTTCTGATGTTTCTGAGCCTAAACAGCAACAAGCAGCAACATGTTGCTGGTTGCTTGTTGCTGGTTGCTTCCAGTGTCATGTTGCTGGTTGCTTGTTGCTGGTTGCTTGTTGCTGGTTGCTTGTTGCTGGTTGCTCCCAGTGACATGTTGCTGGTTGCTCCCAGTGACATGTTGCTGGTTGCTTGTTGCTGGATGCTTGTTGCTGGTTGCTCCCAGTGACATGTTGCTGGTTGCTGGTTGCTCCCAGTGACAGGTTGCTGGTTGCTTGTTGCTGGTTGCTGGTTGCTTGTTGCTGGTTGCTTCCTGCGATGCGTTCAGGGTGAAGCAACACGATTGGGTTTCCGCGGCGTTGAGACGAGTCCTGATGTCGGTGTGAATTCCTGCACACGTCTGAACCGGCGGTGCCGTCGTGTCTCAACACGCGGCGCCGGCCAGGAAGTGATGGCGGCTCGTTTCCGCCCGCAGGACGCCTCAGTCCGAGCAGCTGGCATGAGAACATCAGTTCATCCTCAGTCAGCAGCAGTTCAGTGAATGTTTGGCATGTTTCTGATCCCGTTAGCAGCGGCTAACTGAACCCGACTTGGAGACGCAGGAGGAGTTTCTTCATTAAAACCTTCAGATTTCCTTTATTGTGAGATTTCTGGTTCTTGCAAACTGGATGTATTTATCATTTTGAGGAGATGAGTTGCTTCATGCATTCAGTGTGCAGAACGAAGCATCATATCATTAAAATCATATATTTGATCTCATTTTGTTTCTTGGCTTAATTCCCTAAACAAATGTTTTTCACTCTGCTGCTGCATTTGGTCCTGAAATGGTTTTAGTTTTCAGTTCATGTCGACCAATATGGAAAACTTTCCTGAGTAAACATGGAAGAAAGCAAATTCTTAGAAAAATGTGAAAGACAAACGTCAACATTTCTGATAACTCCCCAAACCAGATGGCCTAGTTCAAACATTGTGCAGCTTTGCAGGAATGATTTTCTGTCACATCATGTTTGCAGGAAATAACTGAACGATTCGTCTTCATCGGTCACATTGTGCCGTGTGTTCAGAGGAGCTGCAGCCATATTTCACCAATACGCATCATAACAGACGACTGATCAACTGATCAATGGACGATGCAGCTGGCAGAATATTCTGTACCATCAACAACTTCAGGCATTCTGGGAGATGTAGGCAGAGGGAGACGTTAGCAGCCTCTCACAGCTAGCTGAGCTAGCTGCTAGCAGGAGCTAGCTGCTAGCAGGAGCTAGCTGCTAGCAGGAGCTAGCTGCTAGCAGGAGCTAGCTGCTAGCAGGAGCTAGCTGCTAGCAGGAGCTAGCTGCTAGCTCACTCCTTCTTTGGTTGCCTAGCAACAACTTGCTGCCTCATAACGGCTAAAAGATCAAAAACATGGAAGGAAAGTGGAAATAAAACGGATAAAAATCTCATCAATAATTATCAATGTTAATATGAAACTCTTAGAGCAGGAGACATTGATCAGCCTGTTATCCATTCGGAAGAACGTTGGGAGTCTGACGGATCAGAACCTCGTTCCGGAGGGGAACCCAAACAGCCGCCATGACGCCTCCAGGCTCTGGTGGCGACTTTGGATCGATTTTCCTGTTAAAGTAGTCAAACTAAATTTACCCAGAATGCCCTGCAGTCCAGTCCACTTCCTGCTTATGGAGCGGTTTCCGGTCCACTTGATGTTCAGACCTCTGATCAGAAGAACCAGGAACCAGAGACCACGAGACCGACCCCTCTTTGACTTACATTAAAGACGCACCGTAACCTCTGACCTCTGACCCCTCCCATCAGAACAGCTGGGGTAACCGGGCCGACCAGAACCACAGACTGTTTGATTCTGAGAAGTGTGTGTGTGTGTGTGTGTGTCTCTCTCTCTGTGTGTGTGTCTGTGTGTCTGTGTGTGTGTGTGGGGGTGTTTGTGTGTGTCTCTGTGTGTGTGTGTGTGTCTGTGTGTGTGTGTGTGTCTCTCTCTGTGTGTGTGTGAGTGTGTCTCTGTGTGTCTGTGTGTGTGTGTGTCTGTGTGTGTGTGTGGGGGTGTTTGTGTGTGTCTCTGTGTGTGTGTGTGTGTCTGTGTGTGTGTGTGTGTGTCTCTCTCTGTGGGTGTGTGTGTGTCTCTGTGTGTGTGTGTGTGTGTGTGTGTGTCTCTGTGTGTCTGTGTGTGTGTGTGTGTCTGTGTGTCTGTGTGTGTGTGTGTGTGTGTGTGTCTCTGTGTGTCTGTGTGTGTGTGTGTGTGTCTGTGTGTCTGTGTGTGTGTGTGTCTGTGTGTCTGTGTGTGTGTGTGGGGGTGTTTGTGTGTGTCTCTGTGTGTGTGTCTGTGTGTGTGTGTGTGTGTGTGTGTGTGTGTGTGAGTGTGTCTCTGTGTGTCTGTGTGTGTGTGTGTGTGTGTGTGTGTGTTTTCAGGCTCCTTCTCTCTCCAATCAGTGATTTTCTCGTCTCTCTTCCTGTTTCTCTGATTTCCATCATTTCTAAAACTGTTTTCTGATTTTTAAAAATGTTTTTTGCAGCCGGTTCTGCTGAATCTTTCTGCCCGTTTATATTTTATAGTTTATGGATCTTATGCGACGTGTCCTGATTCATTATTTAACTCAGATTATTGATTTGATCCTGAAAACCCAGATTAGATCAGCTCAATAATCTGATCCATTCAGATTAACAAGCTGACCGCTGGCAGGCTGAGGTTTTCAGTTTGCTGCAGTTGATCGTTTCTGACATTCGACACGTTTTCTGCCGACTCATCAGGTTTTTCTGTTCTTAAACTTCTGCTTGGTTCCATTTCTGCAGCTCAACGCTTTGCATGGTCTGTCATTAATTAATCACATTTGAATCAAAATTTACGTCAACAAAATCAGCAACATTTTCAGCCTTAGTTTTAGGAGAACAGAGAGAACTCCTAAAATCCATGTCATTCATTAAAATGTACTTGTTAAAGTCCTGGGTTTAGTTTTGTGTGTCTGGGGTTTTATTTTATAGTCTGAAATACTTTGCAGTTCTGCTGTTAAAATGCTTCTTTTACTTTCTGCATCTAAAGTTGAAATAATCCCGTGTGAATCCCAGGTTAACAGAAACCTGTCCGTCCTTCCTGGTTATGCAACTCGCTGCAAACTGTTGAGCTGAAGCTCTAAATAAAAGCAGCTGGAGGCCAAAGTTTTTATCTGCCTGCCGAAGGATTCAGTCACATGAAGAGAGAACGACTCACTGCTTCTGCTCCAAATATAGAGCAGAAAACATTCATGCACTTCAGCCTGTCACCATGCAGAGCCACAACCGGACCAAGTGACCAGGTCCGGACCCGGTTCCGGACGCAGCCAGGTCCGGATCCGGACCGCAGGCAGGTCCGATTCTGAAGAATGGAGGCAGAGTGTTGATGTGTGTGAGCTCAGCTAACCTGCTTCATTTCAGCCAACATGGCGGCTCCAGGGAGATCGGACCAGCAGAACCCAGTGCCAGAACCAGCAGAACCAGTGATGATCCTGGAGCCCAGCTGGTTGAAGGAAATGATGTCAGCAGGCAGTTCTGCTGACATCATTTCCTGGGATAAAAACCAAAACGGATTAAAATATACTGAGGAGCATCCAACCGTTTATCCATCCAACTGTTTATCCATCCAACCGTTTATCCATCCAACCGTTTATCCATCCATTGATCCGGGATGGAAGTTATTGATTAATAATTTAAGTTTGTGTTGAATTATATCCTGATTAATGATTAATTGATAAACTGCCATTTCCGTAAAACTGATCTTTCCATTTATCTTAACATTTAGTATAAATAGTTTTATTATTAAACCCGAACATCAAACATAACAACATCTGATCCTCTGATGTTTCCGAATAGAATCAAATGTGAAAAGCTTCATTTTGCTGTGAACACAGAAACATGTTGCTATTAAATGAATGTTAAAACTTTTTACCCATGAAATGCATGAACTGTCCTCAAAATCATTTTTGATCATGTTTTTGCACCGTATTGCTTTTTCCTGACTTTTTCTCTGCATCAGTAACATTTGGATCATTAGTGTCTCCGTCAGAAACGAAGCACCAAAAGGTGAAAGTCCAGGAATTTATCCAGTGTTTATGTTTCAAAACAGAACCACCTCCCAAACTGGACTGTTTGGTCCGTTTCTCCTTCCGTACGTCCGTCTGCTGCAACACTGAAGGAAAACGAATCGATAGGAACCAAATTTAACCTCATTAATACGCAACCTGCCGTCCGTCCGCCTGTCATGCATCCATCCACGTCCTGCAATACTTTGTGTTTCCTGTCTGTTTCAGGATGAGACCGGAGCCTACGTCATCGACAGAGACCCCACCTACTTTGGTCCCATCCTCAACTACCTACGTCACGGGAAGCTGGTTTACAACAAGGAGCTGGCGGAGGAAGGTCGGCCATGTTCCCCTGAATCTGATGCACTCAGTCACCGCAATGCAGTGTGCCATGCTAACGTTAACATCGCACACTAACACCATACCACTAGCTATAGCACGAAATATATAGTTACATTGTTCAACATGTTACAATTTAAAGAATATATGTATTAATCTGTTTCTAATCAGATCATAAAGATCTACAGGAATCTAAAGTAAAAGAGGTGGAAATGTTCATGACCTCTTAAAAAAATATCCGTTTTATTTTCAGGTTTTAAAATGGAAGAAACCGTTTCAAAAAATGTTTGCAAAAAGTGGATGGACACATTTTCTTTTGTGAAATGTTTATTTATAGATATTATGTAAAAAAAAAAAAAGAAGTTTCCAACCCAAAGTCAAGAAAATAGATTTATGTGATTATTGGTATTATAGTGATTCCATAGGAAAATTCAATGCAACTATTACAAGAAAAAGCCTGAAACAGAACTGAACATTAGTTATGTTTACATCATCATAATCATTGGAAACCAAAGTTTTTATGAGCCTCAGGTTGCAGAACGTTGACGCAGGATTTACTCCCGTTGCTCGTTGCTCCCGTTGCTCATGTTGCTGTTTTCTGGTTGCAAGGCGTTTTGGAGGAGGCTGAGTTTTACAACATCACGCCGCTGATCAAACTGATCAAGGATCGGATCGTAGAGAGAGACTCTAAAGCTACGCAGGTAAATTTATATCTTCATGTTTCTGAAAACATTCACCAATATTAAGGAATTCCTAACTAAAAACAAGCTCATATATTATGCTGGAAGATTATCTGTAAGTTACTTTTGACTTATTTCAAATGTATTAATATATTTGAAATAATTGGTGAGATTTTGTTTTTGCATATAAAGTCAGTTTGAAGCAATAAAATGAAGATGGTGCAAAAATGTGGTTATTTAATTGAATACTTGGTATTTTAATAAGATTTGAATTTGTCTGTAATCTTTCTGACCCAGTTTAAAATAAAAAGCTTTAATCTGCGCCAAAAATGGCCCCCGGACCACATTTTGGACACCCTGGTGCTGAGTTTAGTAATGAGCACATAAATAAAAAATGCTGCTAAATACTGAGCCGTTGTTTTTCACTGGATGTTCGTTCTGTCTTTTCTTACGTAAAGCCTCAGACAAACGGCCACTTCCTGTGACGCATCAAACATCACCAAAAATATCAGCATGTCAGCATTTTAGCTTCTGGTCACTTAGTTACCTTCTCATGGCTTCTCATGTCACTGGGCTTCACAATAAAAGCCTTTTTTAAAGGAGAATAAAAAATGACAGAAAACATTTTCACTCTTTCCTTCTGTGAGTTGCAGCACCAGGTTTTAATTATGAGAAAAGTCATAATATTAGCAGCAGAAAGGTGCAATTTTACTAGAACATCTTAAAATGTTAAAAAAATGTTTTTATTTGGAAAGTTTGTATAATTTTTGTTATTTTTTCGTCCTGATAAATAACTCCTTCATTCCCCTGATTTTATGATTCTGTTCTGGTAAAATTAAAACGTTATTCTTATATTATACCAACCTTATATTTGTTCTCATGTAACTTTTATTTAGTAAATAACTGCAGCATTCAGCTTCTATGCAACACAATCTGGAACAAATTTCCCAAAACCTTCAAACAGCCGAAACCCTGACTTCCTCTGAACGAACGCGGCTGCCAGAGCTGCTTTTAAATCCTAACAAATCAAACATTGACCAGCAGATGACCAGATGATGATTTTGATGATGAAACTCATCTAGTTATGTTTGTCTCTATTATGGACTTTATTTTTGTTTCTATGACTTAAAGCTCAGTTTATTCATTGATAACTTGCATTCTTCTGATCAAAAATGATTATATTGTGTTGCAGAATTGGCCTGAATTCAAAGTCCAAATAAACAGAAGCTGTAAAACAAGATGGCCGCCTTGAGCCACGGCGAAAAAAACCAGACATGTTTAGGTATCAGGTGTGTTTGGGTTGTTCTGTGTCTCACCTGTCCCCCCCCCCTGCACCACTCCAGCAGGTACCACCCAAACACGTGTACCGGGTTCTGCAGTGCCAGGAGGAGGAGCTGACCCAGATGGTCTCCACCATGTCGGACGGCTGGAAGTTTGAGCAGGTCAGCGTGCGCGCCTGCAGAAAGCCCCGCACCGGACTGCTCTGGACTGTGGGTTGGACTCACGCTGCTGCTGACCCTTCAGTTTGACCCCTGACCTCTGCCCTGCTCTCTGCACTCCTCAAACTAAGGCTGGAAAACAAACAGATGAGTCAGAAACTGTGAGGTTTAACTGCAGGTCGTTTCTGTTCTGCGCTTTGAACAGTAGGTGGCGCTGGTTGGGTAGGAACTGGTTACATTAGCTTGAATAACTGCTTTGAAAAAATGTAGAAGTCATTTTACTTTGCTGTATTTTTACTTTTACTTGAATAATTTTATTAAGTTTTTCTTGAGTAAAATTTCTGGCTTTTCTGAATGAAAAACAAAAACGTGTTTCAACCAAAATCCACCAAAAACTGAAGTTTCTGCAAAAGTTTCATAAGTTTTTCAATGAAAGAAACTGACTGAGAAATTTTCTTTCCAAAATTTCCACTTTATATTTTGGTCTGTCTGTTTAAATATATTTAATATTTAATTATTAAATAATGGATCATTTGATCAGCTACTCAGTACTTGAGTAAATTTTTCACCAAATACATTTTTTACTTGAGTATTTTTTACCTCTGGTTACATTTACAAAGTTATTCATTCTAAAGATCTGGTATAAATGATGCAGGATATTGAATAGATACACAAACTGCTTGCCATAGCTTCACATTTCTATGACGACTGGGGTTTCCTCTCTGGCTCAGTGTTTCCTGATGACTGGATCCAGTCAGGTTGTCGTTTCGCTTCTCGTCGTTATTAGCAGCCAATCCTGCATTGGTTTGGTGTGGATTGCTTTGCTTTGTTCTGTAAGGAGCAGCAGATACTGACTGGTACAAGTTTCAGTAGCTTTAGACACTAGGAGTGGAAATTTAGCGTGAAATTGTTCCAAATTTTTGACTTATGGTCACAACAACAAAAAATTACACTTATGTCTGAAACTCCAAAACTTGATAGTTTTGTTCCCAGATGTGTTATTTTCCTCTGTCAGATTTATGAAAGTCAATAAATGTTTGAAAATGTGACTAAATGCAGTTACAGTTCAGTGATGAGAATCAAACGTTTCATCCTAAAGAAAATGTGATTTATGTTCCACTTGTATAAATGGGTCAGTTCGGTTTCAAAGCGTCTGCAGTTTGAACGTAAGTCGGCAGCAGCTTTTCTTACCGCCGTGAACCAGAGCGGAAACGATGAATCATAACTAATCAATTATTGAAATAACTAGTTTAGTGACTGATTAATGGTCATTAACTGCAGTCTGCAGACAGTTTTCAGGTGAATAAACCAGCTGCAGGTTCTTTTCTGTCCTGCCGCTTTGCTTCGCCTCCCTGCCCCACAGCATGATGCTGCTGCTACCAGAACCTCCACAGACCCCCTTTTCTCCCTAAACCTCCACCCTGCATGAGCTCCAACACTTTTCTGCTTTTAAAGTTTTAGTCCTGTCAGCCCAGTTCCTGACTCCAACCCGCCTGACCACCATGCTGTGTCGTCTGTCTCTCTGTCCGTCTGTCTCTCTGTCCGTCCGTCTCTCCGTCTGTCCGCCCCTCGCTCCTCCTGCAGATGGTGAACATCGGGTCGTCCTACAGCTACGGGACGGAGGACCAGGCCGAGTTCCTCTGCGTTGTGTCCAAGGAGCTGCACACGGCCGGATCGGGCCTGGGAACCGAGCAGAGCCACAAAACCAAGGTGACCGACCAGAACCCGGCGCCTGGAGTCGCTTCACGGCTGCTTGAGTTCCACCCAGAGATGCAAATGATCGATTAATGCGATTGATTAATCATTAATTAGTAAACGCCCATTTCATTGTAGCCCTGAACATTTTTATAATAAATCAGGAAGCATGTCTTAATATTTTAAGATGCCGGTTTAAATAAAGAAATATATTCAGAATATTAACGTTATTTCTCTTAATATTAGGACTTTATTCTCTTTCCTATGTTTCTTAGTTTGGCCCAAATACCAGGTCGAACTAAATAAACATTAGTTTGTTTTCTAATATTATTACTGTAATAATCGTCACAGAACCGCATAAAGTGCATTTCCCATCACTCACTGGACTTTGTTTAGGCCGTTTCTACTTTTTGCGTTGGGTCCCTCCGCCATTTTGTATGAACTGGCTCCTGTTCAGGATGACCAGCGGCGCCCTCTGCTGGATGGCGGCCAAACTTCAGCACCAACAAGATTTAATGAGTTGGAGCCAATTTTAGTCTAATAAACCGTAACTCGGTGATAAATATTAGGTGGATTGATTGTCTGCATCTGTGGTTGTAAAGATGGATGGATGAGAGAGGAGCAGTTGTTCTCCTCCAGCTTGGAGTGCGCTTTGATCCTGCGTCAAATGCTGCAAATGTCACTCGCCTCAAAATGTCACTCAGACTCATCCTCACTGCTCTGCTTCTCCTCCCATCCATCATCAGCTCCGTTTCCCTCCAACTTCAATAAATTGATGCGCATCTTTCTGTATTTATCTCCCAGCATTCCACTCGACTCTGACGCTCATCAACATTTACATTTTATTATTTTTTGTCTTGCTTTTTTTCCCCTCCTTTTTTTCCTCTTCCTTCCCTCGTGCCTGAATCAAGCCGCTGGAGACGCAGGAGGAGGAAGCAGCCAAGGAGGAAGAGGAGGAAGAGGAGGGAGGGAGAGAAACCACGGCGAATGAGTGGCTGAGAGAATGAGCGAGTCATGTTTGTTCCGAAGGGAAGCGGGAATGGGTGAGAAACCGAGCAGGACGTGTTGGATCGGCTCCATTAATGTGTTTGTGCGTCTGCAGAGACGCAGGAGCCTCTTGACACCAGATCAGATCCTGGAACAATCAGCTAATGGCTCGGTGTTTCCATTCGTTATTAACTGGAACTCTTTTCCCTCACCACTAGCAGAGTACTGCTGCACATCGGACCTCGTTTCAATGTTTCCAGCCAAATACACAAAGCAAGTCATAAACAAATTAATGGGTCAGAAATTAGAGAGGATTCCGATCGATTTACAAAATGATTGTTCATGAGTCGTCTGTTTCCTCCTGACGGTCCGGTCGACCCGGTTCTACTGGAACCAGAACATCTGGAACAGAACCTCCAGCTGCTGTGGTTCTGACCCAAACCAGCCTGTTCCCCTCCTGGCCTGTGGGGGCGCTGCACCAACACCACAGGGACACTAAAACCTCTGAAGACACTGAGAGCAACTTCCTGTTTCACCAGATGAAACAAGATGGAGGACGGCCCAAATCCGACCTTTCAACCCTGAAATAACCCGATCTGATCAGATCAATCGGTTTCTGATGTCACGTCGCATTTTATCCAACTTTTCCGTCATTGACGCAGTTTTACGGTCGATCAATAAAAATATATATTGCTATAGACACGTGATTAATATCAGTAGATGACTGATAGAATATTCAATACATAGACTATCCTGTGATATTTAAAACAAAACTAATTATTGATAGACAATGATTGATTAGTGTTTTGATTAAATATCTAAAATTCTGCCAGCCCTTCTGGCTGTTTGCTGCCTCAGATCAAACTGATTGATCGGTTGATTGATTGGTTCTTTCTGGTGACAAGAAGCCTTCCTGAAGTTTCTCTGCAGCAACGCGTATGAACTCTTCACATCATCATCATCATCATCAGCTCAGCCATCGCAGCTCAGACCGGACCGAGCCGTTCTGTCCCGTCACTTTACTGTAACAACCTGCTGTTCGTCTTGTTTTGCAGCTTTTCCAGATCCACGGGTCCCGCATGTAGGAGCCCCACCCCAAACCGCTTCCTAAGCCCCGCCCCCTCCGACTGTCATCAGCGGACCGCCGTCAGAACCGGATCTCATGTCATCGAGACGCAGAACAATCCTGCTCAATCCGGTCGTTTCACTCCAACAACAGAGCTTAGTAAGTCACAACCAAAGATCCGCAACCGGCCGGAGGTCAGAGGTCAGCTCTGACCCGCGGTTCTGACCCGCTGTGCAGCTGCTGACAGGCGGCGTCTGGACCCTGACACGTCCCACTGTGGCGTCTGTCAGTTCTCCATCCTCGTTGCCCCCGGTGATGAGGCAGCACTTCCTGTTTTTATTCAGACGGCAGAAAGAAAAGCAAACAAACCCGTTCAGGACGATCAATTCGTTTCAGCCGGATCAAAAAACAATCTGAAGGCGAGACGAGTCTCCATTGGCAACAAAACTACATTTAAAAAGACACTCAGCGTTAGGACAAGGTTGTTTTTCATAAGTGTAATGGAAACACTTTTCAACAACCAGATGTTACTACTGCCAGAAATGACAAAGAAGACGACAGGAAGTGGTTGGAGGATGATGGCGCTGCAGATTTTAATTGTATTATTTAATGGAAACATAGTAATTGATTTTTTGACACTAGTGGAATACCAACTGTGTTTCCATTAATCATGAACTGACACAAATTGAAATTCTGAAAATAAATGTGCTTTATGGACCCTTGAATATTTTGAAGAAAAAATTGCGTTTTTTAATTAAAAGTTTTTGCTCAATGATGAGGTTTTTAAACAATCAAAATTTATGTATTTCATTAAACTGTACTGGAAATGCTTTGTTCGCATGATCAACAGGATGTTACTACTGCTGGAAACCACAAAGACAACAGGAAGTACTTCTAGGATGGTGCAGCAGGATTTTAACAAATTATGACATGAACAAAACTATTCATGTGTGATTTAAATTAAATTTCTTATTTAATAGAATCAGCAATTACAAAATTGTTTTTTCTTTTGCATTAGTAGAACATCAACAAAATTTTGGGCACATTTGTAATAGAAACGAGTAAAGTATTTAGAACGATGCCACACCATCATCCTGTTTTCTTTGTCGTTTCCAGCAGTAGTAACACCAGGTTGGTGATCATGTGACTCGTGTGATGTGAAAATGTGTTTCCTTACAGTTTTGCAAAATGGACCAATTTAAATGCAGCCAAAAACTTACAGAAAACTTAATTTTTTTTAATTGGAGTGTTTCCATTAAGCAAATTTATTTTCAAATATTAAATTGCACGATTATATGGTGAATGGAAAAGGCAGAATAAGTAGGCAGAGTCTCCTCTGATTGGCTGATAGATTATTATGAATATACAGCAATTGCAAAATTGTGTTTTTCAACATTAACGGATCAAAACACACATTTTTGTGTGATGGAAAAGTGTTTCCATTACACTTATGAAAAACAACCTTGTCCTAACGCTAAAAGTGTAAAAATGTATTTTTGTTGCCAATGGAAACACACAAAACACAGGCTTCCGTTCTGCCTCCATGTTTAGCTTCTTATTGATAGATAAGAAAATATTTGGACAGTTTTTATTACTTGAAGCTGCATTAAAGTCCAAATCATAACGACATGAGGCCACACAAGCAGCGATCAGATGGTTTTCCTGTGTGCAGGTGTGTCTGGACAGGTGGAAACGCAGCACATTGGAGCCTTTGTTGGTTCAAAAGAAACAAAGAAAAAAGATTAATCTCAGAAATTCCTGGTTTTTGTCTCAAAAAATTCTGAGGTTTGACATTTTTAGCATTTTTAAGGAAATTACCTCGTTCTTGAAAATTTCTGATATTCTTTTTGCAAAATTAACTTGTCTTTTTTCTGTTTACAGTGGTCATAATATGTTGTATGTTTATGGCTAAACTACAACAAAAAGCTCACTTTGTAAATACAACCAATGATTAAAAAGACGCTTTTAAAATCGTTTTTAATCCACAGGAAGTTATGTCCTGTTGGAATCAAGATGGCGGACGCTGCGAAACGTCCAGAGACAGATTACATTAAAATGTCCCGTTAGCGACAATCCAGATTTAAAACCGTCTTTCTTTGTGTTGGTAGATCAATTCAGAGCTGCAGTAAACCAATAAATGTTAAAATAGTTCAACTTTAAGGAGTAGATAAAAATCGTCTGTTGCTCATTTTTTATGGTATTGGTCCGATGAGTGAAACTGGGCCGATATTTATCGGGTCATGTGACGCTGATGCAGCAGAGGATTATCTCTTGGCAAATATCAGCAATATTTATATCAGATATCGGCCCACGGTTTCCAGTCGGTGGTCGATTGTCAACAGAGCGGCGGCCATCTTTGTTTCTCCCGGCCTTTTTAACTCGGATCATCCAGTGCCTTGAGTTAAAGCAGGAAGCCGGACCCGACATGTCTGACAGGCAGGGTTTGTTGCTTCTCTACATTATTTTGATGAAATGTGGACAGGACACTTTTGTTTGGTTTATTTTGAATGTTTGGTTTTTATTTTCTGTGTGGTTGAGGTTTTTATAAGTTGTGATTATTTTCTATTTGAAACAACGACCATCAGGTTTTCTGAATGTTCTTCCTTCCGGTTGAAGCCGGTGCGTCTCAATAAACCAATAATCTACTGAAGCCGTTACATTCAGAAAGTCAAACTAACATGGATTTGTTGCAGTCACATGGTTCAAGTGTTAATTCATTTAAATTGGAATATTACCGTAATTTCCAGACTACAATATTTTTTTTCACATGCCGAAGCGGTTAATATGTTTTAAAAACTTAATTTCTGATATTTTATGACAAACATTATAATTTAAATGTTTAAATCAAATTGTTTAAATGTTTTCAGTCACTAAATAAACAAAAGTAATTTAAGTTTTTGTTTCGGATGTATGTGCAGATTTACTACAGGAAGTTTACATACAAAAGGACTATTTTTAAATCTTGTAATCCACAATTTTATTAGTAATAAAGAGCAAAAAGTGAAAAAATATAAAAAATCTTAAAAACTCAAAGAAAAACCTCAAGTTAAGCACAATGCTAATATTCAAAACTGGACTATTTATGAGATTTTTTATTTTTATTTTCTTTTCAAACTTAGGTGTGTTCAATAGTCCGGAAATTACGGAGCAACAAACCAGCTAAAAATATGACAGGAATGTTCTGTTCGTCCAGCAGGCTGTTCAAAATCATGGAAAGTTGAGTGGAAGAAAAATGTTTTGGCAGAAATCTAAACCACTTTCATTAAAAAAAAAAATATTCTGAGTTGAACCAGAATTGATAAGTTTTTTTGTAACAAATCCAAATAAGTTTGTATTTTTGTTTGAAGTTGTGAAATGTTTGCTGCTGTGGATGCCCTTCATGGTCGGCATCATTCCTGTTGCTGTATTTCACCGTTTTCATGCAACTTCTGATGCAAAAAGCGCCACCTAGTGTTGCACTTTGAATATTCTGGTGAAAATCCAGAAACATGAGGCTGAAACGGCTGAACGTTTGGACTTTGTTTCATCAGAGCAGTGAAATATTTGTAAAACAATATGACACATGAAATGTACCGATGAATCTGTACAGGCGGTTTTAACTTCACCTGAACAACTCTTCATCATCCAACAGGAAGTTACTTCTATTTTTATTATTATTTACTGTTGACGGTCACTGTTGTATACAAAAATAAAACATTTCTTTGGATTCAGATGCTTTTGTTTTGAAATGATTTCCTCGTATAGAAGGCTATTATGATCTGATCATGTACAGGAGAGATTAATGTGCAAAGCGGCTGGAATTTGGCCTCAACAGGAGGAAAATATTCAACATTTTATCATAAAACAACGTCTGAGGAGAAATATCAACCTTTAAGGGTTAAAAGATTTTACAAAGTTCGTCCGCCATCTTTGTTCCTCCGTCTACGCAGAGGAGACGCGCTTCGTCTACAGGAAGGTGCTGAGCGTGTTTTCCACGGTGGCCAGCTGCAGATACTCAAGATGGCCGCCTTCAGACTCCACTTCTGACTCTTCGTCCTCCTCCTCTTCCTCACCGGTACGCACCTTCCTCCTCCGTACCGACCCTCGTCTTCGGCGCTCCAGACACGTCAGGATCATGTTGGCGAGATCCTGCTGCAGACGCTGGACGTTCTCTCTGCCAAGGCAGCCAAGAGTTTGACCTTTGACCCGCAACACCAACTCTTCTAAATCGTTTTTTATTTCTGTCTGATCTGACGTGTGATCAAAAATTATTGATATTTTCAGAGGTGATTTAAAGCCAAAATGATTGTGAATTGGCTTTTCAATCTTTCTTTAGCATTGTTCAATAGCAATTAGCATCCTCTAATTAGTTTGATCGGCAATACCGATTTTTCTGTGCAAAAGAGGAAGAGGCTAACAGCTAGCATGCGAGTAGGTTAGCTCACGTTGTTGGCGGAGTCGGAAGGTCGTAATCCTCCCCGGTTTCTCCCGTCAGCCAGAAAGTCGTTTCCATTCCTTTACCCTGAAAAAACCCAACAGAACAGAAACACTTTAGAAAAACACCAGGAACAGAAAAACCTCCCAGTTTATCTGCATGTTTTGCCGGCGGCCATCTTGACCTTCAGGTATGTTTCTCCTCGGATCTCGTACTGGAACTTGCAGTCAGTGCGCTGCAGGATGTGGATGGTGGGTTCGCTGACATGAATCCGCAGCGCTGCGGGGCGACAGCACACGTATCGGGTGAATGAAGCTAACCGACAGGAAGTGTCAGTCTGAACTTCCTGTGAGTTCACTGCTCACGTTGTCCAGAAGACTCCATCCGCGACGCCGTGTTGACCGTGTCGCCAAACAGACAATACCTGGGCATTTTTATCCCCACGACGCCTGCAGCACACGGACCTGCACACACACACACACACACACACACATAAACACACACGCACAGAGACACACACACAGACACACACACGCACAGAGACACACACATAGACACACACACGCACAGAGACACACACATACACACACGCACAGAGACACACACATAGACACACACACACACACAGAGACACACATAAACACACACACGCACAGACACACACACACATAAACACACAGACACACACACATAGACACACACACACATAAACACACACACACACACATAAACACACACGCACATAAACACACACAGACACACACACGCACAGAGACACACATAAACACACACACACATAAACACGCACAGACACACACACACATAAACACACACATAAACACACACAGACACACAGATCTGGTTTCAACGACAGCAGGATGACAACGTTGTTTAAATAAAACATTAACTTAAAAATACTTAAATTGAAAAAAATGTCAAACCTATTTTTACATCCGAGTTTTTTTTACTTGAAAAATTTTGCTTCCATTTAAAAAAATTTTTTTTTCAAATTTCAAATTGTTTTTAGTTTCAATTTTTGAACATTTCTTTGGCCTATTCATTCTTTTTCAATTTAAAATCTGTTTTTCAGTTTATATTATTTTCCATCTTAAAAATAATTTTTTGCTTCAGGTGTTTTTTCTACTTTAAAAATTATTCTAAAAATGTAATTTAGTTTCAGAATAATTGTCCAGTTTGAAATAGTTTTTCAACAAACTTTATGACACCAGTGTAGCTCCGTAGAGTCTCCACCTCCAGCCTTCGATGCGTTCCTACTCCAAAATGGCTGAATGAAACAGTTGATCGGGTGGATCAACTGTTTCCCTCAGGTTTGTTTCAGGTGAGTTTGGTGTAAAAGTTGGCGGCCATTTGGAGCGCGGCGGCGGCGGCTACCTGAGTGGACGCCGATGCGTATCCACACCGGGATGCCGGGCAGATGGCGTAGCTGGAAGGTGCCCATGAAGGACAGGATGTCCAGCGCCATGCGGCAGATGTCCACCGCATGTCGGTTCCCGTTCCTGCGCGGCAGGCCGGAGGCGACCATGTAGGCGTCGCCGATCGTCTCCACCTAAACAGAAAATAAAGAGGAACTGAAACATTTATCAGATAAAGTTTCTACTTTGGTCCTTAACGGTTCTATCTAAATGTTTCTGTGCAAATTTAATGTAGATTTGATCAATTCTGCAGTCTGAACCTCAGTGCTGCCCCCTTTGGGTTAAACAGTGGTACTGCAGGGGAGTTCTTCTTTTGGTTGTTTAGCATTTTGATCCCCTGGTACCTTGTAGACGTCGTGGTGGTCCAGGATGCTGTCGAAGCCCTTGTAGATGTCGTTGAGCATGTCCACCACCTCCATGGGCGTGCTGTACTGGCACAGCGTGGTGAAGCCCACGATGTCGCTGAAGTAGATGGTGACCTCATCGTACAGCTCCGGCTCCACCACGCCGCTCTCCTTCAGGCTCTTCACCACCGGCCTGCAGGGGAGCAACAACAACAGTTAGCTACATGTTAGCAGCAGGTTAGCTACAGGTTAGCAGCTGTTAGCTACAGGTTAGCAGCAGGTTAGCTACAGGTTAGCAACAGTTAGCTACAGGTTAGCAACAGTTAGCTACAGGTTAGCAACGCCACTTCTGCTTCTAAAGCCTGAAGGGATGCAGTATGGCAAGTAGTTTTAACATTAAATCAGGTTCGTTTAACTATCTGCAATTTAACATTGACTCTTTTTTCATTATTCAATTGTAATTTTTTTTTGCTTCAAATATTTAAAATTTGTTTTTCAGCTGAAAAATGTTTAATTTTTTCAGTTTAAACATTATTTTTCAGTCTTTATTTTATTTTCTCAATTATTTTTTTTTACATACATCTTTTTAAATTCAGTTTGAAATCTGTTTTTCTGTTTCAAAATTTCTTCTTGGTTCTTTTTCCTTTCAGAATTATTTTTCAGTTGGAAAGAACAAGAGGTCAAACTTTACGGCCCCACTGTAGCTCCGTACAGGAGCAACCGACCCGGGAAGCAGCATGAAGTTGAGGAAGTCGGCCCGGTCCCGCTCGGCTTTGTACAGCGACGTCCTCTCCTCCACCAGGTGCTCCAGGTTCCTGGAGTAGTTCTGCAGCCGGCGGATCATGTTGTCCATGTAGCTCTCGTTGTCCTGGTTGTGGATTTTACTGACGGAGGAAACGAGTTTTAATGAGCAGGAAGAGCCGTCGGCCCAACAGGAAGTGCACTGGGAATCATGGTTACCTGATGTTCTTCCCCAGGCAGTTCTCCACTTTCTTAAAGTCGGGTCTTTTCTCCGGATCTTCATCCCAGCAGCTTTTTATCATCATGTAAACCTGAAGGATGGAGGAATAAAAATCAATCACAGAGAGAAAGAAAAATTTAAATAATTTGTCAAAAATTAACAGAAATAAAAATGGGGATTTATCTTTCAGTCATATTTTACCATGTTATTTATTAATTTACTAATGTCAGTTTAAAACTAACTTATTAGCAAGCTAAATGTTTATCTCCAAACGAAACTCTTAGCCATTTAGTTAATGTACATATTGGCAATAAGCGGAAATGGACTACCAAAATAAAAGCTGGATGTTCCTTTAATGTCGACAGAGTTGCTGGTGAACGTCTGTGTTGCCTTAAAATGCTGGAGGATAAAAAAAATAAATAAATGATGGAGCGATTCGAAAGCAGCTAATGAATTAGCGTATAAGCTAATATTAGCATATTAGCTAAATATTCAGCTTGTGAATTACATATTCAGTGTCGAGATATTTGGTCAGTCACTAAATATTTACTTTGATGTTAATTTGCTAACTAAATAATTACTTTAAATTGACTTAAATATTTAGTCAAGTGCTAAATATTTAATTGTTGGTATTTAGCTCGCTAACTTAATTTGTTGACATTTGTTGAATAACAGTAAAATATGACTTTAAAAGTTAACCCCCATTTTAAAGTTCTTCTCTTATTTGGGCTAAATGAGCAGATTTTAATTTCTGACTGTATCTTTACGAACGGCGCTGACCTCTCGTTCTTTCTCTGAAGCCATCTCTACGTCGAGGTCCGGTCTGAAGTAGGACGTCATCACCCTGGACAGCTTCTCTGTAAGAAATGCTTCGGTTCAGCTCAAACAGGGACAACATCAACTCAGATTCTGGAGGAAAGGCGAGGAAACGCTCACACCTGAGTGGTCGGAGCAGGACTTGGAGTAGAAGGTGCTGCGCCTCAAAACGATCTCCTGGGAGATGATGGCGAAGCTGTAAACGTCTCCTTTCTGCGACGTTCCCTGGCTCCTCAGGTGCTCCGGAGCCGTCCACAGGTCTGCCAAACGACAGCGGCACAAACTAAAATCATTGCTGCACAAAATTTGACACTAAATGTGGGAAGGCTGGGTGACCTTTTGACCTTTAATTAATATCTGCAAAGCAAAAGCAGCACAAACAAAAATTATTGCTGCAAAAACATATGACACGGATTTAGTTATGTTTGAAATTGGAGAGGCCTGTGGGGGCGCTGTGGTTCATTTGTGGCCTGTGGGGGCGCTGTGGTTCATTTGTGGCCTGTGGTTACATTTGTGGCCTGTGGGGGCGCTGTGGTTACATTTGTGGCCTGTGGTTACATTTGTGGCCTGTGGGGGCGCTGTGGTTACATTTGTGGCCTGTGGGGGCGCTGTGGTTACATTTGTGGCCTGTGGGGGCGCTGTGGTTCATTTGTGGCCTGTGGTTACATTTGTGGCCTGTGGGGGCGCTGTGGTTACATTTGTGGCCTTGGGGACGCTGTGGTTACATTTGTGGCCTGTGGGGGCGCTGTGGTTCATTTGTGGCCTGTGGTTACATTTGTGGCCTGTGGGGCGCTGTGGTTACATTTGTGGCCTTGGGGACGCTGTGGTTCATTTGTGGCCTGTGGTTACATTTGGCCTGTGGTTACATTTGTGGCCTGTGGGGGCGCTGTGGTTCATTTGTGGCCTGTGGGGGCGCTGTGGTTCATTTGTGGCCTGTGGTTACATTTGTGGCCTGTGGGGGCGCTGTGGTTACATTTGTGGCCTTGGGGACGCTGTGGTTACATTTGTGGCCTGTGGGGCGCTGTGGTTCATTTGTGGCCTGTGGTTACATTTGTGGCCTGTGGGGGCGCTGCGGTTACATTTGTGGCCTGTGGGGGCGCTGTGGTTCATTTGTGGCCTGTGGTTACATTTGTGGCCGTGGGGACGCTGTGGTTACATTTGTGGCCTGTGGGGGCGCTGTGGTTCATTTGTGGCCTGTGGTTACATTTGTGGCCGTGGGGACGCTGTGGTTACCTTTGCTGCTGCTGAGGAAGGCGTTGCAGCCGAAGTCGGTGATCTTCACCACCATGCGGTTGTCCACCACGCAGTTGGTGGACTTGAGGCGGCCGTGGACCTGGATGTTGCTGGAGTGGAGGTAAGACATGCCCTGCAGGGATGCAGCAAGCAAGACTCAGATGTTAATAAATACAGGCTGTATGGTGCTACAATGGAGCCATAAAGTTTCAGACTGGAGGATGTTTTTTGGGATGTCTTTATTTCATCTTTTTGTTGTTCAGTTGAAACAATTTTTTTTATTCTAATTGCTTTTTCAAAGATCTGTTTACTTTTTTTAAATCTAAATATTTTCCCGTTTCAAAACTTTTTCAGCTAAAAATCGTTTTTTCTGTTTTAAATGTTTTCAAACGTCCTTTTTTGAACAAACTTTATGATTGTAATTTAGCTCCATACAGCCAGATGGAACTGCAGCTTCGTTATAAATTAATTCAATAATCTACCCTCACATAATTTAAATTATGTAATTAAAAAATTATATTTAAATTAATATCAAAGAAGTTATTGATGATTTTTTGACAAATTTGAATTTTACATATTAGGTTTAACAGCTGTGTGGACTTTTACTTTGAAAAGTACTCTAAAACAGGTACTTTTAGGGTTTTTTCCACAGAAATCCAGGTAATATACGAGACGTTAGCAGTTGTATAATCCCATAGTACTAAAAAGTCTAAGTGGTGTGAATACTTCATAGCCCAGCTGCTGTTATTGATTAAACCTTTCGTTTACGAGTTTCATGCTCTGCGTCACGTCAATCCGTTGCCGTCCTGCCAGTTGAGCAATCTGTGAAGTTTCACCTTGGCGATGTCGTACATGACGGAGATCTTGAACTCCCAGTCCATGAACGTGTCCTCTGGGTACGACACTTTGTCATTCAGCACGTACTGTTGGAGAAACTCCAGTCATTTCTGCCACTCTTCCTGTTTTCCGTGGAAACGTGTGCGGGTTGCGGGTACGTACCCGGAGTGACCCTCGCTCTCCGTACTCAAAGACGCCGAACACGCCCTCGTCAAACTGCGCCGTGCCATAAAACTTTGTGAGGTTGTAATAGTCGATGTGCAGAAGCTGCCAGGAAAAAGGAAAGAACCACGGCGCTGATGAGCTTCGGCAAATATTAACAGAGGCCATAAAAATCTGACACCAGGGGTAAATAAAAGATGATGGACTAGGAGTTATGGAGCTACATTGGGGCCATAAAGTTAGTTACAAAACAAAACAAAAAATTTTACCGAAAAAATATTTTGAAACAAAAAGAATTAGACTTTAGATTCAACTTTCTTTTTTTACTTTTTACATTTTTTAAAATAATTTTTGTTTCAATTTAATTTTTCTATTTTTTTGCCGTTTCAAAAATCATTTTGTTTCAAATATTTTATTTCTGTTAAAATTGTTTCTGTTTCAAATAGTTTAACAATTTTTTTGTTAAACTACTAATTTTTTTCCCAGTTAAATTTTTTTTTTTTCAGATTAACATTTTCTTAGTTTAAACTGTTTTTTGCAGTTATACAAAAAATATTTGAAACCATTTAAAAATTTTGGTTTCATTTGTCTAGTTTCAGAATTACTTTTTCCAGTTTCAAGAAAAAACATTTTGGAACAAAATTTATGGGCTCGGTGTAGCTCCGTACGTGTCCAGCTTTTTCTTCCTCTCACCGCATTCAGATCTATTGTCTGCTCTTTGTTGAAGTTCCCATCACAGTTCTTCAGCTCCTTCAGAATCACAATCTGAGCAGAACCAGAACAGAACCGTTATTTATCAGCTTGTTTGTGTTCAGAGGAAAAGATTTGTACATTCAAATCAGCTGCAGGTTTTCCATCCAACTACCTTTCTGTCATAAAGCGCTCGGCGAATCTTGAATTTCTTCTTCCTTTCTTCTTCTATCTAAAGAAATGACAAGAACATTTTGAAACTGTAAAAACATTTAGGATTTATCCACAGCCCTCCAAGCTTACTGCCCCCTCTGGTGAATCAGTGGAACTGCAAAAATGTTTAGAAACATCCAACATTTAGTTGGAGAAAATTAATCAGGAACACGTTCAGCTAAAAAATATTTGCTTTCAAAATATACACTTTGTAGCAATTTGTACAGAATATATTAAAACAAACTGTTTTATTAGTTATGTTTTTCTTAGTTGATCAGCGAGAGCTCGCCTTTAAAGCAACGTACGAAAGTTGTTTCATAAACTAAATAAATGTGGCTGTGAAGTTGCTTTTCGATACATTTTTTACCAAAATACTAATAAAGGTTGTTGTTAAAACAAACAAGATAAAAATGTTTTTTATGCAGAACTCAAAGTAAAGAAGATTGAACATTTTTAACGTTGCAGCAGCTGGATGTGATTCTCTGATGTTGGTTCACCTGCAGGGAGATGATGTTGTGTTCGCTGTCCTCCAGCAGAGAGATGAGGCTGGAGTTGATGTGGGACCAGCGTTTCCTGAGCAGCCGGTCTTTCCTGTTCTGTCTGAAGCATCATCATCATCATCATCATCATCATCATGATGGAAAGGTGAAAACCTGCCATCCTGTTCTGGCTTTTAACTCACATTTTACCATCACAGTAAAAGGACAAGCAGCGTCAGGTGACCCTCTGTGTCTCAGCACAACGACTCACCTGTAGAAGATAAATGCGATGGTTGCCACGACGACCACAGTGACAGCCAGGACGCCCACAATGATGTCTTGGATGGGAGGACCATTCATGGAGTCTAAAGTTTATTCATCAAGGCAGTTAAAGTGATGAAGTCACAAATAAAGCATTACATTTTATATCATCAAAATCAAATATTAAACTAATCAAAACCCATCAAACATATTGATCAACGTCTGGTTATTACGAATCAAAGGTAGTTCTGGCCTTTAGGCTTTAAGTCAGAGACTCAGCGTTTCAGGTGTTTTCATTATCATTATTACATGCAGGTGATAAAAGGCCGGCTTTGTAACCGTCTTTATCCGCCTCTGAATGTTCAGCTGTAGATATTAATCAGGAAGGTTTGAACACAGTCAAAAAATGAAATCGATCAGTTCAGAGTTTCTACCTGCAGCAGAAAAAATGATCTGAATTAAAAACTAATTTGGCCTCATTTCCAAATTTCCTTTTGGTTTCTCGACGTCACTGCATCATTTTTATTGGTTCTACTTTCATTTCTATCTTTTCACTGTTTAACTTTTAAAAGGTTAAAAAAAACAGTTGAAAAGGTTCATGGTTCAGGAAAAATCAAATAAAATCCAGATAATATTTGACCGTTTCATAAAGCGTTATTAGCTGGAGAAGTCTCTCTGTAATCTTGCAACACTAAAATCTGTGAAGCTGCTTTTCCTGCTTCCTCAGACACAATAAATGTTTGCTAAATTTATCTTCTTATCAGGTTAGAGTCACATAAAAGCATCTCCGGTTGGCACTTCATGAGTTCCTCACACCAAACAGGTGCTGAGTGCGTTTGATCATGTGCAGGTGAGTGGTTAATGATTGCAGCTCCAGTGTGTGTGTGTGTGTGTGTGTGTGTGTGTGTGTGTGTGTGTGTGTGTGTGTGTGTGTGTGTGTGTGTGTGTGTGTGTGTGTGTGTGTGTGTGTTTTCAGGTATACCGTCCTCTGGCTTGTAGTCGGGAAGCTTCTTCCCCCAGATGAAGGCCGGAGATTCGTCCTCCGTCGTTGTTTTGGCGTTTTCAGTGTCAAAGGTGAATAAACATTTATACTGAGGAAGAGACAACAGAACAACATGAACTGTTTACATATCAGCAAAATGTCAAACTGGCTTCAACTGGGCATGCTAGTTATCAATTAATGCCTTGATCTAAAGTTGATTGATCTCATCAATCGAATATTTCATTAAGTGACCATTTTCTTTATTCTGTCACTTGTTCAATCCTGACTAAATAAACAGATAATTGTGGTTTCTCACATTATTAAACTCAGACATAATAAAATATACCATACCAATTTCATTTATAAAGCCCTTAAAACAACCACAGCTGATGCAAAGTGCTGTACATAAAACAAATAAAAATAAATAAAAACTCGTAGTTTAAAACAAACAATGTAAAACTCACTGGAGTTGAAAGCCAAGTAAAATAGATGGGTTTTAAGATGAAACAGGAACATATGAGGCTGCTGAGTCAAAATATAAAAGATGAAAAGAAAAAAAATATGAGAACCACTAAATCTCCCATGAACGGAGAGACGCTCATTCAAAAGCAGAGCTGCATTTACTCAATTACATTTACTTTAGTAAATGTGACACATTTAGGTGTTTTATTTTCCAGGATGGAGCGATATCAGAACAAACTATTTAAATTATTTTTGAAAAACAAACATTGGCAGATTGCACCTCCATCAGGATTTTAGTTTCATGAGGATCAAATTCTGGAAAAACCTAGAATTTTTTCTCTCGTCTCCAATCATAATCACTTTTCATCATCTAATTAATTGATTAATCTATAAATAATCCCCAGTTCAACCCTTCATTGTATTAAATCTAGCAGAAAGCTCTGAGCTCTTCACATGTTGATGTCTTTGTGATTTCTGCCAGACAAAATAAGAAAATGAGGAAAGTTTACCTGGAGGTCAGTTGTTGTGTACATGATGGAAAAATTCACATCTCTGTCTCCAAACTCGTCCAACTTATATTCTCCTGCAATTCCTGGGCGGGAAATGAAAACACGCAAACTTCAGCATGTTTTAAAGTATGGAACTACATCTGTGACACACCGAGAAATTATTCCTCATCTTTACCATTAAAAGCAACATTTCTGAAGTAATTCACATTCACAAAGTCCATTTCTTGAATCTCTGACTGATTTTTGGTGGCGATTTCTCTCATCACGTTTCCTATATGCAGCACCGAGTCGTGATACGCAGCCATGTAGTCGTTCATCTGCAGGGAGGAAAAGAAATGATGACATGAAGCTTTTCAGACTCACTATAAGCACCTAAGGTTTTATTTTAGTAATTCACTTACTGGCTAGTGAGTTTACAGCGCTTAACTAAATGCTTCTGAACAAAATATTTAGCTTGATAACTAAATATTAAACTAAATGTTGAATTAGCAAACTAAATATTTACCTTGTTAATCTAAATATTTAATGTTCTACTAGATATTTAGCGAGGATGATTAATATTTAGCTTCAATCTAATATATTTCAGAAACTGTAAAACGTCTCTATATTTATAAACCTGCTGCAGATCGTCGTGTTTTCATTCGCTCACCGTGTTGTTGTCCTTCAGGTCAGCGCTGATGTTGTAGCGCCTGGAGTTGGGCATGGTCAGCACCAGAACGTTCCTCATCTCCGGCCGCGACGGCCTCTTGTAGTAAATATCGCTGAGTTAAGTAGGAAAAATACAGTTACGTTCTGCAGATCGTAGATATTTAACAGATAAATTCAAATGCAAACCGTTTATGTAACATTTAATAAATTTATTAAGTGTTTCACACTGTGGTGTGAAACGCCTGCAGACGATTCTACCAACAAAGATTTTCTTTCTTGTCTTCCTTTAACTTTGTTCTCCAGTCATTTAATTCCAGTTAATATTATTATTGTACATTTATTGTAAATGGATTTTCTTTTGTTTTATAATAATGTTTGCACAATCCAGAGAGAACACAGTCTGTTAAAATAAAAACAAAACAGTAAATTCAGTACAACTGAAATAAACAGATAAAAGAAAGAGTTGCTAAAGCAAATTAAATTTGGAGATGTGAAAAGAGTCGGGACTGACTTGTACAGATCAATGAGGATGAAGAGGAAGTCGCTGCTGTCGGCTCCTGTGGAGTCGTTCTTCATCTCCAGTAAGTCTGACACCGAGCCGCAGATGATGAACACTGCAACCAAACAACAGTCAGACAAACCAAACAACAGTCAGGCAAACCAAACAACAATCAGACAAACCAAACAACAGTCAGACAAACCAAACAACAATCAGACAAACCAAACAACAATCAGACAAACCAAAACAACAGTCAGACAAACCAAACAACAGTCAGACAAACCAAACAACAATCAGACAAACCAAACAACAATCAGACAAACCAAACAACAATCAGACAAACCAAACAACAATCAGACAAACCAAACAACAGTCAGACAAACCAAACAACAATCAGACAAACCAAACAACAGTCAGACAAACCAAACAACAATCAGACAAACCAAACAACAGTCAGACAAACCAAACAACAGTCAGGCAAACCAAACAACAATCACACAAACCAAACAACAATCAGACAAACCAAACAACAATCAGACAAACCAAACAACAGTCAGACAAACCAAACAACAGTCAGACAAACCAAACAACAAACAGACAAACCAAACAACAGTCAGACAAACCAAACAACAATCAGACAAACCAAACAACAGTCAGACAAACCAAACAACAATCAGACAAACCAAACAACAGTCAGACAAACCAAACAACAGTCAGGCAAACCAAACACCAATCACACAAACCAAACAACAATCAGACAAACCAAACAACAGTCAGACAAACCAAACAACAGTCAGACAAACCAAACAACAATCAGACAAACCAAACAACAGTCAGACAAACCAAACAACAGTCAGACAAACCAAACAACAGTCAGACAAACCAAACAACAATCAGACAAACCAAACAACAATCAGACAAACCAAACAACAGTCAGACAAACCAAACAACAGTCAGACAAACCAAACAACAGTCAGGCAAACCAAACAACAATCAGACAAACCAAACAACAGTCAGACAAACCAAACAACAGTCAGGCAAACCAAACAACAATCAGACAAACCAAACAACAGTCAGACAAACCAAACAACAGTCAGACAAACCAAACAACAATCAGACAAACCAAACAACAATCTGACAAACCAAACAACAATCAGACAAACCAAACAACAGTCAGACAAACCAAACAACAGTCAGACAAACCAAACAACAGTCAGGCAAACCAAACAATATCAGACAAACCAAACAACAGTCAGACAAACCAAACAACAATCAGACAAACCAAACAACAATCAGACAAACCAAACAACAATCAGACAAACCAAACAACAATCAGACAAACCAAACAACAATCAGACAAACCAAACAACAGTCAGACAAACCAAACAACAGTCAGACAAACCAAACAACAGTCAGGCAAACCAAACAACAATCAGACAAACCAAACAACAGTCAGACAAACCAAACAACAATCAGACAAACCAAACAACAATCAGACAAACCAAACAACAATCAGACAAACCAAACAACAGTCAGACAAACCAAACAACAATCAGACAAACCAAACAACAATCAGACAAACCAAACAACAATCAGACAAACCAAACAACAGTCAGACAAACCAAACAACAATCAGACAAACCAAACAACAATCAGACAAACCAAACAAAAGTCAGACAAACCAAACAACTGTCAGACAAACCAAACAACAATCAGACAAACCAAACAACAATCAGACAAACCAAACAACAGTCAGACAAACCAAACAACAGTCTGACAAACCAAACAACAATCAGACAAACCAAACAACAGTCAGACAAACCAAACAACAGTCAGACAAACCAAACAACAATCAGACAAACCAAACAACAGTCAGACAAACCAAACAACAGTCAGGCAAACCAAACACCAATCACACAAACCAAACAACAATCAGACAAACCAAACAACAGTCAGACAAACCAAACAACAGTCTGACAACCAAACAACAATCAGACAAACCAAACAACAGTCAGACAAACCAAACAACAGTCAGACAAACCAAACAACAGTCAGACAAACCAAACAACAATCAGACAAACCAAACAACAATCAGACAAACCAAACAACAGTCAGACAAACCAAACAACAATCAGACAAACCAAACAACAGTCAGACAAACCAAACAACAGTCAGACAAACCAAACAACAGTCAGGCAAACCAAACAACAATCAGACAAACCAAACAACAGTCAGACAAACCAAACAACAATCAGACAAACCAAACAACAATCAGACAAACCAAACAACAATCAGACAAACCAAACAACAGTCAGACAAACCAAACAACAATCAGACAAACCAAACAACAATCTGACAAACCAAACAACAATCAGACAAACCAAACAACAGTCAGACAAACCAAACAACAGTCAGAAAACCAAACAACAATCAGACAAACCAAACAACAGTCAGACAAACCAAACAACAATCAGACAACCAAACAACAATCAGACAAACCAAACAACAATCAGACAAACCAAACAACAGTCAGACAAACCAAACAACAATCAGACAAACCAAACAACAATCAGACAAACCAAACAACAATCAGACAAACCAAACAACAGTCAGACAAACCAAACAACAATCAGACAAACCAAACAACAATCAGACAAACCAAACAAAAGTCAGACAAACCAAACAACTGTCAGACAAACCAAACAACAATCAGACAAACCAAACAACAATCAGACAAACCAAACAACAGTCAGACAAACCAAACAACAATCAGACAAACCAAACAACAATCAGACAAACCAAACAACAATCAGACAAACCAAACAACAGTCAGACAAACCAAACAACAATCAGACAAACCAAACAACAATCAGACAAACCAAACAACAATCAGACAAACCAAACAACAGTCAGACAAACCAAACAACAATCAGACAAACCAAACAACAATCAGACAAACCAAACAACAGTCAGACAAACCAAACAACAGTCAGACAAACCAAACAACAATCAGACAAACCAAACAACAATCAGACAAACCAAACAACAATCAGACAAACCAAACAACAATCAGACAAACCAAACAACAGTCAGACAAACCAAACAACAGTCAGACAAACCAAACAACAGTCAGACAAACCAAACAACAGTCAGACAAACCAAACAACAATCAAACAAACCAAACAACAGTCAGGCAAACCAAACAACAATCACACAAACCAAACAACAATCAGACAAACCAAACAACAATCAGACAAACCAAACAACAGTCAGACAAACCAAACAACAGTCTGACAAACCAAAACAACATCAGACAAACCAAACAACAGTCAGACAAACCAAACAACAATCAGACAAACCAAACAACAGTCAGACAAACCAAACAACAATCAGACAAACCAAACAACAGTCAGACAAACCAAACAACAGTCAGACAAACCAAACACCAATCACACAAACCAAACAACAATCAGACAAACCAAACAACAATCAGACAAACCAAACAACAATCAGACAAACCAAACAACAATCAGACAAACCAAACAACAGTCAGACAAACCAAACAACAATCAGACAAACCAAACAACAATCAGACAAACCAAACAACAATCAGACAAACCAAACAACAGTCAGACAAACCAAACAACAGTCAGACAAACCAAACAACAGTCAGGCAAACCAAACAACAATCAGACAAACCAAACAACAGTCAGACAAACCAAACAACAATCAGACAAACCAAACAACAATCAGACAAACCAAACAACAATCAGACAAACCAAACAACAGTCAGACAAACCAAACAACAATCAGACAAACCAAACAACAATCAGACAAACCAAACAACAATCAGACAAACCAAACAACAGTCAGACAAACCAAACAACAATCAGACAAACCAAACAACAATCAGACAAACCAAACAACAATCAGACAAACCAAACAACAGTCAGACAAACCAAACAACAATCAGACAAACCAAACAACAATCAGACAAACCAAACAACAATCAGACAAACCAAACAACAGTCAGACAAACCAAACAACAATCAGACAAACCAAACAACAATCAGACAAACCAAACAAAAGTCAGACAAACCAAACAACTGTCAGACAAACCAAACAACAATCAGACAAACCAAACAACAATCAGACAAACCAAACAACAGTCAGACAAACCAAACAACAGTCTGACAAACCAAACAACAATCAGACAAACCAAACAACAGTCAGACAAACCAAACAACAATCAGACAAACCAAACAACAGTCAGACAAACCAAACAACAATCAGACAAACCAAACAACAGTCAGACAAACCAAACAACAGTCAGGCAAACCAAACACCAATCACACAAACCAAACAACAATCAGACAAACCAAACAACAGTCAGGCAAACCAAACACCAATCACACAAACCAAACAACAATCAGACAAACCAAACAACAGTCAGACAAACCAAACAAGAGTCTGACAAACCAAACAACAATCAGACAAACCAAACAACAGTCAGACAAACCAAACAACAGTCAGACAAACCAAACAACAGTCAGACAAACCAAACAACAATCAGACAAACCAAACAACAATCAGACAAACCAAACAACAATCAGACAAACCAAACAACAATCAGACAAACCAAACAACAGTCAGACAAACCAAACAACAGTCAGACAAAACAAACAACAATCAGACAAACCAAACAACAGTCAGACAAACCAAACAACAGTCAGACAACCAAACAACAATCAAACAAACCAAACAACAGTCAGGCAAACCAAACAACAATCACACAAACCAAACAACAATCAGACAAACCAAACAACAATCAGACAAACCAAACAACAGTCAGACAAACCAAACAACAGTCTGACAAACAACAACAAACAACAATCAGACAAACCAAACAACAGTCAGACAAACCAAACAACAATCAGACAAACCAAACAACAGTCAGACAAACCAACACAATCAGCAAACCAAACAGTCAGACAAACCAAACAACAGTCAGGCAAACCAAACACCAATCACACAAACCAAACAACAATCAGACAAACCAAACAACAGTCAGACAAACCAAACAAGAGTCTGACAAACCAAACAACAATCAGACAATCCAAACAACAGTCAGACAAACCAAACAACAGTCAGACAAACCAAACAACAGTCAGACAAACCAAACAACAATCAGACAAACCAAACAACAATCAGACAAACCAAACAACAGTCAGACAAACCAAACAACAGTCAGACAAACCAAACAACAGTCAGGCATACCAAACAACAATCAGACAAACCAAACAACAGTCAGACAAACCAAAGAACAATCAGACAAACCAAACAACAATCAGACAAACCAAACAACAGTCAGACAAACCAAACAACAGTCAGACAAACCAAACAACAATCAGACAAACCAAACAACAGTCAGACAAACCAAACAACAATCAGACAAACCAAACAACAATCAGACAAACCAAACAACAATCAGACAAACCAAACAACAGTCAGACAAACCAAACAACAATCAGACAAACCAAACAACAATCAGACAAACCAAACAACAGTCAGACAAACCAAACAACAATCAGACAAACCAAACAACAATCAGACAAACCAAACAAAAGTCAGACAAACCAAACAACTGTCAGACAAACCAAACAACAATCAGACAAACCAAACAACAATCAGACAAACCAAACAACAGTCAGACAAACCAAACAACAATCAGACAAACCAAACAACAATCAGACAAACCAAACAACAATCAGACAAACCAACAACAGTCAGACAAACCAAACAACAATCAGACAAACCAAACAACAATCAGACAAACCAAACAACAATCAGACAAACCAAACAACAGTCAGACAAACCAAACAACAATCAGACAAACCAAACAACAGTCAGACAAACCAAACAACAGTCAGACAAACCAAACAACAATCAGACAAACCAAACAACAATCAGACAAACCAAACAACAGTCAGACAAACCAAACAACAGTCAGACAAACCAAACAACAATCAAACAAACCAAACAACAATCAGACAAACCAAACAACAGTCAGACAAACCAAACAACAGTCAGGCAAACCAAACAACAATCAGACAAACCAAACAACAATCAGACAAACCAAACAACAATCAGACAAACCAAACAACAGTCAGACAAACCAAACAACAGTCAGACAAACCAAACAACAATCAGACAAACCAAACAACAGTCAGACAAACCAAACAACAGTCAGACAAACCAAACAACAATCAAACAAACCAAACAACAATCAGACAAACCAAACAACAGTCAGACAAACCAAACAACAGTCAGGCAAACCAAACAACAATCAGACAAACCAAACAACAATCAGACAAACCAAACAACAATCAGACAAACCAAACAACAGTCAGACAAACCAAACAACAGTCAGACAAACCAAACAACAATCAGACAAACCAAACAACAGTCAGACAAACCAAACAACAGTCAAACAAACCAACAACAGTCAGACAAACCAAACACAGTCAGACAAACCAAACAACAGTCAGACAAACCAACAACAATCTGACAAACCAAACAACAGTCTGACAAACCAAACAACAATCAGACAAACCAAACAACAATCAGACAAACCAAACAACAGTCAGACAAACCAAACAACAGTCAGACAAACCAAACAACAATCAGACAAACCAAACAACAGTCAGACAAACCAAACAACAGTCAGACAAACCAAACAACAGTCAGACAAACCAAACAACAATCAGACAAACCAAACAACAGTCAGACAAACCAAACAACAATCAGACAAACCAAACAACAATCAGACAAACCAAACAACAATCAGACAAACCAAACAACAGTCAGACAAACCAAACAACAATCAGACAAACCAAACAACAATCAGACAAACCAAACAACAGTCAGACAAACCAAACAACAGTCAGACAAACCAAACAACAGTCAGGCAAACCAAACAACAATCAGACAAACCAAACAACAGTCAGACAAACCAAACAACAATCAGACAAACCAAACAACAATCAGACAAACCAAACAACAATCAGACAAACCAAACAACAGTCAGACAAACCAAACAACAATCAGACAAACCAAACACAATCAGACAAACCAAACAACAGTCAGACAAACCAAACAACAATCAGACAAACCAAACAACAATCAGACAAACCAAACAAAAGTCAGACAAACCAAACAACTGTCAGACAAACCAAACAACAATCAGACAAACCAAACAACAATCAGACAAACCAAACAACAGTCAGACAAACCAAACAACAATCAGACAAACCAAACAACAATCAGACAAACCAAACAACAATCAGACAAACCAAACAACAGTCAGACAAACCAAACAACAATCAGACAAACCAAACAACAATCAGACAAACCAAACAACAATCAGACAAACCAAACAACAGTCAGACAAACCAAACAACAATCAGACAAACCAAACAACAGTCAGACAAACCAAACAACAGTCAGACAAACCAAACAACAATCAGACAAACCAAACAACAATCAGACAAACCAAACAACAGTCAGACAAACCAAACAACAGTCAGACAAACCAAACAACAATCAAACAAACCAAACAACAATCAGACAAACCAAACAACAGTCAGACAAACCAAACAACAGTCAGGCAAACCAAACAACAATCAGACAAACCAAACAACAATCAGACAAACCAAACAACAATCAGACAAACCAAACAACAGTCAGACAAACCAAACAACAGTCAGACAAACCAAACAACAATCAGACAAACCAAACAACAGTCAGACAAACCAAACAACAATCAAACAAACCAAACAACAATCAGACAAACCAAACAACAGTCAGACAAACCAAACAACAGTCAGGCAAACCAAACAACAATCAGACAAACCAAACAACAATCAGACAAACCAAACAACAATCAGACAAACCAAACAACAGTCAGACAAACCAAACAACAGTCAGACAAACCAAACAACAATCAGACAAACCAAACAACAGTCAGACAAACCAAACAACAGTCAAACAAACCAAACAACAGTCAGACAAACCAAACAACAGTCAGACAAACCAAACAACAGTCAGACAAACCAAACAACAATCAGACAAACCAAACAACAGTCTGACAAACCAAACAACAATCAGACAAACCAAACAACAATCAGACAAACCAAACAACAGTCAGACAAACCAAACAACAGTCAGACAAACCAAACAACAATCAGACAAACCAAACAACAGTCAGACAAACCAAACAACTGTCAGACAAACCAAACAACAGTCAGACAAACCAAACAACAATCAGAACAAACCAAACAACAGTCAGACAAACCAAACAACAATCAGACAAACCAAAACAATCAACAAACAACCAAACCACAAACACATCAGACAAACCCAACAACCAGACACCCAAACAACAATCAGACAAACCAAACAACAGTCAGACAAACCAAACAACAATCAGACAAACCAAACAACAATCAGACAAACCAAACAACAGTCAGACAAACCAAACAACAGTCAGACAAACCAAACAACAATCAACAAACCAAACAATCAGACAAACCAAACAACAGTCAGACAAACCAAACAACAGTCAGACAAACCAAACAAAATCACAAACCAAACAACAATCAGACAAACCAAACAACAATCAGACAAACCAAACAACAATCAGACAAACCAAACAACAATCAGACAAACCAAACAACAATCAGACAAACCAAACAACAATCAGACAAACCAAACAAGTCAGACAAACCAAACAACAGTCAGACAAACCAAACAACAATCAACAAACCAAACAACAATCAGACAAACCAAACAACAGTCAGACAAACCAAAAACAGTCAGACAAACCAAACAACAGTCAGCAAACCAAACAACAATCAGACAAACCAAACAACAGTCAGACAAACCAAACAACAGTCACAAACAACAACAACAGTCAGACAAACCAAACAACAGTCAGACAAACCAAACAACAATCAGACAAACCAAACAACAGACAAACCAAACAACAGTCAGACAAACCAAACAACAATCAGACAAACCAAACAACAATCAGACAAACCAAACAACAGTCAGACAAACCAAACAACAATCAGACAAACCAAACAACAATCAGACAAACCAAACAACAATCAGACAAACCAAACAACAATCAGACAAACCAAACAACATCAGACAAACCAAACAACAGTCAGACAAACCAAACAACAATCAGACAAACCAAACAACATCAGACAAACCAAACAACAGTCAGACAAACCAAACAACATCAGACAAACCAAACAACAGACAAACCAAACAACAGTCAGACAAACCAAACAACAATCAGACAAACCAAACAACAGTCAGACAAACCAAACAACAGTCAGACAAACCAAACAACAATCAGACAAACCAAACAACAGTCAGACAAACCAAACAACAGTCAGACAAACCAAACAACAATCAGACAAACCAAACAACAGTCAGACAAACCAAACAACAATCAGACAAACCAAAAACAACAATCAGACAAACCAAACAACAGTCAGACAAACCAAACAACATCAGACAAACCAAACAACATCAGACAAACCAAACAACAGTCAGACAAACCAAACAACAATCAGACAAACCAAACAACAGTCAGAAACCAAACAACAACAAAAAAAAACAAAGCAAACCAAACAACAATCAGACAAACCAAACAACAGTCAGACAAACCAAACAACAATCAGACAAACCAAACAACGATGAGACAAACCAAACAACAGTCAGACAAACCAAACAACAGTCAGACAAACCAAACAACAATCAGACAAACCAAACAACGATCAGATGTAAAAACCAAATGGTCAGTCTATACCGGTAAACTTACGGTTGCTCGTCCTGTTAGTCTGTGAGAGAACGGCTTCCACGTCCTTTGGTCCACGCAGAACCGCTTCCGAAACGTTTTTGATGCCGTCGGCTTCCAGCGCGTTGACATACCTGAAAAAACAATTCACCATTGAATGAACAAACACATTTTACAGTGTAGTGACGGCAAAGTCAGCAACAGGAAGTGCTACTCAGTTGCTGCTAATCGGTTGCTGCTGGCACTTTGCTAACTATTGCAAATTATTTTAGTGATCAAGTATTCAATCGGTTAATTGGATAAGAAACTGACACATTCCACAGATTTTTCATTTAACCATTTAAGCCTTTTAGAAATGCATTAAAAGATGCAAATGAGCCAATAACTCAATTATTTAAAGGAACATTATACAAGAACAGCATTATTACTAAAATTTCTCTCGTGAAGTTGAAGCTCAAACTTGTAAAACAGATTTACAGAAAAACGTGTTTTTATTTTAGAAACTAACATTTTGGCTCCAAAATGTTTTATGGTTTAAACGCATCACTGCTGAAACAAATAAACTGGATTTACCCTTTATTATAAATCACTAAAAACATGATCAATATGTGAAACAATATCTATTGATAAGAGGATTGAAGATCAACTCGCATAGCAACCTCCTGCAGCAGTTCAACTAACAGCATGGAGATAAAACAGGAAACGCCGCAGCTTCAGTTCGGCTGTATTTCAAATTAAAAGCTAATTCCTGATATTGGCCGATATATTGTGATTCCTTTTCTCTGTTCACACCGAATCAAACAGCCATGTTCTGTTAAACCAAAACCCGGACGGGTCCACATTTGACTCGGGGTTCTGTTAGTAACAAAACCTGAACTGGGTTATTTTTACAGTGTATTATGAAAAGGTGAGCTGAGATGCCACTGACCAAAAGCAGTCCTCCGTGTTGTTGGGTTTTTTGTAGATGTAGGCAGTCTTCCACTTGGGCTTCAGGGTGTTTTCTTCCTGCCAAAAGGCGCTGAAGAAGTGGGAGATCTTCCGCGCCGGAGGCAGAAGCCGCTGCAGGTTGAGGGCGAAGTCACAGGACGGGCCGAAGCTTCCTGCCGAGATGATGGGCGTGCTCAGCCCAAAACCTCTCTCTGCGCTGACGGGACCCGACGCCGGCCAGACAAAACACGACAGAAAGCAGGCAGGGAGGCTGGAAACTAAACATCTCAGGAAAGAGCTGTGATTGGCTGCTGCAGAGCCGTAACTTACTCCACTAACGGGAACGTTGCTATGGTGCAGGTTGGTCCGAGAACGGCGCAGCCGAGTTTATTTGTGGTCTGCCAGAGAAAACAGAGAGGTGTTGGGTTTGGACTTTTAGCTTCATCTGCGGATCTGGTTTTCATCAGCAGGGCCGGCCAGAAACTTTCCAGGGCCTGGAGCAGATTTGAATTTGGGCCCCGCAGGTTCTGATGACCGACCCGAGCTTCCCGGGGTCCTTATGGCTACCGAAGGAGAAGCATCTGTTTTCTAAATCAGATAGTTATTTAGATACTAAACCAATTATTTAACTTTCTACTTAAATATTATCTACTTAGTATTTATCTTTGAGCTAATTAAATATTTAGTTTTGCAACTAAATGTGTAGTTGTTAAGCTAAATATTTAGCATGCTAATTAAATTCTTAGCTTGAAACTTTGACTTTTATAAATGAATGACCCAAATTATTGCTGTTGTTTTACAAACAGCATCCTGTTAACTAATATTAGCAATAAGAGCTAATAATTAATATATTTATCAGGATTCATTATGTTGAAATAAAGGAATAAACTGAAAGAATCATGTTTAGAAACAGAGCAGCTCAGATTTAATGAGGGGAAATTACATTTGGTTGTTTTTCTCATTCGGATCAGACTTGTTGACTTTCTGGGTCACAGATCAGACTTCCAGGTGATCGAGTCGATTTCTCTGCATGAATCTATCAATCATTAATGAAATACTTTGGAGAACAATGAGTCATATGATGCCACACATTGTCCTTAGAAACTTCTCAGCCTTTTTGGATGTTATCTAATTGTTTATAACTTTAGAAAATGCAAAAAACACTAAAAAGACCTAAATCAATATATTTAACACACTGTAAAAGTGGATGTGGGTTTTACATAGAAACTGTAAAATCACAACAGAAAAGCAATTTGAAGTGGAGAACATTTTGTTTAGTGCATAGAAAAGCAGATAAATCAGATTAATTTGTTTTTTTTTTACCATGAAAACTGTGATAAAAAACAGAAAATATTGTAGTAATTATAAAACTATTCTGTAAATAAGACATTCAGATTCTGGGAAAACAAAACGTGCCTGGTTTTTGACACAAGTCATTTATTCAACTTTATGCTGTACTTTTTATACGATGTGATCAAAATTAACACTTAATATTAATATTGACAAATCATTTATGTAATTCAGCTCTGATTTCAATCACTGTAAACTAATTTACGCATTTTTTAGTGGCATTAACGTCTTAACTTATGTGCCATTTTCTCAGGCAATCTGAGCATTTTTCTTGTTTTACAGTGTAGAGTGCGCTTCAGTCTGACCATGAGGTTGCGCAGCGTCTCCACCGCCTCACACGGGCTGCTGTAGCAGCCGGCCTGCCGGTAGATCGTCGTGTTGAATCCTTCGAAGTTCGCTGTCAGATTAAATCCAAACGCTTCGCGGCGGCCATGTTGGAACAAACACAACAGGTTATTCAGTTAAATCTTCTCTAAATTATGATTTCTTCAACTTTTTCACATTTTCTTATGTTACATCCCCAAACTATTGGTTTGCATTTTTAAAAATAAAAACTAAAAGACAGAAAAGATTTTAAAAAAACAAAACAAAAAAAACTCTAAACTTTTTTAAAAATAAAAACTTTTTGAAATAAAATAAAACAACCCTAGACTTTTTGAAATAATTTTTTTAAAAGCAAAGAAAGAACAAGCTGAGACTTCCTCATATGACATAAAGAGGAAGGAACATTTTGTGTTTCTCAAAACCTTTAAACATAAAAATCCGAAAATTCAACTTTTACTTTTTGTTTTTTTAAACACGTTTTCACCCCTCTTTACTTCCACACCCCTAAAAATAATCCTGACCAGTGAACCAGTCCAGATGTTCTGGTCCAGAGAACTGGCAGCATCATGCTGTGGGACGATGGGCGGAGCTAAATTTGTAAATTCTGCTGATTCTGGAAACCAGCCTGAACATGCAGCTTGAAATATTATGGGACGGTTAAGATGACAGCTGATTCATGTGTTAGAATGTCCTAGTCAAAGTCCAGACCAAAATCCTACTGAGAATCTGCTCAAAATATTGATAAGAGAAGTTTACTCTGGATGAAGACAGCTGGCTGACAGTCAGATCAAAACATGGTTTTATAAAATACGCCACACTTTTCAGATTTCACCTGTTGAAAGAAATTAAACGGATGAATCAATTTCCTTCAGTCTAAAAACATTCTGCGCTAAATTGAGTCGACCTGTCTGATAAAATTTCTACAAAATAATTATGAATTTTTACATTCCTTCAGTACTGAAATAAAACTAAATATTTTTTACAAGCAGCTCAAGAAATTCATAAAATATAAAAAACTAAATGAAATAAATGGGTCATGAAACCACAAATAGGCTATAAGATGCTTACAGAGTAAATAATTAACATTTATCTGCTCATGAAATATACTTTCAGTTTTCGCCTGAAACTCTCCCAGTGGATTTATTTTTATATGTCTGGTTTATTTTTTTAATCAAAAAGTTTTTATTCTGGGTAAACTGATTTTTAACAGTTTGATGTTTTTATGAGAGATTTTTATACTTATTATAATAATAATTATTAAAAACTCTTATTTTAGATTAAAACCTTTTTCTCTTCTGTAGATTTTTGTTCAACACACTGACCTTTTTACCAAACCTGAGGAAAGCTAATTTCTAAATCTTGTTTTAAGGTTCTGTTACTTCTGCTGCAGGGCCGGTCCCACGTTATTCAGGGCCCTGAACACGACCGAGGAACCTTAATGCTACGATCGCTCAGCTAATATCTGTTTATCTGCTTCTGCATTTCAGATCATTAAAATGAATGTACAAAAACAGGAATAAAAATATTTTAACATCTTTCATGGTCCACAGCAGTGTTGTATTATTTGTAGTTTTTAGAGTTATAACAGCAATGTGGAATAAAATCAAAAAGAATCATTTTATTTATTTTAAATTATATTAACTTCTTCATAAAACATTTACAAACCAAGTTTTCCTGACTGCTGAGGGTCTTGGATGCCCCCTGTTGGTTTGGAGGCCCAAGTCAGTTTTCTTTAGCTTTGCACATGAACTGACCTGCTAACTGAAAACATTAAGTATGCAGCATAATGGCTGCTATCTAATAATTTATTGCACCAGCCACTTTCTGTCTCATCGGTCTTCCTGATGAATTGGCTCTGCTTGATTTACACAGTTTGATAAAAACTTTGTGACGTTTTCCGTTTCCCTGCTGTGGAGATGAACAAACAGAGCAGTAAAGCTGATTATCTTATCGCAGTAATTCATTCTCATTCACCTTCTGCGGCGTTGATTTCTGCGTCTTTCTCTATGGCTTCCAGGATTTTCCTCTCCACGTACTTCAGGCTCCAGGGAGACTCCTCGTCCTCCAGCAGGATCACGTTGATGGTGATCCCGTCCAAACATTGCCCGTTGCTCCGACCGCGGGCAGCGGCAACCCAGAAGGCGCAGAGCAGCAGCCACCAGCCGCACCGCCGCATCTTCCCCTCCAGCGGGTCGGTCAGAAACTCGCCATGCTCCCCGGAGAGGTTAAAGGTGAATTTATCTGAAAACGGAGGATCCTGACGAACCGAATCCAGGTGTTTCTGTTCAGGTGTCGGATCCAAACTTCCTCGGTTGCTCTGAGCTGCTCTCGCCTGGGCGCCGCGTTAATGTTCAACCTTTAAAGTCGCAGAGGCAGGGCTTGGAAACTTCACCGGATTGTTGTGCAAAGTCTGAAAGACAAGCAGCAGATAGTTGGTGGATTTAACCAGACAGAAACAACGAGCCATAAATCAATTAACGGCACGATAAGATCATTTCCATTTACAGGATTCGTCATTTTTCTTTCAAACTGGAAGATGAAAGTCTGGAGTTTTGGTCTCAACACTTTTTTGAAGGACAATTTTGTCCAGAGAGACTTTATAATTCATTTTCACTGCAAAAACACAAAATCTTATAATCTTTTAGCTTTATTTTCTATTGCAAATATTTTAGTAATTAAAAAAAGAGAAAACTAACTTATAAGTAACTTTTCAGCAAGATGACGGAGTTTATTCTAATCATTTCTAAATATTGATAAAGTTCTGGTTCCACTGGTAGATAAAGTCACTGTTGACAAGAACATTTTCCAATGTTATTAGTGAAATCTGCATCAGAAGTTAGGCGACAGATACTTGGTAAGGTTTTGGGTTTTTTGTTGTTTTATTTATTTATTTTGAATAATGAAATAAATTATATTAATTTTATTGATATCTCAAAATTATGGAGAACTCTGATCATCCTCTTCATCTGAGTGTCTTCAGTCAGAGGTTCCTTCACATTCACTGCAACATGGACTGCTACAGGAGCTCTTTTATAACAGCCATCTTTATCTACAATAACTCTGAAAAATGTGAATTAATATGAGTTACGACATTAAATTTCCCTCAATAATATATTTTTTTAGTTGAATTGATTTTGAATAAAGGACAGTAAATATTAAAAAGCATATATACATTTTAAAAAACAATTTTGTTCTGTATTTACCTTTTATTGGTTAAAAAAATTAAGAAAAACAACTGACACACATGAACAAACATATTTACAGCAAATTACATGCAATAACTAATAATGGTACAAATGAGCAATTATAAAAACATTTGTTAAAGGTGTAAATTTAAAACATGAATGTAGTCTAATTGTCTGAATGTCAGCGAAGTTCTTGACAGTTCATTGTTTTATCTTAATAATTATTCCTGTGACGTAGTTAGAGGGACTTTATAGCTGGATTTATGCAGAAGGTTTTAAATACCAAAATGAAAATGTGAAGAGTTCATTAAGAGCAGATTGATCTGAACTCTGCACAGAGATAACAAAACAGGAACAGTTTGGCTGCGTCTCCCGTAATAAAATGATCATTTATCTTTCAGTTATTCAAAGTTTCATTTCTTGGCAGAAACACTGGTTTTACAATGAAAAACATTATTTTTGGCCTAGTTTTTCCTGCAGTTACCTTCGATCACTTGAAATAAGACAAAATAAATCACAAGAAAAATTTTAGCAAGAAATATGAGCCTGTTTTAAGTTTATGATATTGATTTTTAAAAGTAGTGGCAGATTCTGACATCAGTCTTTAATGGGGTCAAAGGTCAGATGATGATCTTATTAAGTTTCAATGAGGAGTTTGGTGGGAACCATTTAAACCGGATCCATTTACGTCATGTAAACGTTTCTGGTTCTGTTCTGGTTCCTCTTATTCTGATTTCGGTGAAATGGCTCCCCCATGCGGCAGCTTACAGCACAGCAGCAAATAAAATACCAACGCACGTGACGTCGCTGTGACGTCATCTTTACCATAAATGGATCCATATCCAACTGTAAACATTTTTGTGCCTTCATTCTGCATGACTCAAGACTTTTAAAGTGTAATTTAGGAGAAAAAAGTGGAACAAAGCAGAAAGTTTAAAGTAATGAAGCAGAAATGTGTTAAAGTTTTTACCTTCAATAAAGCTAAAAATAAAACTCATTTACAGCTGGAAATGTTGATGACAATTTGAAGAAAAGCAACTTTCATTTCTGACAAACATTTACTTTGGGCTATTTGAAGAACCAAAACTTTAATTCTGTTTATATTAAAACTTGAAAGCAGAAATATGGTGGATACATTTTCTTCTACAGGGTGTTGACATAAATATTAATTTGAAAAAGAAAAAAAATGCATAAACTAGAAATACCCTTATGGGATTAGGGTTAAAATATCTAAAACATTGGTAGGCTGCAGACCAATCCAGACTCATATTTATTTTCCATTCAGTCTTTCTTCCTCCTCAGATATTTCCGGGAAACAGCAGCCAAACCCAAACCGCCGCTGAAACGCCGTGGTCGCTCCTGCTTTGTTTAAACAATAAAGATGGCTTCAACTACTTCAGCAGGGACAAAACAAACAACTTTTAATAAAGTTTCCGAAAAATAACTTACCAAATAACCAATGCAGTCATTTCAAACATGGCGCTCCCGCGGCCTACTAGACAGGTATCCTCAGCAGGTCAAGCACATGACGTCATAGTACCAGGCCTCGATAACAGCAGAGATTTCGGGCAGTTTGGATTCATTTCGGTTCGGCGTCCAAGAGAACCTCTCGGCTTCTGACGCGATTAGGAAAGATCCCGTTCAATCCGGTTCCAGAGTTTATGAATACCAGACCGCTGGTTTGATGCCTCCGGCAAACCGGATGCAACCGCCATCTTTTAAAAAATTATGTTCATGCATAACAAATATGGCGCCATTCGGCTTGGTTGCCAGATTTGACATTTTCAGCCCAAGCATAATTTAAAACCCGTAAAACCTGCCCAAATCTCAACCTCTAATAAAGCTAATAAAGCTAATAAATAACACTATTCCTAGTTTACTCCCAATATGGTTTTAGAGTAATTTAGTATTTAATCTTGTACGTATATGTTACATATATGTTATATGTTACAGTGTAACATATATTTCAAAAACAAGCCAGTTTATCTCAAATGCAGTTTTAAAATAATTTAGAGAAATGGTGATTTTATGTACATATATGTATAAACACCTCAGTAAAAAAGTGTTTATAGATTTTGAATAATAACTATTTTTGTTGCCTTCTCAACAATAAAGCCACATTCGTAGAACTTTTAAAGTAACATTTGTGTTCAAATACAATTTTATCAACCAAACCAAAGCCGTTTTTATTGTATGCTACAGGTGCCATTTGTAAAGTTACACAGTACAAAAATAGCAATAATTTTATTTAATTTGGCCCATCATATCTGTCACAAATTTATAAAGGTAAGATTTCCAAACTAAATATTTAATTCACCAAAAAATATTTGTCTAGTTTTATTTAGCTTTCAAATTTAATATTTTTTATTTCGATTAGCTTAAAAATTCAAAGCTAAATATGAAATTTAACAATAAATTTGAAGCTTAAAAATGAGGTAAAATTGAATTGAAATTTTGAAACATTGAATTTCAAATATGTTAACTTCAATATTTGCTGCTGCTTTTCCTCCAGTTTGATGCTGAAGGTTTGAGGTGAGCAGATCTGTTTTTCAGCAGCTTCTGGTTTATCGGATCAGGATGGGAAGCAGTTAAAACATCTGTCAGCTGGTGGAAACAGAGTCATGGTGCGGCAGACGCATCACTTCCTGTTTGTGTTGAGGAACCGTGTCATTTGGTCTTTCTCAAAGTTTTTCAGCTGCGACGGAGAGCAGGAGCAAGTTTTTACTGTCAGCAGAAGTCACAGCCTAATAATGTTCATATCAACAAACTGATATTTTGCATAAAATGCAACTTTTAACAGATTTTTCTCATTAATGTGTGAATTTCTATCCATTTTTTTTCATGTGTGATTTATGTTCATGTGAATTCAAAGACTTCAAATTAAAGACCAGGAGCAGCTTAACAAAACATCAAGAAAGTAACGTCACAAATCAGCTGGCACTTCCCGTTACCTAGCAACCCCAGCACAGTTCTGCCTGTAACCTAGCAACGCCAGCAGAGGTCCAGCACATTTGGTCAGCTGGTTTTCCTGCTGTATTCGCTGTACAATGGCTGCTGGAAAAGACAAGATTTGTTGTTGACTCACCATCCAGAAACCACTTGCTGCATTCTGGTTGGCTGTGCAGGAGTCTCCACTTCTGCTTTTCAAAGAAGTACAGTTGTATAATTGGGCATCTGTTTGCAGCCATTTTCCCAATGTAAACGTTGAGCTGAGGGGGAGGGGCGTGGTCAGTAGCAGCTTATTTGGATTTAAAGTGACAGAGCACTAAAACAACTCATTTTGACAGAAAATATTAACCAAGTATGATTTTCTACAAAAAGTGTAATTAAGATGTTTTGCATAGGCCAAAACCAATCCTAACCCATTCAGCTCAAATTAATCAGAAATCAATCACAGATTATTCAGAAATCTCATGTGAACCTCAAGTTGAAGAGTTCTGGGTTCTAAGATGCTGAAACTGTTAATGATCGGCTGAAGCGACAGGTTGATCATTCAGACACTTTATTCATTAAATTAGACATAATGATGAATAAAACATCAAACAGTATTTGGACTTTCCCAACATTTTGACTGGAAAATAAAGTTTATTTCTCCCGAACGACGTCCGATCTCGGATCAGTACCAGCGTCCAGAAGCTCGGCCCCTGATGCGGACTCCGGCTTCGTCTCTGAGGTAACCATGGTAACCGGGACGGCGCCTTCAGGTGTCGTCGTGGGACTGCAGGTAGACGGGTTTTGCCTGCTTCCGGAGGCGCTGCTGAGCGCGCAGCCGCCTGCCCCGCTGCGTGGCCAGACCCAGAGGAGGCAGGTAGGTCTGCGGGCAGAACCGGGCCGTCAGATCGCATTCCTGATGCTTTCACAAACCGGCCTCTAGGGGGCGCTTACTCACCGCTCTGGGGTACGGATTCCTGTAATGCAGACCTGAACAGAAAGAGACACATTTTAACGTTTCATTATTAAATCAGGCCTGTCGCAATGAGCAATTAATTGCATGAAGCTGGATGATAAAAAAATAACGCTGAGCAAATTCAGCCTTGAACATAATTTAAGACTTCATAATTAATTTTATGTTGTTTTGTTTGTTTTAGATGTTTAAATGTTGGAAAAACCTACTTTACTTTGTTTGAACTGTTTGAAATGACTCATTTTTGCCCTTTAAAATTAATTTGTAAAGTTTATAAAAAATAGGTGAATCCATCCTCACCTATTTCTATCCTCGCTTCACATTCCTCTATGCATCTCCTTATGGATTCTGGATCTGTGAGCTGAAAACGGCAAGAAAAGTTAGAAAGGAACGGCTGGACAATCAATCGATATGTAAGAAAAGGCAGTGATCAATATCAATACTGATCACTGTGACAATCTGAGACAATCTTCCATAATATTCCATAATATTCCAGGTTGGCTGCCTAGCAACAACCTTCTGGTTTCCCCTCTTTGCCTCATAACTGCTAAAAAATAAACAAGTAGAGAAAACTGGATTAAACAGGAAATGACACAAAGCCAGTTTTATTTAAAACAAAAAGCTAATCAATAAATATCAACATCGGCTGAATGATATCAAATATTTATTTCATGATTCGTTTCTCAGCCAGATGATCCAGCTCAAAGTAAAGTAATCATAGCTAACTAACGCTAAAGAAATAATGAAAAGAGACAACATTTTTGTTAAATGAAATAAAATAAAAACTTTAACTAATGGGGAAAAACTATAACTGGAACTATATCACATATTTATAAAAATAACTGAAACAATGAAATTACAGAAATAATATTCTTTGTTTTTGTGTTTGTGATCTATTTATTAACCTTTCCAAGCGATGTGCAACTAATTTTTTCCCACACAAGCAGTTTACATTTATGGTTTTCCATATTTCTTCTAGACAACAAAATGGCGAAAAGTTTGGAGAAACACCAGAGTCAGTCTTCTGTTCAACAGTAACTGGAAACATTTTTGGAAAATGGTGCTAAAACTAAACAATATTTAACAAACATTAACTCATGAAAACTAGCAAACATATATTGAAAACTGATTAAAACTAACTGAATTAAACAAAAGGTCATAATGATATAAAAATATAACGTAAAACCAGTAGCTGCTGTTCCCACCTGCTGGTTCTGCCTGAACAGAGACCGGGCCTCCTGCTCGATGTACCGCCTCTCCGCCTCCGAGTCGCTCACGGCGCCGGTCTGGGCCTGCCAGGCCCGGGCGATCCGAAACACCCGGATGTAGAGAGATAACACGGTGGAGCGAGTGGACAGCGCCATCTGGGCCTGAAGAAAGCAGCCGGGAAGTGATCAGAACCACCGTAAACGCGGCATAATAAATTTGATAAAAGCTACAGGATGCACCGTTTATTAATAATATCTTTTTACATAGTTTGTTCAAGTTTTCACCAAGTTGTGACTGTTTGGTTCCAGTCAGATCATCTGGGAAAAGATCGTTCTCCTCTCCTTTCTCCCTGTAACACAGAAAATGCTAAGACTAATTAGCATAGCCACCAATGATGGCAGGTAAACAGTTTTCCGGTATATTAACTCATTTCTCCACGAATAACAGATTTAGCAGCGAGTTCACAAGGATGATTGACAGCACTAATCCCCTCCTCCTTCTGGCTCTCAATGGTTGTTTATGATGCATTTCTTCAGACGGCAATCATGGAGGAAGTAGAGGAGGTTGAAGTTTTCACACATTATCTAAGTTTAAACAAATACGTAAAAAAACATGTTTTATAAAAGTTTCATATTACAGCTTTATCTGACAGTTTAATTCAGTTATTTATATATTTCTTTACCTTTATATTGGAAAGTTAGATGTCTGCGAGATTTCAAAAACAAGATATCTAAAAACGGCCTCACTCCATATCTTAGAAAATACCTTAAACATGTCTAATGTTGGATCAAAAATGTAAAATGTGACAGAATTTTATTTGTTTAGCTGTTCATTATTTGATAAGTTTGTCTTTGCAGGGTAAGTTCAAATACAAATGTGACAGAAATCAAACATTTAAATGCAGCATTATGTAAAATTATTTGACCCTCACAAACGTCCTTATTTTCACACTTAAATGCTTTTGATCAAACAATTTTTAATCAGAAACTATGAAACTACAATAAATGTGAAATACGTTTTTTAAGAACTGATTTTATTTCTTAAAGTGAAAAAACCCCAACTATTAGAAATTACAGGTAATTGACAACAAATTTTGTTCTGATTACTGTCTGTAGAATTTTGTTTGAAGAGAAATTGTCTGATACCATAAGTCAGGACAAAAGATTTTATCATGTAATATCTGCAAAAATAGTTTGCATTTGTGAAATGTTATAAACTTTACAAATTAATTTTAAAGGGCAAAAATGAGTCAAGTATTTTCCCTGTGAACAGAATTGTTGATTTTCCTTTTCTGTAATGAAGGAAAGAATGACCAATCCTGACCATCCTCTTCATCAGGCTACTTTACAACAGTCTTCAGTCAGAAGCTTCATCAGCGCTGCTGTAACACAGACCCCTACAGGAAATCCTTGTAGCTCACAGCAATCTGCATCTACAGCAATAATACGAATTACAACATTTAATTTCCTTGTGGTATAAATAAAGTATTGTTGAACGGAATATGAATAATAGCTGATATTTTCATTGCTACTTTACTTGGTTGGTGTTTATCACTCAGGGGTACTGAAGGCAATCTAGTCGACATAAAATGTTTTTGTTCATCACTTATTAAATGTTAAATATTAAACTGTTGGATAACCGCTGAAGGTTACAAAACACACTAAAATAACTTGCATCCTGTTCGCTTCACCGGAACGAACCGATTCAGCCGAACTTCGCTCCTAAACACATATTTCAAAAAATAACAGCGTCTCAAATAACAGACCTGAGCTAAGATGCTAACAGCGATGTTAATGAGTCAGAGTTTATTTTTTAAATACTTAATTTATTCTTATTTAAAGCGTAAAACGCGACCTTACCTGTTGTTTTCAAAGAGGTGACATAGTCGCTGGCTGATGACGTAGTCTTAAAGCAACATCGCTCGTGAATTCGCATCCTGTCACTGAAAAGTTCATTTATTTCAGTAACTCGATCCCCGAGTGAAACTAATTCCACACAGATCTTTTCAGGCATGTCTTTCTACCAATTATGATGGAAGCAAAACATTAAATATTAGGATATTACAACAGAAAGGGTAAAAATAGACCAAAATGTGAGCCTGATAAGGACTGAAATCGAAGTTTTCAGATGAGACAAATACGTAGTTATTCTGATATAAATAAATAAATAGATATTTACTTTTCAATCTAAGCTGAGACTTAAATTGAGTTTATTTTACTGAAACAAAAAGTGTTTCTCACTCCAAATCAAAACGCACCTGATTACGTAATTCATTCTCCATCTGATGGATCATGGAGGCTGTCTTCAGCTCAGCACTCGAAAAATCACGTTTTGTGTTTTATGATTAATTATAACTATTGAGATCATATTAGCACCCAATATATTGAAGAAACATGTCTGTCTCTTAGCCTCGGAAAATAAGTTTTAATCTCAATATTTTCAATAAAAGATACATATAAATAATGAAAAATAGATAGTTGTTATTTTTAAAAGGTACGCTTAACCTACCTCATAAAAGGGCAGATGGTAATTTATTGTGCATTATTGTAATTAAATAAGAAGTGTTAATACTTCAGTTCAGTTCAAAAACACTTTATTAATAGCAAAGTGTATATTTAGTGTCATAATTTCTGGGGTGCTATTTGTAAAGTTACACAGTGAAACACTAGCAGGAATAATTTGGTTTATTTAGCCTGTCTTAAAGAAAAAAATATGGGTGTTACATTACTCCTACATTTGTGAATCTCAATGTTCCAAAATAAGTATTTAATTACCTAGATAAATATTTAGATAAACTAATTATCAGTTAAATACTTTAGGAACCGATTATTTAGAACACAACTAAATGTTTAAGTTTATTTAATTCGTAGACTAAAATTTTAACTCAAAATTAAAAATGTATTTTTCTTACAAAATATCTATTTTCTAAACCTAACTTGTAAATATGCTAAATATTTGTATCACAAACAAAATTTTTAGCTTTCAAATTGAATATTTAGTGAGAAATCTAAATATTTTGTTACCAAATTGGAGATAGATATTTACTTTTCAATTAAATATTTAATTCTCAAATAAATCTTTATTTCTAACTAAATATTTATCTCCAAACTAAGTATTTAGCTCAAACCCAAATATTTAGCTTGCTAGAGAGGAAGCTTACCAGAGTCAGTTGGTTTTTCAATAATAATCAGTGAATACATATGCAGAATACTTTGACCTTTTTGCATTCTGCACCTAAAAATGAGCCAAAGTATGGAAAAACTAAAGCTACTACTACAACTAATAAAAACTAAACTTAAAGACTAAACAATATTTAATAAAATCTAGCAAACACACTCTACAAAACCAATGAAAACTAACCGAATTAAACAAACAAAAAGTGACAGCAACATTCAACTCAACTCTAATGAAAAGCCTCCAACCATTATAACCCAGGAAGGTGCCCAGGAGAACCGGGCCCCAGATTCTGTGCGCTCGGCCCTGTGCGGATGGAGATCAGCTGTTGGCTGCTAGAGGCAGGAAGTGATGCAGGAAAATGTCTCTCATGTAGCTGCGCTCAATGACTGCAAGGGGAAGCACAAAGAAACAGGCAGCTTGACTCCGAGTTCCTCTGTTCTCACACTGACCTCCACTCTCAATGGATGCCGAGACAAACTCCGACTCTCGGCGTTTTCGCGTATTTCTTCCCTAAAAAGGAAAAACAACCAACTTTGGTGTTAAAGTTTTCTTTCGCCTGCTGTCGCCGCTAGTTAGCTAGCTCTCTACGAGTTTTTGCTCCACTTCTGGGTTTCCACCAACTTCGTGAACTTCTTTGTTTCCTTTTTTAACCCTGTTTGTGGGAATGATGTACACTGAAACCACTCGGCGCGTCGTTTCCCGCACAGGTGAGTCTTTCTCTGGATGTTTGTAGGGCTGCGAGCCGCTAAGGAGTTAGCCTAAGGAGTTAGCCTAGCCGCAGCTAAGCCGTAGCTGCGGCGCCGCCTGGGCCAGGCTCTTCAGATGGAGATGTTTAAATGTCCTCCTGACCGATCATGGATTATTGATCAGCAGCTCATCAGCGGGTAATGACTAATTCAGCATAGAGTGTCGCCTTTACAGCGGATTAAACGCGCTGTTTACATCTCATCCGGGACTCTTTGCTGTTAGAATCACTCGGTTTTGCTCGGCTGTTTCCTTTTCAAACCAATCTTAACTTCCTAAAACGAGGTAGAGATGATTTCTGAGAAAAGTGACGCGCTGTCAGCAGCATTGCTGATGCTAAATGTTGTCATTGAAACTGTGCTTTGACTCGGGCAGATTTCAGGCCAGCTAATCCGGTTAAACTGATGTCTGGATGAGTTGCATGGTGCTGGATTGTTGTGGATAAAAGTAGGCCTCCAGACGTCCAGGCTGGCCAGTTCAGGACTGAGGCAGACTTGTCTCTACATGCCCGGTGCATTGATCACTGCAGCTTTTCCTGGATACATTTAAATGTAGCTGCATAGGCGTTTCTAGAAGGGGGCCAATTAGAGCCCAGGGCTCCTCTATGAGGAGAAATTATTCAATTCATTTCTTATTATGACATTGTAAACATTTCTACTTTACTTTTTGTCCCAGTTTCATATTTTACTGTCTGAGTTTTACTTCAACAATGGAAGAAAATGAAAGTGTTGCACTTTTTCAGCTGTATTGAGACAAAATCACAGTTTTCATGTGTTAGATCAGAGCTCACACTAGTGACTCTGTCTCACTTAATATTAAGTGATGAAATGCTGGTGGTTCTTAACCTCTGAGCTCGGGTCCTCTACCAGAGGCCTGGGAGCTTGAGGGTTCTGCGCAGTATCTTGGCTGTGCCAAGGACTGCACATTTCTGGACTGAGATGTCTGATGTTGTTCCTGGGATCTGTTGTAGCCACTCCAGTTTGGGGGTTACTGCCCCGAGGGCCCCGATGACCACAGGCACCACTGTGGTCTTCACCATATATATATATATATATATATATATATATATATATATATATATATATATATATATCAAATCCGATTTGTTTTATTTTTAAAATTTTCTTCAAAAGTCAACAAATATTATTTCAATCATTCCTTATGGGAGTTGACATGAATTCAAAGTCCAACTAGATTCAAAATGTAAAACTATATGTTCATCCCAAACTACGAAAGCCCATTGGAGGGAAAAAAGCATTTTTAAAAACTGCAAATTTGATTGAGCTATGAAATCGGTTCCTGGGCCCCTGGTAACTTGGTCTCAGACCGCCTCTGTGTATCAGGAATGGACCAAACCACTGCTAATCCAAAACAGACTAGAGCTTAGCTTTAACAGCAACTTGATGTGTAATTGATAGCATGTGTTTGAGCTGTGAAATGTGAAAGATGTTAGGAAGGAAACCTCAAACTTAAGACACAGAAAATAGCTCAAAGCCACACTGTAAATCTGATTTAAACCAGTAATAATGTTTTTTTTTGTAGAGGTTTAGGGTTGAGCTGTGGCTAAATGACATCCAGACGGAAATATTCCCTGCAGGTTTGGGAATGACGAGGTGTCCCGTTCTGCTTATGACGACAAGATAATGTGTCTTTGCAGCGTTGCTGATGTCAAGGTCGCAATGACAGAGCAGATTTGAAAGACGATGCCCTCTGAAAGACTTTACGTAAGTATCATCATCATCATCATCATCATCATCTTCGTCTCATTCAGCTGAATCACGCAGGCTATAATTACAGCCTAACAGTTCCCTAAAAGGTACAAGTAATAAATGCTTATGATCAGTTTTACATCATTCTGTTACTTTATGTAAAAAAAACATCCAGCTTTCTGAAGTCAGCTGAATGGAAAACTGTCCTTGTTCTGCTTTTAATCCCAGAATAAATTCAAACTTTACATCTTTCAATGAATAAGTAAACAAACTGATTGCTGTTAACACTTGTTTTAATCAAGTAAAATATTGGTAAATAATAGCAGTAATATCAAATATTAATATTTTTATCAATTTTTGTATCTGTGCATCCCTAAACGATAATTTTCTTTATCTTAGAAAATTAACCTGTAACATTAATGGCTTATTTTTAAGTACAGAAATCTGAAATTACATCCAATTTAATAATAAAAGTAATAAAGCAGCCTAATAAGCTGAAATGGAAAAAGTGTATTTCTTTAGGTAACTGGATACTATTCTGGATCAAAACATTTGATTTAAATCTGGCTTCTTCAGGACAAAACATACTTAACCAAGAGTCATTTATATAAGACAAGCTGCACACAGTGACTGCATTAAATCATGTTTTCACATTTACTGATATTTTTGGATACTCTCATCGAGAGAATAAAAAATAGCATTTCTGATAATAATGTCAGTGTGTTTTTAATTTAACATAAAGGGGCAGAATTAGGTGTTTTCCAGGTACGAAGTGCCGTATTATAACATAGTCAAACAACTGTTGCCTTCAGTTGTTATAAAAATTCTTTATATATGAAATATAACTTAAAAGAAATTTGACTTCCTGATTTAAGGCCTTGAAATTGGGCCTCTGTCTCTTTAAATCTCCAGCTCTTTCTGAAGCTCCGCCTCCAGGAAGTCGTCCCAGCATGGCTCCTCTATTAACCCTTTAATGTTTCTGCAGGCGCAGCAGCTGTTTGCTAATTGCTGCTGGCTAGTCTGAAGGAGCTGAGTGGGGGAGGAGCTGAAGGCGGGGCTAGGTCCACTCAGGCGTTTTAACAGCTGAATGGTTGCCATGGAGGCAACGTTCCAGGTTAGCTTGTGAATTGGGAAAAACATTAAAACATGATAAAAGATAAAAAATATATATTTTTTATTTTTTATGATACTGGCCCTTTAATATCAATGCATTGAGACAATAAAGTTCTTATCATAAGAAGTTAATGATAAACGATAAATCTGACCCTTCATCCAGTCTGACCAAACTGGAAAGGTTTGTGGTTTTAGCTCAGTAAAATATTGAAAATGTTTTGGCTGCAAAAGTATTCTGGATGAACTTTTGCAACCAAAGTTGAGCAATCGTGATGTTTCATTGGCGCGTTGCAGAATGTTTCCCAGGAACGGCTCTGAATCACAGATTAGGTCCAACCAGCGGAACCACATGATTAATCTGGCCTTGATGCAAACCCACATCTAAACTCCCAGCATCATGTTGCAACATTAATGATTAAAATATGTTTTATGAGTCCAGGCTTTATCTGCGTTTGTCTGGAGCGCGGCCAGAACCTGCCGAGGAAAACCTGAATCATCTGTTCGCTGAAGGAGCCGAAACGCTGACGGCTCCAGGAAGCGCGACCCAAACGATGAACTTTAACAGAAACGGTGTTTGGGTCGCTGCTGTGGGTGAAAAACACTCCAAAACATGGGAACGTTGTGACTTAATCCCATAATAATCCCACAGATGGGTTTGGTGTTCTGATCTGACCCATAAATCTGGAATTCACGTCTAAAAATCCTCATTGTTTATTTCAGCTGATTGTTTTCTGGGTGAAGAAATGAGGAACTGCTGGTGACGTGAGAATCAGACGCATAATTCCAACATTCTGGGTTTATTTTAGGGAAACTATCCAACTAAAAGCCGCCAATTCTTTCAAAGAGACGAACAGATTAATGGACGATGTGAGGATGAGATTTTAGTTCCTGTATTTTTGTGGGACATAAACGTGGAGGATTTTCCACTTTCAGGAGAAAAAACAGAAGTGTGGTTATTCCCCTGTTTTGAGACGATTCTGTTTTTTTATTTTATTTTTTTTCTACATCACTATACATTAAATATATGGCTGCATTTTTAAATGACCTCAGAATTAAAAAAAATATATTTCAGCAATTTTTGTCCTCTCAAACTCAACATTTCTCATTTTTTTGATGGAAATTTACTCTGAACACAAATAATCAAAAATAATTTCCATTCTGCTGATTAATATTTTTCTGAAGAGTTACTTTGTTTCCATAGACTTCATCATAAACTTCAATAAATGTTTTTTTTTGTCTTATAATTTTTGTTGTTTAGTTTTGGATATTTAAAATATCTTCCAGTTCCAGTGTTAAGTGTTAGGTACAAAATTAAAGTTTATTTGTCTTTGAGACAGGAAACTTGCATTATGACGCCCTTATTTTTAAAACTGTTACTGTTTAATAATTTCTTGTCCAGGTGCGTTGTCATGGTGACGACCTCTGCCCTGCGTGGCCTCCATGTTGAATCTGTAAACGTCCAGCCAGTTCTGGACAATAAGGCTGAAAACACAAGATAATCGTTTCATATCAGAGTGTCGATAATTATCTTTCCTGTTTCGTTGAGTTTTAAGTTTTAAGCGTTAATCTGCCTGTTACCTAGCAGGTTGTTGCTAGGCAACCAAGGTGCAAGGGAGTTGATGCTACCTGCTAGCTTAGCTAGCAATGATGAGTCTTTCCTCTGCCTACATCTCCCAGAATGCTGTGCGGTTCTATCAAACATTCATCACGTTTATTGCGATATATATTATTATTTATATATTAACTACTCTGCATCCAGCAAGAGAGAATAAAATATACTTTATTGACCACAAAGATAAATTAAATAATAGGACAGTTCAAAGGATTAGAATGGCCTAGTCCAAGTCCAGACTTAAATACAGTGAAGATGACGATTTTCTCCTTTTCTCTTTCAGGGTTTTTAGGTTTGACAGTTGAAGCTTTGGCAGATCTTGGAAAGGTAGTTCTGTTGTTTTTTACTCTGATTGAATAAAAAGATTGGCTGTGGAGATTCCCATCATGCACCTGTCCGTCTCTCAGGCCTGAGGGTATGTTGAGGCACCTCGCCCGGCCAGAGAAGAGGTGTCTGGGCGGATCGGACGGGGACTGACGGCGAGGAGGACAGACGAGAGACATGGGCCAGTGCGTCACCAAGTGTAAGAACCCGACGTCGTCTCTGGGCAGCAAGAGCGGAGACAAGGACAGCACGTCCAAGTCCCACAAGCGGGTCGACAGCGCCAGCGGCGGCGTGCACAAAGACGACTGCAGCGCCCCCTCTGGGAAATCCACCAGCGAGCTGCTGAATGGCACCAAGGCCTTAGAGGTTACTGTGGAGACGCCGGTCATCTCCGCCGCCATGAGGGAGCCGTGCAGGGAGGACGGCGACGGGCTGTCCATGGCGCGCATCGACGAGCTGTTCGCGGGCTACAAGGACGAGCTGGAGGACGCCATCTTGGAGGAGGGCATGGAGCGGTTCTGCAACGACCTCTGCGTCGACCCGGCCGAGTTCCGGGTTCTGGTTCTGGCCTGGAAGTTTCAGGCAGCCACCATGTGCAAGTTTACACGGTACGGCGCTGAGGATTCCCTGGGTTTCATCAGCCTGGCGGGCACCCAGGCTTTCATTACACCCCGCCAGGCTGATGTATTACAACTTTGTTAATATTCCTATGATATCAGTGACATATTTTTCAATTTAACAACTTTTACAATTTAATGTGAATAGAATTTTTTACATTTATCAGTGAATAAAACAAAAAATAACATTTTTGACTTCTTGTAATTTTGTGACTTTATTCTCATCATGAGTTTATTTTTATATAATGATTTGTAATTTTGACTAATTTCTTGATATTACGATGTTAGCTGTAATTTTACACTTTATTCGTAAAATTACAATTTTATTCACGTAATTCTACAACTTTATTTTGAAAGTATTGCAGCTTTATTGTTGCACAACTTAATTTTTATAATGTTATAACTGAATTCTTCCTATAATATGACTTGATCCTGTAATTTGTTTTCTGGTGCATTTTTCGTTGCTGTTGCTTCTCAGCTGAATGTTGCTGATGGTTTGTGGTTTCGTCCTCTGCTCTGGTTTCTCCCCATCAGGAAGGAGTTTGTGGAGGGCTGCAAGGCCATCGGGGCGGACAGCATCGAGGGCATCTGCTCCCGCTTCCCCTTCCTGCTGCTGGAGGCGCAGGGCGAGGAGAGCTTTAAGGATCTGTACCGCTTCACCTTCCAGTTCGGCCTGGACGCCGACGAAGGCCAGCGCTCGCTGCAGCGCGACATCGCCATCGCCCTGTGGCGCCTCGTCTTCACGCAGGACTCGCCGCCCGTCCTGGAGCGATGGCTGGACTTCCTGGCCGAGAACCCGTCGGGCGTGCGCGGCATCTCCAGAGACACGTGGAACATGTTCCTGAACTTCACGCAGGCCATCGGGCCGGACCTGAGCAACTACAGCGAGGACGAGGCCTGGCCCAGCCTCTTCGACACCTTCGTGGAGTGGGAGCTGGAGCGCCGGAAACGAGAGGAGGCGGAGGAGGAGGCGGCGCTGACGAAGGACGAGGAGACGGACTGCCCCGCCTCAGACGGGCTGGACGCCGAGGGAAGCCACGGCGCACAGACGTGGGGGGGCCACTGACCTCAAAACTCCAGATATTTCTATCAGAGGGAAGAAAATGATCTATAAGTGAAGCAAACTTCTGGGAATTATTAGTATTATCATTTCAGCTTTCGGTTTCGCTCCTGTTCGGTTCCTGCACTGCAAAAACACAAAATCTCATCCGTTGATTTTGGTCGAGTTTCTACTGCAAATGTCTTCGGACGGCTGAAATAAGAGAAAACTAACTTACACTTAACTTTGTAGCTCAATATAATTCATTAATATTGAGAATTATCAATGAATTATATTAATGAAAATGTTCTTGTTCCATTGGCAGATAATTTCACTTTTAAGAAAACATTTTTCCCATTTTCTGAGTGAAATAAGAGAAATAATCTATTACATCATATCAGTATTAATGAACGACTTGCTGAAAACAAGATCATAACCTGGTGAAATTTTACTGAAGTCAGTTTTGTCTTTTCCTAAGTAGGCCTGAAAGGATTGTGATAAATTATTTGATGATTGTAATAATTGATCACAATTAACTTGATTAATTGAAGTTAATTTTCTTATTTTTTACTGAGTATTTTTGTACAGTTTCTACCAGACAAAAAGGAAGCTGCAAATATTTTAGTAAGCTTGAACTAAGACAGACTGTAGCTTGTTTTTAGTCAGTTGTTTCTTAATATTGATGGAAAAAGTATAAATTTTACTGACAGATAATTTCACTCATAGCAAAACATTTTGAAATAATCTAGCACCTTTTCATTGACATGATTTTTTTTTTTTTTTACTGGAAACAAGCTCATATCTTTATGAAATCAGCTTGTTTTATATTTCACGTAAAACAAATCAGTTCTGTTTTATTTGAAATATTGCTGAAATGATTAATTATGATTAATCGATTATTGTAATCAATTAATCATGATTGATCAACTTAATCAGTTGTTTTTGTTTTCTTTCTTACCAAATATTTTGTCTGGTTTCTAGTACAAATATCTTGCTACACCTGAAATAGGACAAAACTAACTTAAAAATAAAAGCTTGGTTTTGATAATATCCATCATACAGATGGAAAGTTTGGCTCATTATTTCACTTGTTTCCATAAGTGAAATAATGCAGAACATTATTATCAATGTTAATGAGTTATTTACCTGCAACAAGCTAAAGCAGCCATTTGTTCCACGTGTTTGCGGTAGAAAATAGGCCGACGTTAATTGGTGACATTGTGTTTTTTTGCAGTGAGCTCCAGTTTTCTCGTCTTCAAAGGGCTCTGAGGACTGTTCTTTTAAGCACTTCTTCTATTTAAGTTATTGTTTTATCCGCTGATGGTTTTAGTCAGTAAACAGGCTCCATTTGTTGAGTTGGCTCCGTGAAGGTTTGGGCTGAAATCTCCTCGCGTGTCGCGCTGCAGTGTCTGAAGGGTTGATCGGTTCTGGATTTACTTCTGCCATTTCGACGCAGAAGCATCACTTAGATTTGTTTTTCTCTCCCCACTTTCTTCAGATATAACTAGATTGGCGTTTGTGCAACGTTTGTGCCGCTGTGATTTTAAAGACATTAATAAACGAGGAGATCAAAGGTCAATCAGCCCCAACAGAATCAAACATATTTTGTCTGCAGGGAATACTTTACAAACATGGTGAAATTAATTTATACCAATAATTTTTGGTTTTGTTTGTCCACACAAACTTTTCTCAGTATTTGTATTTTGTTGGATTTTCTTAATGCGGACCAGCTGGTTGACCTTTCATAACCTCTGGAAACATTTTTAAAATCTTTAAACACTGTAAAAACACTAAACGTTACCACGTAATTTTTGTCTAGTTTCTGGTGCAAATTTCTTAGAACACTGTACAAAAAAAGTAACTTTTCAGCAAGAAATAAGAGCTTGTTTTACGTTAATAGTGCCTTGATGTTGATGAAATGTTAAAGACTATTTAATATTTTCCCAGGTTTTAAATAGGAAATGGGTTTGGCCTGCCAGTCGAACCAGAACCTGGTTTTTAAACTAACTATTTTATAAGGTAGTTTTGTCTTCTTTCAAATGCAGGAAAATATTTGCACTAGAAACTAATCCTAAAATATTTGGTGAGATTTTGTTTTTGCAGTGCAACGTTTGTAATTGAAGCAATAAAATGTCAGATGTTGTTAAATTCCTTTAATCAAAAATTAAACCTGTTGGTTAAAAATAGACACATTTTCAGGTTTTACTGCAGAATTGCAATATTTCCACTGATTCTCAGTCTAGTTTCTCATACAAATATTATTACAGATGAAATGAGACAAATGAGAGGCAGATTATATCACTTTCAATGAGTCATTTTCTCCTGTTATAGGTGAAATAATGTAGCAGTGGAACTACAGTCTTTTCATCAATATTAAGGAATTATTGACCTAAAAAAAAGCTCCCATAAATAACTGTAAAATTACTTTTTAATTAGTTTAGTCTCATTTCAGGTGTAATAATATATTTGCACCAAAATCTAGACCAAAAATTTTTTGGTAATATTTTATTTTTGCAGTGAAATGACAAAAATGTTTGCTTCTGAAATGTTTAATTAGAAAACGGAGGGAGCATTAATTTTTATCAGTTTCAAATCGAGGTCGTTTCCATGGTACCAGCCTCATCCTGTTTTTATTTTTTCCTCCTGAAGTTGATGTCCAGCATCTTTCACAGACGGCAGAAACTCAGGCAGGAGTTTCCAAAGTAAGAGATTAATAAAAAAGATGAATAATGCGAATACTAATGCTGCTGGCTGCTCAGACCAA